TTGCATAACATGTTTGTAAAGAGACAATTTGACCTTGAAAGGCTGACTGAAACATAATTATTTGTAATGTCCTAATGTATGTTTCACCATATTCATTCGATTGAGTGCCTCATTACTTTTATACTATAATTTAACTAGTCAATTTAAAGAGGCAATATGTTACATGTTAACTCTTTCTATTTATTATGTATATGAATTTATAATTATCAAACCTGTGCAATACTTGGGATAAATTGTTTTATTATACATTACTGATACGCATTGTCTACAGTCTGACAGTATATGCTTAATGTTCTTGCGATAATAATTTGGAAGTTAGTGACCAGTGTCTCATAAGCCGACATCGGCTGGTGGTATTTTAACTATGTTCCTATATATGTATTAATTGTATCATACCAGTGACACTTAAATAAAATATTTTAAATTAAAAAATAAAAAAAAAAAAAAAAAAAAAAAACTATAGTGTTAGACTCAAGGACTACATTGTCATAATGTTACAAGACTATGTATGCTAGGATTAAGAAGATTCTTTATCCTTCCTAAGGCTATAGCATTGGGAATGTTTGGTTCTGTAAATCCACTTGTAGAATTGATATGTTTACCATTATGTGATTTGAATAAATTATTGAGACTGCAAGGCTAGTTGTAAAAATGCAGGTCTTGCAGAAAATCAATACCTTAGTAACATTTGCATAGAAAAGAGATGTCTTCGTGAAATTAGCCATGAAGGAACTGTTGCCTAAAAAGGTATTAATTGGTATGTGATTTTCCAATTTGCACTTCTGTACGTTTGCATGACATGACCAAAAAAACATATTTTGGGAATATTCTGAAATGCATCTATAGATTTTGAGGCTTTATTGGTGGTGACATCTTGTTATGGTCTCCGTTTTTTTTGCGGCGGTTGGCGTCTGTAACAAATTCTTACAACTTCCAATAACTTAACAAATACTGTTTAGACTGACTTCAATTTTTTTCAAAATCATCTACATGTTTTCAGAAGTTCAAATCTGACTATAGTATTTAAAATTTGACCTTCAATGACCCTTTCAAGGTAAAAAAAGTCAAAAATCGTTTACAAGTTCTCAGAAATTCAAGTCTGACTTAAGATTGAACTCATAATATTGTGAACACCTAGCCTAGGTGGTGACATTTTGTCATGTTAATGCCTTGTTTTTTCATAAAGCAAACGTAGTTATGAGCAACATGCTTGTCCTGAATGCTTATCCTGGGGTGAGGATGCAATATGAATAATGGCATGTACACATAAGCTAGAATGAACAATATCCTCAACAACTCAATGGCCATACGTATAATTTGCTCAAAAAAGACAAATGCAAATGTATTTATATAATCAGTAATTTTCCAAGCATTAGAACAACCAAGTGCTGCAAATCTGAAAATGATGCAGAAGAAAGAGTTCACCATTGAGATATTTTGATCAGAACAGTTCAAGTGAGGATTTTGGACCCTGTCAATGAATATATGCTTTGTATAGATTGCTCACTTGGCTGTAATCATCATTCTGACTTAGTGAAAGCTTTCTCAATACAGTCTTCTGCATGCCTATGTAATAGTATGATTACTTAAGTCGCTTATGGATGGCTGCACTCTACGCTTATGAATGGCTGCACTCTACGTCATAGCTTTTACTAACTAAGCAAAACTGATTTTTTGTTGAATATATCAAGATACCTGCTTGGAGCTCTTTTACCTTTTTATTATTAGAAATAAACATTAAAGATTTGGACTCTTTCTTATATACAAGTAAGATTTGCACTCTTTCTGATATACTAGTATATATTTTCATTATGTACCCCTTGCCCACTTCTGATATTTATTCAATTATTTCTGCAGTGTACTCTTTTTTTTATTATAAATTACATATGTATATATAGGAAGGCTTGTCATTGACAGGAATATGGATTGTTCTAGTTCAGTGCCAGGAATATGGTTTTACAATTGATTAGTTATAATAGAGACACAATACATTCAATAATAGCTGAACCATGATGGTAGCAGATTTACAGAGGGTGTGCTTAGAGATATGACTCACTCAGTATTTTGTAAAATGAAATATATCAGGCTAATAATGTAGTAGTATTAAAAACAAAGATAAAATAGACAATGTTGATGTAGCTACATTTCTGCAATGTAATCTGACTAATAAGCTTACGAGCAGTTCTATTTCCTATCACCTGTGTTGATAGAGATATGGAAAGGTGCTTGATACAAGAATTATTTACTTGGACCAAGGGCGAACGTAATACCTGGAACGTGCCTCGTTCACAAATTTCAATTTAGGTATTCGGCGTTCCGCTTTTTACCATATACTATTCTACTACATTGTAATGAGAACCATGGTACAGTGGGGATCATAAAGAATTGCAAAAGCTATGAAAATTACATGCTATCGCACATGTAATAAATTCTTACCTCAGTGTATTCAGTGCTCTATTTTCTCCGTCTTAGTAAGTCCAAATATAGTGGAATTTGTGTCCCTAATGACAAATAAGAACTTCAAAAGTTGAATTGGATATTTACATGTTATGCCGACTCTTCAAATGTTGAGGTGATTTTGTCGCCCGATTGCGCCGGAACGGAGGATTGGCTCCCAGAATGCAACATGACACGTGCCAGCTTTCAAAATGCTGTTCCGCCATTTTGAAACCTGTCATGAGTAAATACGGTTAACTGATGTTGCATTCTGGGAGTCAACCGTCCTTGGATAACAAACATGGCGATTCATGAAAACATTCATTCGATTTGGTAGGGATTTATCCATTATTTGCAGGTATGAAGCTTTGGATTCATTTATTGTGCTACTTTAGTGAACGGGAATTATTTTTCTACCGCTTGGGAGAGTTTGAGACACGAAACTTGGAAATTAGCTCATTGTGACAACTTGTGAACGTTGAGTTTTATTTTTGTCCCCCACTGTACACATACTTAGCCCTGGGTATTAAATAAGCCCTTGCTTGGACCTTGTCTAAAAAGTCATTCTTCTATGTTTATCCCAAATATATATATGTATACATGTAGTTTGCTTATTTGCTTATACTTTCCTTCATTGAATAGTGTTTTAGTCTGTTGGTGTTTGGCAGGCAGCAGTTGGCAACTGTAATAAATGGCATGTGGTGACATTTTGCATGTAATGTCTTGTTTGAATATATTCAGGCATTGTGATAATTTTTAGACCTGTTGGACAATTTTAAGACCTATTTGAGTATTAAATAATATCATTATATAAAGCTGTGTTCAAAATGCCTTCCTTAGGAAAGGTCTACCTTAGGGTAGACTGCACTACCTGTATAAATTGCTAGTGCTGTAACAAATTAGAGTTATTTCAGGGCAAAATATGTTTATTGCCAACATATGATGGCAGCATGACCCGTATACTGTCTGTAATATACATGAACATGATGAGTGCAAATAGCATGTGGCCTTAGGTAAAATTGTTATAACATAAATGTCAGAGGCATAGTATATGTCTGTTTGTATGTATGATAATAGGATAGGTTTTGATATAAATTAACTTTTAATTTTGGCTCACATCAATCCGTCCTTCCGTCTGTGTGTCGGTCATACATTTTCTGGCTAATTAAAACTGCTCATCAGTTGAGCCAATGTTCATATCCATTTTATGGGATTCCATGCTGGTTGAATGTACCCTATTAGATCTCAATCTTACTTTAGCCTTGTTTTAGAGAAATTGGCCTTTTCACCATGTGGGCCTTTTAAATAGGTGGCATTTTATGACTGTATCAAAAATGTAGCTTGCATTTTTTTGTCCAAGATTCCTACAGTTGTAATGTATTAAAATATGAAGTATGCATTTACTAACATTTTAGTCAATAAACAGATAATAAGCATCCTGTGAACAGTTGAGTAGATCGACTGATTCTTTAAAAAGGCATTTAGTACATTCTCTGGAATAAATAGGTTGATTTATGACATATGCAATCTATTTTCATTCCTAGCTGTAGTGTTTTCCAATGTCTTGTTATATTGATTTCTTCTATTCTTACAAAATGGCAGCATCAATATTTCAACAGGATAAACATTTGGTGATTTTCATGAAATTCTGGAGGTTTTATCTTCCAAAGAATGACAGGTTGCTTATCAAATTAATTTGTATGTCATCAAAGCTTAATCAGATGAATTATTGTTTCATAATTGTGAAATGTCAATGATCTTTCCAGTGTTGAAGCAAACTGATGGGTGCTGTATCTAATTGAAAATTTTCCTCCTTGCACAATGTTGAGAATCAATCGAGATCAAATTGAGGGTTTGGTAAATCACATACAATCATATGTTTTGGCTAATTTATTCAACAGAATTTACCTTAAGAATTATATTCATTATGATTCGAATAATTCAATAGTTGTTAAATTTTCGAAAATTATATAAAAAAATTCATTTTCTCAAGTTTTTCTCTCTATATTTTACAAAACAATAGTGAGCACTTTGTCTGAACAAAGAATGTGTGTAAGATATTTTATAGCATACTCAGACGGGTTTATCAGCATCTCAAGTTTAAGATCACTTCTGCAGATATCGCTCTTTGTAATGAAATATCAATAATATTACAGCTTCAGTACAGACATAAGACCATCTTATGTTATTTCTTGAATCCATCTTTGCTATCATTAGATTCTGATTCCTAAATCCTGAATTCTAAAACGTAATTTTATTATTGTTTTTGTGGATGGTGTTCAGCACCAGGTTGGTGTTTGACGTCTATAACAAATGGCAAGTAGTGCCATTTTGCATAAAGCTGTGTTTATTTTGTGGTAGGCCTGCATCAAGCCTCTGTCCACTCCCCCTTTACACACTTCCCAGTGTTAGAAAGAGAATGGAAGGCTTAGGATAGGGTCTTTAATCAAGACTTATTTCGGGAGTATGCTAGATTATTTAACAATAAGAAATATGGTTTAGGTATTTCATTATTACTTTTCCTTAATAAGTGATTTTAGAGACACTTTAATTGTGTTTTTCAGACAATTCTTGGAGGCAGAAGTTGAGATTCCATCAGACAAAGCACACCATGTAGCTGATCACATAGTGGAGCACATCAACCGAGACATTGTTAGACTTAGGAGACTTTTCCTTGTAGAAGATATTGTGGACTCTATTAAGGTGAGTGAAAATATGGTGTATAATCTAGTGTATGGGCCTCAAGAAATTGATCAGAAATGTGCTTTTACATGTATTATTATATGGGCAGTGTGTCAGCATTATTTCCATGGTCAATTAACATCATTACAAAGCATATTATAGTTCTTTTATTTTAATATTGCATTCACTATAGCATGCCATTTATAAAAATGAAGATTTTAAATTTTTGAGTCTCGATAAGTTCATCGCTAAGAATACATTTACTCTGACCAAGCTATAATGCCTCTATGAAACCATGTAATTATTTATTCATCTCAAGTTTAGCAATTGATTCATAGATTCATGCAGGCGGGCAAGGTTTTTTTACCTTCCTTATTTCCAATACAAGTCGGGAATGTTGTTAGTAATCTTCAACTTTCTACTTATTTTACCTTCAATAGAAAGCAGATGTATTGTTTTGATATGACTAAACACAATTCGTGTCAGACTAATTGATCAATGGCATTAGTCATACCTGGATTGGAAAGGTCATAATATGCATTTATTGATTAAATAATTACCTTGTTATTAAATTCATCGTGACACTATTGATTTGTCTTTGTTATTATTTATAGTCTGCCTCTAACGGAATACTAGTAATCAGATGCATTGTTTGAGTTGAGAGAATTGTACACTGATACAGATATTTTAAGGCTATATAGCATGGGAGATACAGAATAGGAGTAGTCAAATCCAAATGATTCAGTTACTTAGTCTATCAATATCTGATGCACTTTTTCTCAAAATAAACACGAGGAGCTGACTGTCTTATATTTCATCTTATGTTTTTATGTCACCACCAAGAAGTGGTAACGTGTTGTTGTTATCTTTCTTCTATCAGTATTCCTTCAGTTTCTGTAACACATTGTTAAACCTTTGTATTATTGTTAGCAGGTGATGACATTTTTGCCATGTCTGTTATGTATTTGAATTGTACATCTACTGAATTGACAGATGACTAAGTAAGATGTCATATTGAGTCATATTGCACATTTTAATTTTATATATTGTGTTTTCAGTTTGGCCTACTCTTATGGGTTCTTACATATATTGGAGGATGGTTCAATGGCATGACACTTATTATTCTAGGTAAGTTACAAATGGCATGTTTTTAGCTTAGGAATAAGGGACTCGTCCCCCACCTCTTCATCCAGTGTCTGGTGATGTAAAAAATCCAAGTGCAAAATATAATCTCAGACGAATTCGTTGGACTTGTCAAATGTGAATTTTTTTGCTCAAGTGTGGGAATTTGCATTTACAACCAGCAACAAAGTTTAACATTGCAATGTATATATGAAGTAAACAAGGGATTTGGGGTCATATATATTATGCCTTATCAAATTCTTGTCATATCAAACAGTATTGTGGCTATAGTGAGCAGCCATATCTTAAGATTTTTCTAATTTGTAGTTAGAGTGAAATTTTCCCTCAGCTCACGGGTATTTCATTTATTTGCATTCTAGGCCTTCATAGATATATTTTACTATAAGTTCATTTGTATACATGTTTGTATGTTTACACGGTATGAAACATTTTGGTGAATACATTATTCATATCACACGGACATTTTATGAGTAATAAAACTATAATAAACTTTGTTTTTTGTACTTTTCAGGATGGGTTGCAATTTTCACATTACCTAAGGTCTATGAACAATACCAAGGCCCCATTGACCAGTATGTCGACCTTATTAAAACGAATGTGAACAACGTCATTAGTCAGTAAGTAACAATTTGGATAGTATCGTGGGTCTATTCTTCAGACATATTTCTTATTTTTTGTAAAGCAAGAACATAGAGCTACTTTATAGTTTACAAACAGAAATTGGTTGACAATTAACATAATAAAGTAACAATTTTTACCTACCAGTAGTCTGATTCGACTGGTTTCATATCTTGGTACATAAGATAGGCTAGCGCTTAAGGGATATACCATTTCATCTTCTACTTGTTGAATGCAAGATTGTGCCAGTGCACTTGTTGTTGAAATCATTTGTTGTTTTCCCCGATTCTTACATCACTACTGGAAGTGGTGACATATTGTTATAGTTTCCTACTTTTCGTGAATGGCGTTCCATGGATGGTGTTTGGTGGTCAGAAACAAGTGGCATTCGGCGGTCAGTGTCTGTACATTTTGCATGTTGATGCCTCTTATAATGCTTTTATTGACACCCAATTTTGTTTTCCAGGGTTCAAGCTAAGATTCCAATTGGCAAGAAGAAGACCCAGTAAATGATGTGACATATAGAGACAATACAACGCTTCATTGTCACACAGAGGCTTGTAATCGAATTATTACACAAAACAACTTGGAATTAAACATCTAATACAGATTATAGGGCCACAAAGAATTACAATGTACCCAAGAATGTGAATATCATATTCTACCTGTGAAGATCAAGGGTCTTTTGGAATTTTTTGGAGTTAACTGTGATCATGTAAACAGACTAGACAGATTGTGGCCATCTTGGATTAAAAATTGCTGCCATTTTGATTTCGTTATGATAGACAAACATGGAGACCTGTGTACAGAGATGCCCTGGTGTCATGCTTGTGACTGATGCCTACAGATCTAATATGTGGTAGCACGCTGGAACCTGCTGGCTTCAAATTCAAAATATAACATGTCACGTATCAGTTGTGGAGCTCAATATCAATTCTAACGCTTGAGCTTTGTATCAATTGATAGATTTACAGTAAAAATGTTGTGTAATGGTTTTGTAGCTCAAACGGTGACAGTTTATTGCCTTGCACATCGTCCATTGGTTACTAATTGTGCTATACAGTATATATAATTTTGGGATGCATTTTTATAATATAAAAAATGTTAAAAAAAATTAGATGCAGTTCAAATAGATTTAACATACATCTGTATATATGTGAGGTGCAATCACTCGTCATGGAGTTGTGACATCATTGTGACATCATCGATGCTCGGGGAGAATTAGCAGACTATCACCTTTATATTCGTCAGCAAGCCCTTTGACACGGTATCATGTATCATACAAGGTGTTTGTAGAATAGATGCACTTCAACACTTAAGTATAATATCAAACTAGGGTTTGTATAATGTTTTTCATATTCAGCACTCAGTCTTGTCTTGCATTTTGCGCCAAGCTTGAGGTTCTGTGGGTTAGAGGTGTAGATTTTTCTCATATTTTTGCTTGACAATTTTGTGAATATTGTATCAGATAAATATTGATAAAATGTAATATATACTGTATTTGCTGTGCGTGGTGTAAAGATCTGTAATATAACGATTTAATAGATGTGTAGATATATTAACTGTATGTTGTCAGTGATAGTCTATAACAAAACAATATCAGCTTTGAAAACATCATAAAATGTAACTTATACTTATAACAGTCAGACAAGATCTCTGTGTGAACTGGTTCAAAGTTGCATTTGGTTGTTAACACATGTATAAAGCTATATATAGTCTTGAACTTTTTGAAATCTGAAAATCAAGCATTTTTATGCATTTTGAAAAAATATATAAGCCAAGCATTGATGTTGTGATATTCAATGTATTGAACTTGAAGTGAGATTTGTATATTGAAATATATTTGAAGATTTCATATTCATTTGTACAGATATTTTGCAGCATAAGGTTTCACTTAAACAACATCTCTTCATATTATTTGTAGCTTTATGTTTGGTTTTGGATTTTGAATTGTTCTCACTTTGTTTAATCTGCCAATAAGAAAACATATCATGTTATAATAACATGGTAAAGTAGAACATTGGAAAAGTTGATGGTATTATGTAAAATAGAATATTGGTATCTGTGAGATGCTAAGTTGAAGGAAAGATCTTGCTTATTCTCAATTTATGTGCAATTTAGAGGAAGATGGTGAATTTATGGATGCTTAAAATTACTTCACATTTCATATCCTTTGAAATTGAGTATGTTTGGTTTGTTAGCATATATTGATATTACATATGAAGGATTTACAAAAATCATTGTATTATATGTAATATTTGCTGAATCTTTGCTTTCCAATAATTTGCAATATTTTATACATCCAATGTTTGGTGATTGTGTTTTATATTGAGCAGCATATTCCATGCATGCATAGGTATGCTAGATTTCACAACACTATTTAACCATTGACTTTTCATGTTTTCACTCCCAAATTTATGCAATACTATTATTATCTTGAAGCATTTTTATTCTTTTCAAGTTACAAAAGTCTATTATATTTTTATTTTACATGTTTTTGAGTTTTTATTAGCTTGCATACCATATACTTGTATTGCATATAATATGCCTCCAATTTTGCCAATGTATAAACTAGCACACATAAAAAACATAAACATATCCAATTTAATTCAGTTGTACACTTTCATTTGTGTAGTATAATTTGATCAAAAACACCCAAATATTTGTATAATATGTGCATATTTGGTGTAAATGGTGTAAAGTGTAATTCATCTTGAGATAATAGGCCAAGTTATATGTATCACAGTTGCATGTTCATCATTAAAATCATAAATGAAAATTCTAAAAAAACATCTTATGTTTTATATGGTCTGGTAGATTAATACATGATGTTCGGCAAGAAACACAGGGATTCACATCATAATGAAATATTGAAGATCACATTCTCTTGTCTCTTAGTAGCCTGGCCAGAACAAGTCATGCCTCTCTATTTTCTCAATAACTTTCTCAATTTTGAATATTTTTTCATGAACTTTTTACAGAATAAACTTTAAAGAATTCCTAACATACAATTTTTTTTATATGGTAAATGCCTCATTAATTTCATTGTTACAACCTTTTAAAAAAATAATGTCATATTCTGTTGATGGGTAATTTTTGTCGCCATTTTTCTAAAAAGAAACAAAAAAATCTAAATTACGTTTTTTCCCAATATGGTCTACAAATTTGATTGCAGTCTTTGATAGGGGATCATTTATCTTTTTTAGTGTTCTAAATCCACCATACTATTTCAAGACGTCATGATCTCAAGCCTCTATACTGCTCGTCCCATAAAAGGCATTACTACTCGCCTATTGTCATACTTGATGGAGATAAAAGATGCTTTCAAATGGCGACAAAAATGACCCATCAACAGAATATGACATTATTTTTTAAAAGGTTGTAACAATGATATTAATGAGGCATTTACCATATAAAACAATTTGTATGTTAGGAATTCTTTAAAGTTTATTCTGTGAAAATTTCATGAAAAAATATTCAAAATTGAGAAAGTTATTGAGAGAATAGAGAGGCATGACTTGTTCTGGCCAGGCTACTATATATCACACAAATGGCACTTCCATAGAAAGGATTATTAAAAGCGATGTGCTTTTATTTCTGATCTCCAAAAATGTTTCCAATTCATAATAACAATCTGTAACTTATTTGCAGTCTTTTACCTCAGTCTTCTGAGGTAAAACATGTCTACAGATACATAAAATACATGGCCCCATAAAAATTTAAATGTGTATGGCATGTTTCTCTGCTTTAAACAGTCTCAACAGTACGGCACTGCAATCCATTGTCAGTATATCCATTATTGCTTCATATAATCCCTTTTATTGTGCCATATATCCCACTTTATGGTGCAATATATCCTACATTATTGTAGGAAATATCTCAAATTGTTGAGTAATATACCTCCATAATTAATGGCACTGCGTGTATATGTGCATTAAACCTGCAAGCTGGAACTCAACATCTGTAGGAACACCTCTATAACATGTATAATAGGTTATAGAACAGTTTCCAAAAGACTTAAATCCCATTGACTTCCATGTTAATGAACTCCTTCTGTAAGGAACATCTGTCAACAAGAAACACTTTTTGGCCATTACTAAGAGTGTTCCATATACAGTAAAACCTGTCTAAGTGGAACACCTTTGGTACCTCTAAAGTGTTCCACTTGGCCGGTATTCCAGTAATAAAGGTTCATTTAACATTAAATCAGTTGATCTTGGGACTTTGAAGTGTTCCACTGACAGAGATGTTTGACTTTACAGGTTTCACTGTGCATAGGTTTTACACAATGTTTATCCATCTTTTTTAACCTTTTTTTAACATAAAGGTAAAAAGTTCTCTATGATCGACAGTATCTCCATCATTGTGCTGTATACCCCCCATCCATCAACATGGCAGCCCCTGTGATAGATACAGCAGACTCGGAGCACAGGTACAACATCATGTCAGCTATCTAGAACAGTAGAATAGGAATCTTAGGGGCCATGTCAAAATATCAATGTCATTTTTGTTGTAAAATATTTTATTGGGGTGGGGGATAAAAACTCAGATTTGGTTAGTATAAGAAAATCATTTCTTGAATTGGCAATGATGACGCATCCTAGTTACAATATGAACACAATAAAGGGGGGGGGGTATATCATAGATCCCTGAATTTTAATTTCTAGGGGATTTTTATGGCTGTAAAAAAACCACACTCCACTTTATGAGGAATAAGAGCTCTAAAGAATAAAGTACAAGAAATTTCCCCTTTATAATGACTGCGTGGTAAACTATTGATCTAATAGTACTATAAAGTTCAAAAATACTAATGAGTGATGAAATATCTACATGATTCATTATAATAGACTTGAGAGTCACTATGTCTTAATATTGACACTGTCTGGATGAAACAGTGACATCTTTTATACAAAACTTACATGCTGCAGCTCCACCATCTTTTTATTGGGAACAGATTCAAGAACTGATGCCTGGAAATAAATGAACTATTCAAAAGTCATGATTATGTGAAAGTTTCTTAGCACCATTAGATAAGTGGCTGGTATATGAGCATGTCTGTCAATGATTTGTTTAGGGATTTGTTATGATCCCTCATCCTTCCCAATTCCCATACATAAGGAACTGGTCTATGCCAGATTTCTTCAAAATTCCAAGAAGGGAATTATTCTAGAAACAGAGACAGTAGGTTATGAAGTGCTGGCTAACCCAAATTATTAATGAATGCATTCAAATGTCAGTACAATAACTACACCATGTACTTGACAAGAAGGATCTATCATTTACCTTTGCTTCTTCTGCTGAGCATCCCCTCTCCTTCCCTAGCCTTTCAAACCATGCCTTGGTAACTGAAACATGGAATATGGAACAGTGTTGAGGGAGATGATCTTTGTCATGATTTGCATTGATTTCAATACATGTTCGACTTGGTGAATACTGTTTTGGGAGAATTATTTCAATATTATGGCATACTATTGATTTCATGTCGAAAATGAGTAAAAGCATGTTCTTAAACTTTATGCTTACTATTTGATGAAGCAAATCCAGGACATATGCAATTAATTGTCACATTGGCATCTCCAATGTCAAGAGCTACACCCTGAAACATATAGTCAGATGTATGGAACTGTTACATATTCATAAATGTTCCACATACATGTAGGGGGATACAAATATGCACAAAATATAATTATATGTATTAATCATTTATGCTTCAAATATTGAAGGCCAAAAATCCTATCTAATATTGCACAACCAACAAAGTCCAACTTTTTAAGGAGAAAATAGCATAAGATAAAAATGAATATACATCTATATACTTGGATATTTCATCCATATTTATACATTATAGGTCTATTCATGGACCATAAGTTTCTTTATATAACTAAAATCATTGGTCCAGGAGGACCAGCAATATTTGGGAAATTGAAAGAGTTACCTTTGTGAGTCCTACAATTCCATGTTTCACTGCACTGTATACAGCTTTTCCTGCTGTAGAGACCATGCCGTGTTGAGATGCTGTGTTCACTATTCTACCCCACCCTGTAATGACAATAACATGTATTAAATACTTACAGGGTGAACCTATATTCCTATAGGACTGATTGCATTTGTAATTGTACCGTACAAACCTTTTGCTCTCATCTTTGGGAGGAAATGTTTTATGAGGTGAAAGGGTGCTGTTAGCATAACTGCAACACTGTCATTCCACCATTCAGTAGGATAACCTTCTATAGGGTGCACATGGTTGAAACCTGAAAATGATGGGTAGCATTAATACCTTCTACTTTGGGTGTATGGAAGGGCAAAATTAATAGGATATATGATCAATGTAGTTTGTATATCTTTGTATTTTTTAAAATGTAAATGGCAAGAACAATATAAAAATAAATGTAAATAAAAATTATACAAAGCATCCTGATCAGGAATAGGAAGATAAAACAAGGCACAGACGTGAACAATATCGTACCTAAAACACAGCATGTAAAAATTTGAATGGTTTGGCTGGAAACCTGTAGACAAGTCTTGAAAGTAAAGATTTTAGGATGGAAAATCCAAAATGGCCACCTTAAAATTTACCCAGAATGCCCAAAAACTAATCAGTTCTTGACGTTGATATGTAGAAACATCCCTGAAAATTTCAGATGAATCCCTCAAATGGTTTGGCTGAAAACCTGTAGACAAGTCTTGAAAGTGAAGATTTTAGGACGGAAAATCCAAAATGGCCACCTTAAAATTTACCCAGAATGCCCAAAAACTAATCAGTTCTTGACGTTGATATGTAGAAACATCCCTGAAAATTTCAGATGAGTCCCTCAAATGGTTTGGCTGGAAACCTGTAGACAAGTCTTGAAAATAAAGATTTTAGGACAGAAAATCCAAAATGGCCACCTTAAAATTTACCCAGAATGCCCAAAAACTAATCAGTTCTTGACGTTGATATGTAAAAACATCCCTGAAAATTTCAGATGAATCCCTCAAATGGTTTGGCTGAAAACCTGTAGACAAGTCTTGAAAGTGAAGATTTTAGGACGGAAAATCCAAAAATGGCCACCTTAAAATTTACCCAGAATGCCCAAAAACTAATCAGTTCTTGACGTTGATATGTAGAAACATCCCTGAAAATTTCAGATGAATCCCTCAAATGGTTTGGCTGGAAACCTGTAGACAAGTCTTGAAAGTAAAGATTTTAGGACGGAAAATCCAAAATGGCCACCTTAAAATTTACCCAGAATGCCCAAAAACTAATCAGTTCTTGACGTTGATATGTAGAAACATCCCTGAAAATTTCAGTTGAATCCCTCAAATGGTTTGGCTGGAAACCTGTAGACAAGCTGAAAAGTGAGATGCCGCCCGCCCGCCCGTCTGCCCGCCGCCCGTCAAGCTGACTACAATATCGTACCTCTTGTTAGGTACGATAAAAATTAGGTACCTGCACCAAGTCTCTTGACCCCTCCCCCTTCCTCAATTTTCTTCATGTTTTGAGGTGAGATTTGTTTGGATGGGGGTCACAGGGACTTGCTGCAAGACTAAAGTATGTTTCAAAATAAAAGAGTAAGCCACATTGTTCAAACAAAATACTAATAGAGGCACATAAACATGAAAACCTACCTGCATTGTTACATAGAATATCTATGCCTTCTGGATAAAGTTTATCTATTTCTGCACACATTGAATCAATTTCTTCAACTTTACGCAAGTCACAACTTACATGGTTGACATTCACTTTGAATTCCCTGAAAACACAAATAGTATGACTGTGCAGGTTGCATATTAAAGTGGGCAGATTAATGAATTTGGGGCCTCTTTTTATGTATGATGTATGATATGATAGCATTGCCATTATGACTGTATCATGCCTTCATGTAAAAAGGTTGTTTTGTCAGACTTGGTCTAGCTACAAGCCCTTTTGACCCACTATTTCCTATAGTGGGCTGTATAGCAAGGTTGGTCGGGGTCGGGAGCTGGGGATAATTTTATTGCTTAAATAAATCCATATAATCATCCTACATTAGAATCCACTTAGTCTAACATCAATTTCTGGTGCGAAAGTTGTCATTTTTGAGTTTTACCCCCCTTGAAGACAAATTCTTGGGGGTACTATGACAAATGCTTATAACCAAAGAAGTATTTATTTGATCATCTTCATTTTTGGCATGGGTAATTAACAGGTATGTAAAAGTAAAATTTGAAAAATTCATACAAATCGGGTGATTAGTCCATTCTAAAGATAATAATTCAGGTATTTTCAAGGGTCAATTTCAACATTTTCAGAATGTCGACATGAAGTGAAAATAACATTATGACCCAATGACATATCTCAGGCCTGTCAACTTGGGAACACCTAACATGAGTGACTTGGAAATGTTGAACACCTCCCCTCAAAATGTGGACACCTTGGTCCAAATCTGGACACCTTGATCCAATATTACATCTTGCCAAATTTTGAACACCTCAAATTTTTCGCGCTCGCTACGCTCGCGTTTCAAACATCCGTCAACGGGGGGGGGGGGGGGGGGTAGGGACGAAAAATTTCGAACGGAATGCGTGACATATACGTAATTCGCGTGAAAAGTCCGAACGAAATGCGTACATTTTTTTCCCGCGTTCGTATTTTTGCTGTGTAGACGATCTTTTTTAGAACTTTTTCCACAGAAATATTTTTGCTTGACAATTACCAGGTAAAATGCGTATTTGCGTGACATTTTCTGTCACGCAAAAATAACTGGCGTGACTTCAAATTCTTCAGCAAATGCGTGACAAATACGCAAATTGCGGGACAGTTGACAGGCCTGCATATCTATTGAATGTTTTTAGGCTTTAGAAAATAATTTGACTATATAAGCTAAAATAATAACATAAGAATTGTAGCATATTGATAATTCTTCATCGCCATCCAGGCACAAATAAACCCCATCCCCTCCCCATTTTCGAATATAAAGGTCTATACCTGAAACTTCCTCAAATAGCTATATTTCAGAAACTATTACAGCCTACATTCCAAAATGTCTCATGGTGATTATACACATCATACTCTGCATAATAGACATATAATTGAGATTTATCCATTCTATAGCTAATAATTAAGGTATTTTCAAGGTTCAATTTCAGCATTTTCGGAATGTCGCCATGAAGTAAAAATTACATGACCCAATGACATATTTATTAAATGTTTTTAGGCTTTAGAAAATAATTTGACTATATAAGCTAAGATAATAACATAAGAATTGTACGATATTGATAATTCTTCATCGCCATCCAGGGATAAATACCCCCCCCCCATTTGCAAAAAATAAAGATTTTTACCTGAAACTTTCTCAAATAGCTATATTTCAGAAACTATTACAGCCTCCATTCCAAAATTTCTCTTGTTGATTATACACATCATACTCTGCATATAATACATATAATTGAAGTCTTAACACTTTTTTGAGGGTGTAACTAATAATAATAGTATATTTATTAGACATCTTAGAAATCAAAATATATATTAGAAGGTTGTCACAACACTACAAGAGAGATATTTTGGATTGTCATCATTTTTGAGAATATTACAAAAACATATTTATATTACAGTATGCAATAATCACCTATTTTCATTTAATATAATTGAAATATATTATCCAGCTAGTTTTAATGATTTCAGTATATGCATTTAATCCCGAGATGCACTTGGGTTTGATATCCATGAAGTAATCGTTTCTTTTTTGTTTGAACTTTAGTCTCTAAGCATAAAACTATAAGGATTAAATCTGTATGCTTTAGGATATACACAATCAATACCGATGACTAAACATTCAATTGACAACATCCAGTCAATATGCTTGACAACATTCAATAATGATTAATATGTTCGACCAATATGTTTTTGAATAACTTCACCAATACAATTTGCTTGAGTATTCACTTCAACATTTGCTTCAAGCAGTTGAACATTGTTAGTTATCAACATCACCTAAAAAGATTTCATCTATGAAATTGTTGACTTCCTTATCTGTCATATCATCATCAATTTTGTCATCTGATTCTTCATTATAAATGCCTATCAACTCTTGTGGAAGAATGGCATTTGGATTTTCAGCCCATTGTATATCAAGTTCGCCATCTTCTAGGATCCATCCATTTTCTGCTGGAGAAGGTATATCCCTTTGGGCTTTGTGAGACTGCTTCCATATGTAACCTAGGTAGTTACATCTTTTACAATGTTGAACAAGGGATGACCTGCATGGAGGAAGGAGAGTGATGTCTATCCCATCATAGTTGTTGATAGAGGCTTGAGGTTGAAATCTGTTGGCAAAATGTATGTATCGTACATGATTGATGTCTGTTTTTTTTCTTTTCCCCGTACATGGTGCACTCAAATCTTTCGAGTTTTTGAAGCTGCCTTTGGTCAAGAACTATAGATTTTCAAAGTTCTTGAAAGATTGCATGCATGTCCTCTCTCTTGATCAGCTGTTTCAGAGGGTTTATTTTTCCCTTTCTCATGAAGGCACTGGTGGTATCACACCCTGTAAAACAGTGGATACCGATCAGGGTGGCTGTGATTGGATCACCCAAACCTGCTGCAACTGTCTTCAGATCAATTAGGCGCCTCTTGTTTGAAACTCCAGTGTCTTGGACTAGGTCTAGGACTTCCTCACTAACAACATGTGACCTATCACTTGTGAGTGAGAAGCACTTCTCATGACAAACAAAGTAAATTGGCGTGTTCTGAATTTTTTTCATATTTGTCTTTCTTCCATTCTGCGAGGATAAGTTGACCAAGCTGAATTTTGTTTTTGCTATTTGAAAGGAAGTCCTTCCAATTTTTTGGGACTTAAGTTTTGGGACCTTTCACTAGCAGTGGTTGCATTTTTACCTCTACGCCCGCCTTCTCTTAAATTCAGAACACGCCAATTTAGGTAGGTGGGGGCTGAAGCCACAAGACCATACTTGTCAGATCTCCAGACACAGATGTTATCTTACTCCTGCTTATTTACAGCAAACACCTAGTTCTCAAAGTACTGTTTGACACTGGAGTTTCAAACAAGAGGCACCTAATTGATCTGAAGACAGTTACAGCAGGTTTGGGTGATCCAATCAAAGCCACCCTGATCGGTATCCACTGTTTTACAGGGTGTGATACCACCAATGCCTTCATGAGAAAGGGGAAAATAAACCCTCTGAAACAGCTGATCAAGAGGGAAGACATGCATGCAATCTTTCAAGAACTTGGAAAATCTATAGTTCTTGACCAAAGGCATCTCCAAATACTCGATAGAGACATCAATCATGTACGATACATAAATGTTGCCAACAGATTTCAACCTCAAGCCTCTATCAACAACTATGATGGGATAGACATCAGTCTCCTTCCTCCATGCAGGTCATCCCTTGTTCAACACTACTAAAATATGTAACTACTAAGGTTACATATGGAAGCAGTCTCACAAAGCCCAAATTGATATACCTTCTCCAGAAGAAAATGGATGGATCCTAGAAGATGGCGAACTTGATATACAATGGGCTGAAAATCCAAATGCCATTCTTCCACAAGAATCGGTAGACATTTATAACAAAGAATCAGATGACGAAATTGATGATGATATGACAGATAATGAAGTCAACAATTTCATAGATAAAATCTTTTCAGGTTATGTTGATAACTAACAATGTTCAACTGCTTGAAGCAAATGTTGAAGTAAATACTCAAGCAAATTGTATTGGTGAAGTTATTCAAAAACATATTGGTTGAACATATTAATCATTATTGAATGTTGTCAAGCAAATTGACTGAATGTTGTCAATTGAATGTTTAGTCATCGGTATTGATTGTGTATATCCTAAAGCATACAGATTTAATGCTTATAGTTTTATGCTTAGAAACTAAATTTCAAACAAAGAAGAAAAGATTACTCTATGGAGATCAAACCTTAGTGTATCTCAGGATTAAATGCATATACTGAAATCATTAAAACTAGCTGAATAATATATTTCAATTATGTTAAATGAAAATAGGTGATTATTACATAATACAAATATGTTTTTGTAATATTCTCAAAAATGATGACAATCCAAAATACCTCTCTTGTAGTGTTGTGACAACCTTCTAAAACATATATTTTGATTTCTAAGATGTCTAATAAATATACTATTATTATTAGCTACGCCCTCAAAAAGTGTTAAGACTTCAATTATATGTATAATATGCAGAGTATGATGTGTATAATCAACAAGAGAAGTTTTGGAATGGAGGCTGTAAACGTTTCTGAAATATAGCTATTTTAGAAAGTTTCAGGTAAAAACCTTTATTTTCGCAAATGGGGGGGGGGGGTATTTATCCCTGGATGGCGATGAAGAATTATCAATATCGTACAATTCTTTTAGCTTATATAGTCAAATTATTTTCTAAAGCCTAAAAACATTTAATAAATATGTCATTGGGTCATGTGGTTTTTACTTCATGGCGACATTCTGAAAATGCTGAAATTGAACCTTGAAAATACCTTAATTATTAGCTTTAGAATGGATAAATCTCAATTATATGTCTATTATGCAGAGTATGATGTGTATAATCACCATGAGAAATTTTGGAATGTAGGCTGTAATAGTTTCTGAAATATAGCTATTTGAGGAAGTTTCAGGTATAGACCTTTATATTCGAAAATGTGGAGGGGTGGGGTTTATTTGTGCCTGGATGGCGATGAAGAATTATCAATATGCTACAATTCTTATGTTATTATTTTAGCTTATATAACCAAATTATTTTCTAAAGCCTAAAAACATTCAATAAATATGTCATTGGGTCATAATGTTATTTTTACTTCATGTCGACATTCAGAAAATGTTGAAATTGACCCTTGAAAATACCTGAATTATTATCTTTAGAATGGATTAATCACCCAATTTTTATGAATTTTTGAAATTTTACTTTTACATACCTGTTTATTACCCATGCCAAAAATGAAGATGATCAAATAAATACTTCTTTAGTTATAAGCATTAGTCATGGTACCACCAAGAATTTGTCTTCAAGGGGGTAAAACTCAAAAATAACAACTTTCGCACCAGAAATTGATGTTAGACTGAGTGGATTCTAATGTAGGATGATGATATGGTTATATTTAAGCAATAAAATTATCCCCAGCTCCCGACCCCGACCAACCTTGCTATACAGCCCACTACTATAACACACACCTCCACAAGTATGATGTTGAAGTAGTTAAGGGAGGGGGGGGGGGATCCAGTCTTGAAGAAAGTAAGTCAAAATTTCCAGTTCACTCTACCCATTTAATAATGACGATGTCACATGTTTTTCTGTATCATGGAAGAAATTCTTAAAAGTGTTAAAGGGTCTCATTAATCTTACATCTGTTATATTTAATCTAATTAATACTAATTGAGAGCCTTTAAGTAAGGACAAACCTGACAATATCCTCCTTAATTTTATTAATTTCATCTTGGTCCCCAAATCCAGTGATGACAATGTGACAACCTTTAGCTGCCAAAGAACGTGCCATAGTTAGTCCAATCCCACTCGTTGATCCTGTCACAAATGCCACTTTATTTTGCAGATTCGTCATTGTTGATTCAATCTTATATCTCCAAAGAAAAGTCAATTGTGGTGTCAGAGCTTAAGATCTATAACCAAAAAAATGTATAACTATCATTGTCAATTTCAATGAACTATATAATATATAGTACAGTGAAACCTGTTAAGTTGAACACCTCTACTAGAAGTGAAACACCTCTACTTAGTGGAGCATTTCAGAGTCCTAAACCATGCCTAAACCAACTGGCTAATGTTAAAAGTGGAACACCTCCAAAATTGAACACTTTTTAGAGGTATCAAAAGTGTTCCACTCAGACAGGTTTCATTGTAGTATCTACTGTCCTAATAATAAATGTAACATATCACATCACAGGACTTTATATATTTATTTATAAGTGCTTTTATAGTAATGTTTGTTTTATTATTTCATTCTTGACGAAAGTCATCAAAAGTTAATGTAATTCGTCTGTCATGATCATGTGAAACGAGTCTCTACGTTAAAAACCGGAGGTATGGATAAGTGAAACGGAAAACCTTGAAAAGTGATGAATTAGATCTAGAAAGACTTTGTTTTGGGAAACCGAAAGTGACCTCGCCCCCTCCAAGGTCAAGTGCATGTTAAAAATCGAAAATACAATCGAACTTTATATTATCAAACGAACAATTATTTTTAAAAACTTTACTTTATGATAATTTACTGTGTTTAGGAAAAATAAATCTATTTAGTTGACTCTTGAACTGTTAGATTTATTGTTTTCGATATTTTTTTCTTGCAGAAAGTTCAACATTTAGACATATCTCGATAGTAGTAGGACGCCATTATTAGCACGAGTAAAATTCTTACACATACATATAAACTTAATTTCTACCTCAATATGAGTAATTTTTTAATCACTACTTCGGGAGATGGCAGAAGAAACATTAATGGTAAGTTTTTTGCAGTTATGTTGAATTTCGGTGACATAAAACGTGATGTACAAGGGTAAAAGTATTTTCCGTTTTTGAAAAATCAGCAAAAAATTCAAAAATTTGGGCTACAGCCTAAATCTATAGTATTTCTTTGTACTGTAGCAGACGGGGCTGCTCGGGCTCTGATGAGTTGGACTATCGGAGTTTTGACTTTCATCAGAGCTGGTACAGCAGCAACACAAATTTGCAGAAAACTGAGAAAAATTAAGAAATTTGAACATATGTGCCACCGTACCACAAAGAGAATATTTTTGGGAAAATAGTGAGAAGTGAGGAACCTTAGCCTCCCTTGTTTCTAGCATAGGTCAATGGAAAAGTTATAGTAAGCTGTATATAGAAGAGACAGGTGCACAAGTCTGACTTAGACCACTTGTAAGCACATGCTATCTATTGCAAGACTTACGCCTGCCACAACCGTCACCATGTTAATCAGTGTTTTTTAAGTAGCGCAAGGATCCTGCCATGACCGTGGTAGTGTTATCGTGTAAGCCTGGTATAACCGTGACAGGCTGGTATAACCTTATCCCGTTCCAGGACTATGGTCCTGTACGGAGCCCATACATTTGCCTGTACGATTACAACTTGGGAGAATTATCTACGCCCCTTCCACTTAAGAAACCTACCTCAGTGCATTCTAGAACTCAAAATGTAACTTCTAATATATTGGAACCGCCGATTGTCTGGGTTAGTTGGCAGAACGAGGTCTTTTTGTTTCTTATGGCTCTTTTGGTCGAAGTTCGATTAAGGTACAGCTGGAAAGTAACATTTTGGTAAAAAATTGCTATACCTGCACATGTTATTTTCTGGTACAAAATAAAGTATGAAGGCATGTATCAATTTCCTTGCTTTTTTCAGGAAAGTATCATTACATTGTCTTCTTTTAGAATATCTGGTAGGCGTTCAAAGGGAACTCCAGGGAATTCTGATATTTCACACTTCCTGTTTTTCCAAATTTTCTTTCAAAGTTTCCAGACAACACAGGAGCTACCATTGACCTGTTTCCAGGTTTACTAAAAGTAGACAGTGTAATGATACTTTCCTGAAAAAAGCAAGGAAATACACACATGCCTTCATGCTTAATTATGTACAAGAAAATAACATGTGCAGGTATAGCAATTTTTTACCAAAATGTTACTTTCCAGCTGAACCTTAAGATGGCGGTTATAACGGAATTTCCCGAACTCTTCCGTAATAGCACGAACTTGGTTTTTCGTTACGTCACTTCCGTGTAAAATGGATTTGTTACCGGTAAGAGGGAATTTCGAAAATTTCGGACAATATTTTCAATATTTACTGCCATGTCGACATCCTATGCTCTTAACTGTATACCGAATGGTTAAACAATGTTTCTTACCGGAAACAAATCCATTTTACACGAAAGTGACGTAACGAAAAACCAAGTTCGTGCTATTACGGAAGAGTTCGGGAAATTCCGTTATAACCGCCATCTTAATCGAAATTCGACCAAAAGAGCCATACGAAACAAAAAGACCTCGTTCTGCCAACTAACCCAGACAATCGGCGGTTCCAATATATTAGAAGTTACATTTTGAGTTCTAGAATGCACTGAGGTAGGTTTCTTAAGTGGAAGGGGCGTAGATAATTCACCCAAGTTGTAATCGTACAGGCAAATGTATGGGCTCCGTACAGGACCATAGTCCGGGAACAGGATAAGTATAACCGTGACAATGCTGTATTCTATTACAAGGCCTGTCATGACCCTGGAAGTGTTATCGTGGAAGCCTGGCGCGACCGTAGCCTTTATTGTGGTTTATAAGCGAACGTGAATATTAATGTATAGTAGTAATTTTGATTTTGACATGATTAAGATAGTTAAACACCATGATCATAGTATTAAACTGTTTAATTGTAATGAAGATCACTTAAAATTGTTAAGGATATTCCTGGCATTAATGTCATACATATTTACTAGTCATTGCAATACATTATAACGGTCATAGTAGAACTAAGCCTAAATCTCTACATTACCACCCTCATACCTGGCCTTGCAATACTATGTTACATTGTCACGGTCATACCAGGCTTTGCAATACACATTGTCACGGTTATAGCAGTCCTAATTGTAAATTTCTACATTACCACTCTCATACCTGAACTTGCAAGACTATATTACATTGTCACGGTCATGCCAGGCTTTGCAGTACTACATTACATTGTTACGGTCATACCAAGCCTTGCAGAACTATATTACATTGTCACGGTCATGGCAGGCATTGCAATATAATACAGCATTGTCGCGGTTATACCAGGCTCTCACGATAACATTACCACGGTCATGGCAGGATCCTTGCGCTACTTAAAAAACACTGAATAACATGGTGACGGTTACGCCAGGCGTTAGTCTTGCAACAGATAGGGTCTCCTTGTAAGGTTCAACTGGAAAGTAACATTTTGGTAAAAAATTGCTATACATGCACATGTTATTTTCTGGTACAAAATTAAGTATGAAGGCATGTGTGTATTTCCTTGCTTTTTTCTGGAAAGTATCATTACACTGTCTACTTTTAGTAAACCTGGAAACAGGTCAATGGTAGCTTCTGTGTTGTCTGGAAACTTTGAAAGAAAAATTGAAAAATAGAAAGTGTGAAATATCAGAATTTCCTGGAGTTCCCATTGAACCCCTACTAGATACTCTTAGAGAAGACAATGTAATGATACTTTCCTGAAAAAAGCAAGGCAATTGACACATGTCTTCATACTTTATTTTGTACCAGAAAATAACATGTGCTGGTATAGCAATTTTTTACCAAAATGTTACTTTCCAGCTGTACCTTAAGCACAGGGAAGGACTCCAAGCTGTTGATATACACCAACTGAAAAATCAAATAAAAAATTCCTTGTCATCTCAGAACAACAATGAAGTACATCATTTGATAGATAATTGGTACAGCAATGAGTCATACAAGTTGAGAGTCGGATGGACTGTTGCCCTTAGCTGGGGGTTTACGTAAAACACCGACCACCGACCAGTCACTCTCCACAGTTGGGTACATGTGGTCAGTGGTTGGCTGACGGTCTTTTACATAAAGATGAAAAATGCAAAATTAGAAGTAAAACTAAAACTGGGAATCCAATGACTATAGTACCTTTACTAGGTCGTGATTTAAAAACGTATAATTATCATTTCAAATCACGATGAAAACGTTACATCGTCGTGGTGTGTAATGTCTTTTTTTAAGTGATGTTTCAGTTGTTAGAAGACCAATTTTATCCTGGTTAGTCACTTTGGAAAAAAAGCATGTAACATTGCATTAAGTTCATTCTTCATTCATATGGAACGCAATAACAAAAACACACAAACATCGTCGATGTTGACATCGTAACGTTATGTTTGATTTCTCAGTTGTTAAACCTCAACTGGTAAAAACTACATTTGATATGACAAAAAAAGCTTTCTAATGGTGTACTGAAATGGTAAGTCATTTTTAATCCCGATAAGAGAACGCATGTAACATTATATCGTGTTCAGTATTCAGTAGGCTATGACGATAACAAATCATTTTTGTTTCGAAATTGTTAAATTTCAGTAAAAAATTAGGATAGATTCCCGTAGAAACGATAGGTTGGTTAATGATAGGTTAGGACCTAATGCAGGACAATTAATCGAGAGGAGACGGTCATGACCAATTTGTTTGCTTGCCATTCGTTGCAAGGTACAAAATCGGTAAAAAACGTTGTCTAGTCCAACGATTGACATTCAAAATCAAATTATTAATATTCTAAGGCTACAAATATGTTCGGTCTTTTACATGATATGGTCGGTCTTTTACACATTTTCTTCAAACCCTGTTTTGAGGCTACCAGTGGAAACCACCGACCGGTCGGTGGTCGGTGGGGTCGGTCTTTTCCATAAACCCCTTAGCTGGCTTAGTCCACTCTGTCAAAACTCCAATAATCGAACTCATCTGAACTAGTGTTCCAAATGGTAGTGTAAACTGATGCCGGTATTACCGCAATTCAATACCTTACCGTTACCGAATACTGCAATTTTGGGTCTATGTTCACGAATTCGTACGTTTCTGTGACTGAGTTTAGATTTTGCCAAAGTTATTGGTGGTGAATTTGGTCCCTTTCATACAAACGCAGTTTAAAGTCCTGATTTATCAATGTCTTACCTGATTATCGATAATTCCTGCATTGAATCAAGACATCTACAGCCAGCTATTTAACGTAGTCATTCCTCAAACTGAAAAATATGAAAAATATTTTCATTTTTTGACAAGTTCTTCCGCTCGCCAGGTGGCGCCCCTAACTCTTCAAAAAGGAGACAAAAAAAAGTAAATATTTCCGATGTGAAAAGATTACTTTTCTTCACCTTTTATCGATGCTTTTAAGCACTTAGTCTTGCGATTTATGGTAAGTTGAATTGATTCTTTAGATATTCCGGTATCCGGTATTTGAATTTCAGTGCCGACATTAGGCCAGAATGCCACCGTAACGGTACTTCCAGCAATACCGCAGATCACTAATCTGAACTAGGGCATCCCAGTCTACTTGATGGTATGATCTCCACACATTTTTCAATTTGTTGCTTGTTTTTAGATGATGATAATGGGAAGCAATATAGCAGAGGTGGTCCACAGAGACGAGGCAGAGGTCGAGGGGGAGGAAACAATAACTACAGAGGCAACAAAGGCAGAGGTGGATATAGAGGAAGAGGTGGTGGAGGTAAGTAAATAATAGCTGTAAACAGTATTTCTAATCCATAGAATAACAAGTAACTCTCATTCTTACTTCAATCATGTTATAACCTGAAACAGACTATTTGTTCCCTATTCAGTCTGACACAAACACAAATTGTCTGCCTATTTAATTGACTTATTTAAATCTATTTATATCATTTATATCATATGTCATTTCAATATATATAAAGACATGGCTAGTAATGCCAGTATGGCACAGCCATTGAAATAAATTTATAAATAAAAAAAAAGAACTTATTTAAATGAATCTATATTACGGTCATTTCAATTTTTGAATTAATCCAATCTGTAATTTTGAACTGCATGCCCAGTACATACAAACATAGATATAAACAATCATGATTTTGGATGTATTTCTACAGGTCCGAACCCACGCTCACGTATAGCTGATGAAGATGATGAGGGAGATGTTGATATGGGAGACTCTGGAGCTTCAGGATCTAGGAACAACAGAAAATAGTAAGTTCAAATGGTCCATATATAAAATATAGGATGTCCTCTCTGTGTGGTTCTTACATTGACCATTCTGTCTAAATAGCCAGGAGAATGTCTTAAAGTGATTTATAGTCTATTTACCTGATTGTATGGTATTTGTATCAAGAACTTGCCACTGTTATTTTGTTTGTACATAGACTTGAAAATGCTTTAATTATGAGATAAGTGACCCATGTGTCATTGAGACTAACAAGGTTATGAGTTGATAAATGGTATAATAGAAATGATGTTTAGAAAAAACTTAAATCATGCTCTGTATAAATTATTCCATGTAATATTATTGCTCAACTTCACAAATAAAGCGTATGTAATCCAATGTTTACAGTAATCCCTATGGCAACAGACCTCCTACACGGCGGGGTGACAGACCTGGAGGGGGCAAGGCCTACATGGACAATGAGGCTGGGGGGTCAGCTGGGGTGATGAGCAGACTTGGTTTACCTGTACAAAGAGGTAAGCACGGTGGTAAGATATTTGTTTGTAGTCTGTGTGTGGGGACTTCTACTGGCTGGTTGTAGTTAGTGTCTGGGGACTTCTACTGGCTGGTTGTAGATTGTGTGTGGGGACTTCTACTGGCTGGTTGTAGTATGTGTGTGGGGACTTCTACTGGCTGATTGTAGTATGTGTGTGGGGACTTCTACTGGCTGGTTGTAGTTTGTGTTTGGGGACTTCTACTGGCTGGTTGTAGTATGTGTGTGGGGGACTTCTACTGGCTGGTTGTAGTATGTGTGTGGGGACTTCTACTGGCTGGTTGTAGTTAGTGTCTGGGGACTTCTACTGGCTGGTTGTAGTTGGTGTGTGGGGACTTAACTTCTACTGGCTGATTGTAGTATGTGTGTGGGGACTTTTACTGGCTGGTTGTAGTATGTGTGTGGGGACTTCTACTGGCTGGTTGTAGTATGTGTGTGGGGACTTCTAGTGGCTGGTTGTAGTATGTGTGTGGGGACTTCTACTGGCTGGTTGTAGTTAGTGTCTGGGGACTTCTACTGGCTGGTTGTAGTTGGTGTGTGGGGACTTAACTTCTACTGGCTGATTGTAGTATGTGTGTGGGGACTTTTACTGGCTGGTTGTAGTATGTGTGTGGGGACTTCTACTGGCTGGTTGTAGTATGTGTGTGGGGACTTCTAGTGGCTGGTTGTAGTATGTGTGTGGGGACTTCTACTGGCTGGTTGTAGTTAGTGTCTGGGGACTTCTACTGGCTGGTTGTAGTTGGTGTGTGGGGACTTAACTTCTACTGGCTGATTGTAGTATGTGTGTGGGGACTTCTACTGGCTGGTTGTAGTATGTGTGTGGGGACTTCTACTGGCTGGTTGTAGTATGTGTGTGGGGACTTCTAATGGCTGGTTTAAGTATGTGTGTGGAGACTTCTACTGGCTGGTTGTAGTTGGTGTGTGGGGAATTTTTCTAACTGATCAAACTATGTAACTTCGATGATGCGAGTCAAAAAGTAATTTATTTATTTTAGAATTCTTTGACTATGTAGTAAATCAAGTAAACTATAGTTGCATTTTAAACTTTATGTTTATGTTTAGGAGGTGGTAACAGGGGACGAGGTAGAGGCAATTCCCGTGGTAACAGTAAAAACTACGACAACAGAAAAAATGACTATATCCAACCCTCAGAACAATGGTTCAAAGTCTTGGTAAATATCCATATTGTCATTAATTATTGACTTGCTTTATGTGACCAATTGCATTTGGCACATCCAATATCTAATTGTCTTTACAATTCTGTTTTTGAACTATCATTACATACATGCTCACCATTATCTCTTTGTATTCCATCCAATTTAAGGGTTATTTTTGAAAATGATGACATGAGTCATATATGTGTTTCAGATTCCACATGGCAAGAAAGGAGAGAAAAGCTTTATCCTCAGGGAAATTACGAAACTTTCTGCAGTACCTTTTGTTCCAATTAATGTGAGTATTCTACCATACCTGTAGCAACCCTGTTAAAAATATTATTGCACCCTGTTAGAAAGTTAAAATTACCAAAGCTCATAATTTTGGGGAAAAAACTGGTGAGATCACACACAGTACTGGTATTGTAGTGAAGGTGAATTTCACAGCATTCAAATGATGGCAGCTAAAGTCGAATAGTTCACCTCGCATATTTCTGCATTGAACCAGTACCATTTTATTTAGATAAAAAAGAATTCCAATTAATGTGTTTAACATTATTTCAGTACCATTATGAAGGTGAGATGGTAGTGTTCTATGTCCAGGGAAGGACAGAGGCTAATGCTGTCAGAGATGTTACCAGGAGAATCACATTGCCTAATGGCTTTAAAGTGAGTTTGTGATAATGTCTTCATAATATTGAAAATTAATGTTTGTTCACATAACAAATACAAACTGGCTCAACATGACACAAATACATTTCTATTATCTCCAAAAAACAATTGTGTCAATCGATTATAATATCGAGGTAATTAACAGTGGGTGGGATGTTCCATCTAGTTACCAATTTGCTTATCCTAATCTCATTCATATTAATCCAAGCTCCTTAGAATCAGATTTTGGCTTTATCCATTCACACCTTTGAAATACAATGGAATGTACAGTGTAACCAATTTTAATGTTTCATGTGAACAGGTGCAATTTGAAAATTTGCCCTAAAACAATGTTCCTTGTACCGAGTTAACAGGTATTCCATACAGAGAGGGTCGTCTAAGTTAATGGAAAAATATTTGGTTCTTTTGAAAACTTGTCCATAAAGACAGGTGTTCCATAAAGGAAAGTGTTCCATCGGACAGGTTTTACCGTATAGCAAATATATCCTAAATAAATTTTACGTTTAAATTAGCAGCCATGTTAATGAACTTTGTATTTTAATGTTTGATATGCTTTATGCTTGACATAAAGTGACATTTTGCTTGTTTCAGATGATAATTCTTACAAAGTTTATGCCCAAGGGCCCAGAAGAGAATAAATCATACTCTAAGCCAATGTCTGAGGAACAAATAGAAAAAATGAAGGTATGCCTAAAGTAAAAATATGAATTTTCATGATTACACAAAAATAATAACTTGACAGAATACATGTTTAAAGTATTTACATAAGATCAATTATATAATGATAATTGTACACTGGCTAGTGGCTATGTATTTTGTGTGTTCACAGACACAATTACACAATGTTCTCCCAGTGGGTAGCCTTACTTTGCTTGACATTCCTTAAGTCATTATGTATTGTGAATTATCACCAGAGTTTTTTTTAGATAAGTATGAGTAAAAGATATGACCCAGCCACACAGACTTTGGACATGAGCGATTTCTTCAATGACACAGGTGAGTTAATTTTTACAGAAAGTTTTGGTGCTTGGTTAGAATTGGTGATTCCATCGCTCATCCGCTTTTCTTTAAGCAATACATTAATGAGAGTATTTATTAAAAGTATGATCAAATAATGGAGGCTAATTTTGAGATTTCTAAAATTTTATGAACCACAGTTTTCAAGATTGTGTGGGAGCTATCCATTGTGGGAGTAAGAACAGCGGTAACCGCTAAAATCTACACTGTACTAGAAATATATTACTAGAATTATATATTCCATAATTTAGAGCAATAAGATCTGTTAAAGATTGTTTGGACCATGCCAAAAGACTGAAGTATTGTTAAATTTAAAGAAACCCCCAAACCAAGTCATGCGACTATGTAGAATTATTGTGTGGTAAATTCATTGTAAACCACCATGATAAACAGAAGCTTGTGAAAGAATTTGTGCAGTGTTTTACTATAAATGATCTTTATTTTCAGATCTTAATAATGAGAATATTAGGGTGGTACTGAATAGACCCAACCCAATGGAAAACTTCTTAAAAATAGTGAAGGAAAATATCCCTGAGACTTTATCACTGAATCTCTCTGACAATCGACTGATGTCATTGGGTGAGCTTGGACCCCTGAAGGATGCCGCCCCTGGCCTGAAATCATTGAATCTCTCAAATAACTCTGTAAGTATATTGTACCTTGTCAATGGTTGAGAAAATGTATGTCTTTTAAGGGACCAGAATGAGCATGTACATCATATATAAATATATAACCGCTTATTTATCTCATATTCAAAAAGATAACAGGAATATAAATGCAGTCCTTCGGGAAAATCAGCTCAGGAATTTCATTAGCAACAGGCAATATTTTCTGCTTGTTTTTTCTGAAATCTCCTGTTGTTCTACAGAAAGTAACTGTTTCCATGTTAAACTTAATTTTGTCTGTTGTTTCTTTATCACCACAAGTGCTGATATATTGTAAGGTCTCCAATTTTTATGACAGTATTTGGCTTCTGATGGTCAGCGTTCAGCATTAATAACAAATGGAAGGGGTGACATTTTGCATGTTAATGCCTTGTATTGCCTGTTGTCAAAAATACTATATCTAGTGGTGGTATACATTTCATGTATGATATTTCCCTCTGGATATTTCCAATATTTAAAACCTCTATACATGCATCATTGTAGTTGAAGAGTGACTATGAACTGGACAAGATCAAAGGTTTGATGTTAGAGGAGTTGCAATTAGATGGTAACCCACTATGTGACAGGTATCAGGACCAACCCCAGTATATCAGGTATAGTACAAACCTTTCTACCAACCACACAGCTGGGACAAAGTTTGTGCGACATACTTCTAGGATGTTTGGCTGAGACAATTGGTATCATATTCATTGATGGGGATATACCAAGTGGAAACACATTGTCAGACTCAGTGTGGAACGCATGGTGGGCACTCATTGAGCATTGCAAATATTGAACCACATTTGGTGTGGTGAATATTGAGCTGGACTTTGTGCAGCAAAATTGTAAATGCTTGATTATTGCACATATTGTATCAGGATGTTAGTGGATTTCAAATGTCACCAAATGGAGATGGAGTGACCATTCCTTCTACCAGGTGGCGCTATCTGCTACCATGTTCTATCACCAGAGGGAGTTATCAACCAACAAATTGCAATCTTTGGATGAGTACAAGATGAAACATTTCATTGAATTAATGGAAAAACTATTGAATTCTTTTAAGATATTCACAAGACTTTTTAACATGGTTGCCAACGGTGTGAAAATCAATGTGAAATACATGTTTATTGAAATGGGATTAAATGCATTCAATGTTTTTGTAATGCTCACATTAGCCTTGGTTTTATTAAGGGGTGGGGTGTTGACATTAATTCATTTTGGCCCCTAATGAAAAAATGGAGATAACACATATGAACTTCAAGATTAATTGAGACTTATACTTAAACTTGTAATATTGAACACAATAAAACTTCTAATGAATTGAACCCGTTGATCTGCATTATAAAGTAAGATATTTGAGATCCTTAAAGTCAAACTTTATTGGAGAAATGACATCATTATAAAGCTAAACCCAGAGATTAGCTGTAAAACCAATGTTAGTAAATGGCTTATTGCTAACCTTTCTGTTGGGTCACTGTCTATGATCTTTGCTAATCTGTATGAACTGTGAAATCTCATTCCCTTTATATCATAAAGCATTTTCCAGTATCCAGTTATGCCCTCCTGTCTCAGAAGAATATTTCATGCTGTATTATACCATGTATATGTTGTATTAATTGACAACGCATCAATGATGTGTGACATTTCTCAGTATGATACACAACATGTTTGCTGACCTGCTGCAGCTGGACTTGAGATAGTCTTCTAAGAAGATGACATGGGTGGGAGCCAATGACGGGTAAGACTGCCCCCAGGGTAGCAACCTAAGACAGGCCCCACCCAGCACCTCTAAAACATACCAGCAGGTTCGATATCTTCTGTCCTCTTCCAGCTCCAATCACATGCCCACTAGACTTACTTTTCTATTATCCCAGTCCAGTTTGTTTATCTTGCATCAAGCTTTTAATTTTTATTCTCCTCTCTCTATACAGGTTGATCCTCAAATACCATAGGTAATGGGGAAGAGAGTGAGTGTTACTCAGGGTTTTGATGCAAGACTAGTACACTGTCCCTTGTGCAAACAGTTCCCATAATCGATATTAATAATCAGTTTTATATATGGAATATGAATTATGCCCCTCGGCCCATTATATATTTATATATTTATAAAGCAGTTGTTGATTAAAGCAAAGCATAGACAGCCCAACTTACTAAGTAAAATATTTGCCTGGAATTGATTATTTCCCATGGAACCTTCAAATATACATAATCACAGAATCTGAAATATGAGATATCAAAGTAAATTTGCCACATAACTACCCTTGAAAATAATCTGATTTCGCTTCCTTAAATAAAAATATGCAGACACATATGCCTGCATAAGTAAATGGCATTTATTTTATATTCATTCACCTGAGAAAAGATGTCAGTCAAATTGCTACATTTGGAGTCATTAAGATCTCATTGGCATCACAACTGTTATATCTGCCCTATTCAGAGGCTAATTCTTCGGTTGTAGGGTGCTACATGATTTTGATATTCATGCTGTAAACTATACCAGACAAATTCTTGCAAATCTGATCTGATCTGAAGAAAAGCTGGTAGAATTTTTTGAAGTGAATAATTAACATTCAGTAAATCTGGTTAAAATTGAGGATTGTAAACTTTAAAATTTCCTCCTAGTTAGTCATGCGGTTTGTCTCTTGGGGTCTCTAAATTTGTAAATATCATAAAGAGGACATGGTAAATGGATAGTTTTTTCTTGGGATATTCAAAATGAGTGCATTTCATTCTAACAAAATAAGGTGTCTTCATATTGATTTTCACATCATGGCTAGTTTGTAACTTATAACATGTTGCATCAAAAGTCAGATATATTAATCTCAACTATATTGAACTCTTCCTTGACAATATCATCAAAGAAATATCACGAACACTAAATACATGTGAATTGTTTGCCTTAATGCCACCTTGGCAATCTTGTTGAAATATTTTCAGCGCCATCAGGAAGAGATTCCCCAAAGTCATAAAACTCGTAAGTAAATATGTTTTTCATTTCGTTTCATTGTTTTATGATCTTCTCAGATCCTTAATGGATGATCATAAGTGTGCCAAATAGTAAAGTACTGTAAAGTAAGATTTACCTTGCCTCTTTCTAGTCATAACCTGTCCCCTAGCGAACACCATTTCTCAAACAAACTCCAATGACCTCTGCATTAACATATACACTGTGAATCTTTTTTGTGTCTCTAAATATGTTCAATATACACAGGTTTTACTGTACTATTAATACATATGTCATTTGTGAGATGTAACAAAGGCATTGTCTATTTTAACGGCACTGACTGAAAATCCCTTGGGTTTCTGTAGCCCTAGGAAAATACCAGTGCCCACATTGACAAGTCTATTGAAGAAACTCTCTGGGACATTCTCATACCCCTAGATATCTTTGGTAGATGACATTTGATGTTTACTACTTGGGCTGTTATGGAAGTCTCAACCAACATGTCCAATCAGTCATAATTGGGAAAGTTTACATGGCTTAATCTGGTGATAATAAGCCTAATGAATGAATATTAATCTGAAGAATATAGTTTTGGAAATTGTATTTTCTGCACTATTTTGCACTTATTCCACTTCAGGATGGGGAACCTCTTGCAGCTCCTATAACGTTTGACCTGGAGACTCCTACAAGACTGCCACCTAGGAAAGAGAGTTATTTCTTCAACTCACAGGCTCAGGATGTTGTCACTAAGTTCATAAAGCAGTAAGTGGATCTACTGTTTATCTGTTGTATTGCTATCAAATAGTATTTACAAGGGAACAAAGGGAAGCATCCAAATGTTGACATGTGGACAAAAAACAAGTTGACATCCTTGTCATTTGACCTCTGTAGAAGAAAGATATTTTATAATTTCCTCTTCTGATAACTTAATAGCAAATTTTGAGTGTCTTATATTGTATGTCTTGTTTTCAGGTACTATGATATTTATGATTCTGAGAGTAGACAGGGACTTTTGGAGGCCTATCATGAGAATGCTCTCTTCTCCATATCATGTGCAAATAACCCCTCAATTCAAGGGTGAGTTATTGTTCAATATATCAAAATTGTTGTGTAGTTTTAACTGTCTGTGAAATCTAAAAATGATACTTTTTCAAAATATTTTTTCGTAAGATGTATGGTAGGTTCCCTGTAGTTCAAAATATTCGATACATGTATTTTTGATTGAAAATTTTGTAGTTCTGAATCATTTGTTTTTTTTCTTCAGGAATCAGCCATTCCTCAATTCCTATATCCAAGACAGTCGTAACCTACAAAAGGTCTACAACTCAGGTATGTACATGGGATAATCTAAAGTTTGTCAACATATGTGCCAAAATCTTTCTATTACCAGACTTCTTAAGTCTTATATTCTAGATCTTGAAAATTGTAATAAATTGAAGCTGACCCTAGACTCATGGTCTTCATTAAGTTAAATCTCTTGTTTTGGGTTTTAATTTTAAGGCATATGCATTTTGGTTGAAATTCAAAACATTGCATTGATCTTCCCCAATTTTGATCAAAATACCCCAATATTTCATTCTTTTGACATGTGCTAACATATTCTCAATAGAGAGGCATGCACTTTTCAGATTTTGACATGGATACAGCACCTACTTTAATGGTAGGGATAACCCTGGACCATGTTTGAATTTGATTCCTTAAAAACAGAGGTTTGACTTTGTATAGTGCCTCTGCATATTTGACTGTGTGTCTTTCAGATAAAAGGATGCGACTTTTGAAACAAGGGAAGCTGAATGTAGTTGCCTTCCTCACCAACCTCCCCAAGACTAAACATGATATGAACAGTTTAGTGGTGGATGTCAACCACATCAGTGTAAGTAACTCAGTCTTGAGTCCTCCATCAAACTCCACCCATATTAGAAATGGCGCATCATATGACATGCAGTTCAAGTGAAATTAATTTTTAGTGAAGGCATGATGATCTACCAGGTTATTCCAAAAACTTTTTATTTTACAAGACCATTCGTTTTTACTTGTGAGTGTTCTTTGCAGCAGCTTCTTTGTAATTCAATGTTTGTATTCACTTGTAATCACATGTTTCTATTTCTTTACAGGCCTCTTTGTTGAGTTTCACAGTAAATGGGGTCTTCAAAGAAAGTGAGTAGTTTTGTATCATTACTTGAACTTATTAACAACAAACTTATTCTTCAATTACAAATGTAACTTTAGGCTCAAGATTATTTTGTCTCTGATTGATGAAAATTGATATTGAATCATCTGAGCAGGGATTTATATTCATAATCTAACCTTAATTCCAGCTGATTCTAAAACGGAGCGTCCTCCAATCCGTCAATTCAGTAGAATGTTTGTGACGATACCTCAGGCTGGAGGCATAGCTATCACCAATGATGAGATAACGTACAGTAATGCTAGTCATGATCAGATGAGGGTAAGTGGAGAATCAATAGAGATAGAACTATTCACAGGGTCACTGATAATACAATATAATACATAAAACACTGACTTGTTTGAGCTAAAGTGATGAGTGTTCACTAATAAAAATGTATTGCATAAAGGCTTCTCATAGATTTTTTATAGATAAAAATCATTATGTTTTCATCATTTTATGAGGGGATTTTGGGATGTTAGCTTTTTATAAACCAGTATTTAACTGTATTTGAACATTCAGAAAAGCAGCCAGTGTTGTGATGTGATAAAAACCAGTTAAAATATACAAACAAGTATAACAGTATCGGATATAATTTTGTTTTCAGTCAGCATTCAAGACACCAGCTCCCACCCCCTCTCACAGTCCAGTGCAAGATATCCCTGGGCCATCATTACTCTCTTCCCCTGTCCCTACCCCCATTAACCCAGCCAGTATTGTGACACCCCCAGGCCTAGCGGGGACTCAGTTCACAGAGATCCAGCTTCAGATGATACAACAATTCTCTCAACAGTCAGGCATGAACCAGGATTGGTCAATGAAGTAGGTTAACTAATGCACTATTTTTTATCATCACTGAATTTAATTTTACAATTGATGAATATTTGTTGTAAGAGAAATATTGGGTGAAATTTGTGCAAGGGTACATTAATAATGTGTGATACTAGATGCTTAGCTAAATATAAATGATTTGATAACAATTTGTTACAACAGTTAAGTTAGTATCAAATCATATATCCTCCATAGTTTCCTACCGTACGATGTGTAACAAAATCTTAGTAAAATAGAATCACATCTGAAATGAGAATTCTGAGATACAATAGTCTTGGCATTTGCAATTTCAAAATTTTACCACTGTAAATAAGTTTTAGAAATGGATTGAATTCTTATTGTATACTGTATGCTTATACAGGTACCTGGATATATCTGGTTAGATTGTAATACATCGTCTTATTGTTTCAGGTGTTTGGCACAGAATGATTGGGACTTTGAGAAGTCTGCTCAAGTGTTCACAGATCTACGGGTAAGTACAAATGTACAATTTGGGGAAATCCTATCAGTCAAATCCAGTGATCTTCCAAGCATTGAAGCAATCAATCCCTTTGAGATATGAAGAGTTTTAAAAACAGGCATGTTCTGATCAGTGTCGGACATCGCTGAGTCAGAAAAGAGAAAATGCAATAATGCACTAATTTAATTTTAGAGAGGAAAACATTTAGAAACTTAGCACAGAACAGAATATTAATTTTATAAATGAAAGAAACATCAGCTCTACATTAAAGGGCATGAGGGGGTACACATAGATATGAGGTTTTATTGAAATGAAAATTGAAGATTCTATTTTTTCCAGAATAAAGGCAGTATTCCTCCAGAGGCATTTGTCAAGTCATAGCATCCCATGTTCACTCAACAGAAGTGTACCATCTTCACAAGCATTTCCCTGGTCTGCGCTGTCATGTCTTGGCATATTCAACCAATGGTGTCAGTGATTGAGGAATGTGAACTGCATATGGATGTGATTGGATAGTGATATAATTACTGTATATGGATGTGATTGGATAGTGATATAATTACTGTATATGGACATGGAGACTGGCAGCCATTTCTGTGGAATCATTATTACGATTGGTATGACTGAAGAATTTAAAAATCAAAGTAATAGATACAAAATGATACTATCCACTCCTTGATATTGTTAACATCAAAACAATGCAATTTAAATCATTAAAACTGACAATGGACTTTCAGTTTTTCAATTGCTATATAGCATGGCCATTTCGAGAAAATTATTCAATAATTCAAAGGATGACATTGATTAGTAGGAATCCAATGAAATGTCACCATACAAGTACAGAAAAGACAAATGTCTTCTTGGAAGACAGTTTCAGGGGTCTGAAGTTACCCTAAATAATGTTTATGTGCACAAATCTCAGTCAAGAATTTATTTTATCTGATTTTAACTTAGTGAGACATGAGTTTATGACCAACGGTTACTATGTTGATTTAAGTTGGTTGGACCTTGTATAAAAAACAATTGAGATTTATTTTAGTTAAACAAGATATGAATGAACCAATATAGAAAACTGGGTCTTGAATTTCATGTCCATCATAGGAAAATGTGACAACAGAAATAGCAGTTTCATTGGGACTTCAATTCCAAATATTGTTTAGTTGCAAATATATTACTTCAATATGAAATTTACTTTTTTTGACTGATTTAATGTCGAGACCTGTTGTAGTTTTGAATGACTTGGTTTCAGCCAGAGACATTTAAATTTCTTATGCTCACCTTCTACTAAACAGAAGTCAAAACATGTCATACAGTATCTAGTAATGGATTATACTTATTTTAAGATTATAAGTTTTACATAATACAGAAACAAACCACATGTCAAGATGTAAAGTTTGAATCGTTTATTTTGTAAGCATTTGTTTTAAAATCTAGAAAAGGTTTGAGAAAGCACTCTGTGTATTCATTTATATTCCATACCTATTACCTACTGAGGTTCTAGGTACATATCTTAGGGAAAATAAAGTGCATCTGTAGAACAGGATGGATACTTTCTGTATATATCCTGCTATCTCTGAGGTCTGGGATATGCAGGCTGTATGATCCATCCCGGACTCCACAATTTTAGAATGATTTTTGATATTGATTCAAAAAGTAATGACTATAAAATTTTTCATTTTGTGTTTGAAAAATTTCATTTTTAAAATCTAAATATAATTTCTTATTTGGAATGGTTGTTTTTGAAAAATTTAACTTAAATCTAAATATGATTTTTTTGGTATGGTTGTCTTTGAAAAATTTAACTTTTAAAATCTAAATATAGGAATTTTTTAACTAAGTTGTTGAAATAATGCTACAAAAAATCCATTTTTTAATATTCTGGAATCTTAAAGGTAGAATTATACCAAGAAGCTCAATGGGTATGGAATACATCTCTTATGTACAGTCAGTTTTGGATCCAGGGTCTATCCCTTAGGAAACATGTGTATCTCCTTCAGTCCCTTGTGAAATACACATATTTCCCTTGGGATAAAACCTGGATTCAAAACCTCCCAGTACACAACCCTTATGTATATGGGATAATTGTCCCACTGTACATAAGTGTAGAGATTATTGACACACATTTTTATTTGCAAGGGAATCTACAACATTGTTGGAGAAAGTGTTTTAATTTGTACATAAGAATAGATGTTAAGTTTATCATCTATCATAGAATATATATACATATTGTCAAAACTGAAATAGTTTTGTTGAGGTATAACATGAGCAGATGATTTGAGTAACAACCCCCCCCCCCCTCCTCTCACGAAGTGAATGTTTCCAAATTTGAAAATTGGTCTAATATACAAGATAATCTTGATTTACTTCATTAAATATTCAAATGTTAGTTTAAGAGATATCATATTTGAAGTCTACATGTAAAATTGCATCTAGAAATGTGGTTTAAAAAAGGTATTTAGTAATTGCCCCCCCCCCCCAGATCCGCAAGTGTATGGGAAATGTAACCGACCTAGAATTCACATTTTCAAAGAACTAAAAGGATGTGTCCGGGTATATGGACTTTTGGTCCCTCAGTCAAATGTATGTGAAATGTGGTTTTTATTACTGTCCTAGTTATATTTAATAAGTATATTTACTTTTTCACGAGTTTTGATGCATAATAACCCCCTGCTGAGAGTCGGAATAAGTAGAAAAAAACACCAATGGCAACATGTATGGCATACAAAGAAATAACTTAAGACCCATGAAGAATTAAAACGAAAATCATATTTTTGAAATAAAATTAAGGATTAAATTTGTTTTCAAATTTTTGAATTTCCCGCCAACACAACGACCGTCCCAGTTACCGCGCCAATGTTTTTAACATCGGCAGTCAATGTACCATATTCTAACTAAAGTATAAATCGAAAGACCATAATCACCTGCATGTCATAATTTGAAATAAAATATAAAATGCACAAGGTCACTTGAAGATTTTGTCTGAGATTTTTATTTCCCTGTTAACTACTGTATTTGCCAGGGTGATGCTGATGGGCATGATTTTTTGCAAGGGCATTTGCAAAAGTGGTACACTGCGCGCAGAGTGGGGTAGTTAGTTAGTGAGGTAGCACCGAAAAATGTACCCGCTTCTGAACAAATTGAAATTACTTGTTCCTTATGTATTTTTATGTGATACTTCAGAAAATGTTTGTCTGACGCGCCGTACCCGGGGCGAAAGTTGTCAAAATTGGGGTTTTGACCCTAAAAAGGAAAATTACAGGGGGTACATTATCATCATTGAATAATTCATTCAGTTGGACTTCAATCATCATAATAATTTTATTGAGAGTTGATGAGATCATTTTAAGGTAGTATGCAAAGTTTCAATGGTCTGTCACTCATGGTTGCCATGGAAACCACAATTTTTGCTGAGAAAATCCTTAATTTTGGTAAAACCTGTACCTGTACATAATATAGAATGTGGATTATTTTTCAAATCAACAGATATCAGAACATTTTAGCATTCTCAAAATTACCAGGGCAGTTCAAACATTTATTTAAATATAAAGGATATTGCAATTAACATAACTGGGGAGTGTCAAAGACCATACAATTACACAAGTGATCAAAAGTGGGCGTCGCCCTCATCATAGTAGATGATTGCCATTCTCTAAAAATACAGAGTTTTACTTGACTTTTGAGATACATTTATAATGATGTTCTTTGGTTATACTAAATATGAAGCATTTTTGGTAAATAATGTACATGTAAGTGTTATACTTATTGCATGGGGGAGGGGGTAGATGGGGGGGGGTAACAGAATTGGAAGAGGGCAAAGCTAATCACCCTTAAGTATAAATCTAATCTACATAGTTCTGGATTTCATGGGGTACATCTTCTGGGTCTTCTTCACATTCATCTGAATATATAGGATATTATAATTCTGCATGATTGGTATGTATAAAGACCATAGAATTATGCAAGTGATCAAAAGTGGGCGTCGCCCTTATCATATATTCATTCTGTATAAATACAGAGTCTAACTTTTGAGATACATTTACATTACAACTTCTTTGATTATACTTAATTTCAAGCATTTCTGGTTAGTAATGCACATCAAATTGTAATAGTTCTCGGGGGAGGATGGGGGAGAGTAGTAACAGAATAGGGAGGGGGCAGAGGTAATCAGCCATAAGTATAAATCTCATCTGCATAGTTCTGGATTTCATGGAGTACATCGTCTGGGTCCCCTTCATATTCATCTCAATATATGGGATATTACAATTTACAGGATTTGTCAAACACCATACAATTACATATTAATAAATGATCAAAAGGAGTGTTGCCCTAACAATAGTAGATGATTGGTTCTTTGTATAAATACAAAATTGAACTTGACTTTTGAGATACATTCATAGTTATACTGAACTGCTGTTATTTTAATTTATGTCAAGCATTTCTGGTAAATACATCTGTGTAAGTATTATAGTTTTTACATTGGGGCAGGGGTGAGTAGTAACAGAATTAGAATGTGTAGATCTCATCTGCCTTAAGTATAAATCTCATCTTTTTAATTCTGGATTTCATAGGGTACATCTTCTGGAGTTTTCTGATTCATCTCCTGGTGTTGCTATATCACCAATCTCTTGTATGGGATATCAGTCAATACCCACTGGAAAGATATGGAGTCATTTAGTTTCCATTCAAGTCCATCTGGTGGTTCACTACGAGGATTTGCAATATGGGCCATACAAACAATAAGTGCTTTATATGGATGAGATGGTTATAACAATCAGACAGTCCTTCAAGACCAACTTAGGAAGATTATCTAGAGATGAGACGAGTGTGACACCCATAATGACCTTGGAAAGGCACAAATAGCAAGTACAGAAAAAGACATAAAGATGACAAAAACCGCAATCAAAGACTTTCTTGATCCATTTACCATTGAGGATGAAGGTCATCTCTCCGATGTATCATAAGGAAAATCTGTGCCAAATGATGTCGCTGCAGATCTCATCTAATTTTAGTCAAAAGGGGAAATTGCATGAAGAGATACCACCATCTGAGATTAGTTGAAAAAAAGATTTCATGATCTAATAAGACATATGAAATTGAAAACTATAGCAGCAAACTACAGCAGTGACAGTGACAGTAAAAAAGTGCTCAGAACAAGCTTATAAGATGGTTCAAATTCATTCTGAATGAAACATCTTTGAACAGCTTCGATCTTGCTAAGGAACATAAAATTAGCCTAGAATGTCTCCTGCAGTTCCTATTGAGCCCTGTGCCTTGGGCTCTAGGAACACTGACTGGACTTCTTGCAAGAACAGAGAAACCCATCCCTATGCATGAACATGTACCACAAGTGCCAAAGGGAAAGGACCAAAATTTGTAATAGAACCCAGCAAGAAAAGGAAAACTTCTAAATGTATACAAATCATAAAGAAAACAAACCCCAAATATCCCAAATCATAATTCAACTTGAAAGGTAGTTTTGTTTCTGGATCTGGCGGAGACTTTTTTCAAGATTCTACAATTGCAGATTGATTAGTTTTTGTATGTGATAATTACATGAAAAATTCTATAAAGGAACCTGAAAGAGGGGACGGACACCTTGCCCTATTTAAGGTAGAAAAACAAGAGTCCCTAAAGATTGGAATTAGTTCTTGTATGATGATGAAAACAAAAAGCAAATACAGCAAAGTGTGCTGCTGGATACTTGAGTTGGAAACAAAAGAAGACTGATGTCAGTGGTATTTCCTCCAATATAGACCCTGACATATATGCAGCCTTCCTAGCACTTCACACATTCACAGATGAAGTGTCATGCAGAAGGGGCAATAGCACCTTTTTAAAAGGCAAAGGTGGAGCGCCAAATAGATACACTCAACTGAATGACTCTCAAATCTGCAAGTGTAGTGGTATACTTATATTCTCCCACATGATAACAATATATTGTTAGAGCAACACCCACTTTTGATCACTTATGTAATTGTATGGTCTTTGACACTTACCAATCATGTAAATTGGAATATCCCATATATTGAGATGAATGTGAAGAAGACCCAGAAGATGCACCCCTTGAAATCCAGAATTAAGTAAATGAGATTTACATTTAAGGCTTATTAGCTCTGCCCATTTCCAATTCTGTTACTCTCCCCCCCCCCATCCTCCACCCCCAGACAATAACTATTATAATTAGATGTACATATATAACTTACCAGAAATGCTTGACATTAACTATAAATCAAAGATGTTTTTAAGTAAATGTACTTCAAAAGTCAAGTTAAACTCTGTATTTATAGAGAATGAACCATATACAATGATTAGGGCGACGCCCACTTTTGATCACATGTGTAATTCTATGGTCTTTGACACTTACCAACCATGTAAATTCTAATATCTTATATATTGAGATGAATATAATACGACCCAGAAGCTGTACCCTATGAAATCTAGAACCATGTAGATGAGATTTACACTTAAGGCTGATAAGCTCTGCCCGCTCCCAATTCTGTTACTACCCCCCCCCCCCTCCCCCCTGTATCCCCATGCAATAACTATAACACTTAGATGTAAAAATACTTGATATTAAGTATAACCAAATAAATTCAATATAAATGTATCTCAAAAGTCAAGTAAAACTCTGTATTTATAGAGAATGGCAATCAACTACTATTATGAGGGCGACGCCCACTTTTGACCACTTATGTAATTGTATGGTCTTTGACACTTACCAGTCATATAAATTGCAATATTCTCTCTCTTTAAACAAATGTTTGGACAGCCCTGGTGATTTTTAGAGTGCTAAAATGTTCTGATATCTGTTGATTTGAAAAATAATCCACATTCTATATTATGTACAGGTACAGGTTTTACCAAAATTAAGGATTTTCTCAGCAAAAATTGTGGTTTCCATGGCAACCACGAGTGACAGACCATTGAAACTTTGCATACTACCTTAAAATGATCTCATCAACTCTCAATAAAATCATTATGATGATCGAAGACTAACTGAATGAATTATTCAATGATGATAATGTACCCCCTGTAATTTTCCTTTTTAGGGTCAAAAAAACCAATTTTGACAACTTTCGCCCCGGTGCTACCTCACTACCTATAGTCTCTGTAATCTTAGTTCAAACACCGAGACTTTAAAAACGTCTTTTTCTGTTTAAGAAGCGAAGTCGAACGAATGCGAGGGGAACAAAGTGGTATATTATTCCCATATAAAATCTAGAAAAATCCCGACCCCGGACTCGACCGCCCCCCCCCCCCCCCCCCTTGCCCACTCTCACTTGCTTAACCCATAAATGCAAATGAGATGCAGACAAGCTGATCGAAACACATGAAATGTTATTATTTTAGGTGGTTACCTTTGATCAGATTAGCTCATGAATTTAATTGCTGTCATAATCTTTCGATCTCTTTTGACAATCTTTCTTTGTTCTGAATCAAAGAAATTCATCAAACAGTTCCGCTCTGGGGAATTTAGCACATTGATACGATCATACCTTTGATGCAATCCCGGAATGCAATCTCATCCAAACATCTGAGCGAGTTTCACTTATCTAGCTAATCTTTTGAAAAGGTAAACAAAGTATGAAAGTGTCAAAAGTTAATTACCTAATATCGTTTGTACATTTGCAGAAATCAAGATCCTGGAGACTAATTATACTTCTTACTCGGCGGCTCAATGTCTCATAACACATAACCTTCAGAAGCAATGATTTAATTAGCTCTGTTTGGCATTGTGTAAGGTAACTCAGGCAAAGATTATAGGGGTTAAATACTGTGTCAGTGCTCCGTGAATCCAGAAGAAGAAAGTTTTTGAAGTGACAAGACGTACGGATCAATTCTCCAAACCATAAGATAGTTTATTTTTAAACGGATTTTATTTATATACACACACAATTTTAAAGTAACACAGCTTGTGAGATTTTTGTATTAATTTATCCTTACAATGGTACCAGAGGACACATCTACTGAAACTGTAAACGGTTGCCAAGGACAACCAGGCGGGTCAGCAAGCAGCAAAGCACCCCCAGGATTCGCACCGTTAGAGTCTCAAGTAGATGGGAGATTTGATGAACCACTCTGGATAGATGTCAATTTCTCACACAACTTTAGTGACATTTTGAAGGACATTGTTGGAGAGGGAAATATCCTTATGCTGGGTAACCCTGAAAATACAACCAGAGAGGAAGGTGAGGCCCGGGACACGACGGCACCAACATGGGCAAGATGGTCGCAGCCTCAATCGAAACAGAATACCAGCTTACCAGAACCTATACATGAACTTAAAGACATTCTGAATGTAATCTCTGGCAGCGACGTGGGCGATTTCTCAAGCTCTTCCGCAGATACATCAACCGATAGTTCCATTTTCAATTCCGATATTCCTGATTATGGATCGAAGCACAGTTGGTTGAGCCAGGAAGATCGCATTTGGTCAGTGTCAACTCCTGACATCTCTTCCGACATCTCAAACCAACCCGAGCTGGATGAGTCCGTCTTTGAACTTCAAGGTCTTGTAGAGTTAATTGGTAAGTATTATACGTAAAATATTATTTTCATCAATCAACCATTCAATCAATCACCATTTGAATCAATTCATGCAACATCAACAAACAAAAACAAAACACAGGGGTATCAATTATTATTACCAGAGTCACATATATGTCTCTGTTATCACATACATCTCATGAATGCAATTTTTCAGTCATGGATTTTTAACCTATTCTTGCTCGAAGCCTTGGGAACCCCCTCCCTGCCTAACTCAGCATTTTGTAAAAGTGAGATTAAAACTGAACGGGAGGGGGACAAAACAAAGTCATCAGTCTCTTCTCACATTTTTCAATATGTGATGATCGGAATTGTGAAACTTGATATAAGCTTTAGTGAACCCCGAATTGAACCAAATAGATATCGGGTGAGTGGGGGGGTGGGTTAATTCGAAGAAGCGCTATGAAAGTATGATCATGCGCCTAATCAAGTGTCACATAATTTACTCTCAGCCACAAACGAACTAATCAGCAATTGTTATTTCAGATGCTATGCCAAGAAACTTCGAGAATCCCGTTGCCAGGCAACTAGATGACTGTCCATATGGTAACCTAGATATCGTAGGTTCCCCACCCCTGATCGCATCCTCTACACCCGTTCACAATACAAACAAGCAACCACCAGCCAACATCTACAAACAAAATAGTAATTCGTACTTCTCCACCCCAGTACGCATCCGTGATCAATTTATGGGCTACGACGAGTCGCACATAGACAATGCTACTCCGTATGAACGATTTCTCACTTCCATTGCATCGTGCAAAACATGCAAACAGGCCAACAAAACACACGATTTGCCAAAAAGTTCTGGAAATGACAATATTGTGGGTTCAACAGAATGGCTCACGGGACTCTCGGGAGGTATACTAGGTGAACTCCCTGCTAATACGCCAAAGCCAAAGAGCAAACGAATGGCATCTTTTTCTCAGGGAGCCGATCCGAGCCAAGCACCAGTGCTTCACCGAAACCGTCATCTGTCTGAGTCTGCATTGGAGTATATGAGAAACAATCCCCCTCCCGCTATTCCAGTGTCAAAGTCTGCTGTAATAAAACCACCAGTGAGCCAGTCAACCGTCATCCGACCTCCAGTTGCCCATTCCGCTGTGATCCGACCACCAGTAACCAAGTCCGCTGTGATCCAACCTTCAGCGAGCCAGTCGTCTGTGACCCGAGCTCAAATAACCGAATCAACTGTGATACGAGCAATAGGAGCCCCAGAAACGCATAGCAGCGCGAACAACACGGCACAGTACGCCCCTTGGTCACAGGCTGAGGGGGATCTAGAACTGATCAACTCTGAATACGACCAACAGGTAAAACCACTTATTACTTATTACATCTTAGTAAGACTTTCTCCACTCCTTTGTTTCAAGCACTTCTTAGTGGGAGGGGGTACATAGACTTATGTACTTATGTACCCCCTCCCACTAATATATACACTTTCCAAACGAGACATGATAACTAATAATGAGCGGGAAGGGGTTGATGCAAGATAACTCACTCCAGTGGTCATTTATCGTTGATGTGTACGTTCAATCGTCTTGACCGAAGATAACATTAAAACGCTCATAAAATATATTGGTTCGAATGACACTCCCACGCAACCACATCGGACTTTTACACGCCAAGATATGATTTATTTCTAAAAGGATGCTTGACATAATGATATGTTTGATGAACAATGTTACATAATGTTTATTTTGAAAGTACCTTTACCCATACTATCGATACCCTTTAGTTATTCTAAATGCGGTTGGTTTTAGTGTTTTGCAAATGTAAATTAGAATCAAAGTGTTGCGCGAAATTCCAAAAGGATTATTAATATCCGGTTTTGAATAACTTGAATACATGACGTATTTTCATCTCTAAAGTCATTGCTTTTTGTATACTTTTATTAATTGAAAATCGATCCATTGATTTTAGTTTTAGGGGTACATTTCCTATATAAGCTATCTCAAGTTAGATTAATAAATTAATTGAATTAATTTTCATATTGTTAAAAGTGTTGTATCGAATATTGTTTTAAAAAATCTTTGATTAAAAATGTTTTTGAATCATTCAATTCAATATGAGTTTCACATAGTTATGCCAATGTAAAATATATGAAACTGAAGATTGTGCATAATTGAACATTTTCATGGGTTTACTTCAATGTGTGCAATGGGTCTATTGCTTTCAGCAATGAAATCTCACCGTCTAATACTTCTACTTTCAGGATTGGTTCAACGGTCAAACCGGCGCCTTCACAAAACCCTTGGTCGACTACACATTCTACCCAGTGCCAGACATGAAAGTCATTGCCAATGGATTGACCAGCCACGATGCTACAATTGACACAGAACTAATGTTCCAATAAGCGCAGGGACATTTCAAATTTTAAGAGCTTTAAGCTGCACTCATTGAATTGCATCTCTCGAACTGAATCTCAACTTACTGAATGCTGTTCTTTAAAAACAATGTATTGGAATTTTAAATGACATTTTACCAAAAGGGAGTGTTTTTGATGTAGAATGGATATTTATGATGATCGTTCCTTTGATAGGTTAACATGAATCAATGCAATGGAGAATAACTCGGGGGATTTTTATTTCTTTTAATTAATGTAAATATTGTTTTATCCAATTTTATAGATGTGATCACCTATTCGTAGACAGTTTAAGCACATTGTAATTAGAAGGCTAGGCTTGATGTAGCCGGTTTGAGTTGACTTGTTAAAACAAAAAATACTATTGTTTGATTTAATGAAAGGCTCAAAACAATAGATCAAAATATGAAAAGGAGAATCTCAAAATTTTTCTAAAGTGCCATCTATGTGATTAAACTTAATGAAAGATAGATGGCATCGTATCCGTTCATCTCATATAGCTTTTGGGCTTTTTGACTTGTATTGTTTGAGTAACGGACTACTTAGCCAAACGCTGAAAACTTGCCAATATCTGGTCACTTATGTGTCATGGTTTTAAATGTAGATCAATCGATCATCAAAGAATTTTAATTTTAAATTCTTTTTTTTACCAAAGTAACAAAATGGCAACCAGCAATATGATACTTGAACATAAAATAAATGAGCATGTTTTAATGGATTTGAAATGTTTTGTTAAGAGTAATACAAACCTTAAAACATTTATAATTTCAAACAAATGAATATACATGCTAGAGTCTCTAACATGTCTAATGTACTACTTAAGGGTGTCAGAAGTGCAGACTCTACAAAGTACAATATACGGGTGTAATATATAACAACTTGACATGATTTTAAGCTTGTCCCGATCTATATTAAAATGTTTCTCAACATAAATTTAAAGACTGTAGGTGTAGTTTCTCCAAACCTCAAAATCTGCAGCATCGATGACAGTTACCACGTTTATGTTCTCAAGATAATAAACTGATTAAGAAACTCATCTATATTGATATTCAATTTTAGACGAGCCCTCCATTTCACTAGACTAGATACCGACCTTTAAATATACTCATGTTATGTGACCTACTTCACATCTTGATATTTGAATCTGATTGAAATCCACTCTGATTCAGAGCTGTGAATGTGACATTCTCATCCCCGTTAATATTGACGTGTGAATGTGACCCAATTCCCGTTAATGTTTACATTTGAATGTGACCTCATTCCTCTCATGTTCACATTTGATCGTGACCTCATTCCCGTTCACATTTACCTTTGAATGTGACAATCTCATCCCTGTTAATATTGACCTTTGAATTTAGAAATATAGACCGAAGAGCAGGGGTGATATTGTCGAATACACCCCGCAGGGCTAGGCACAAACGTTTTCTGTACCCCAAACGCACGAATGGAGTGAGGGGTTCGAAAGCCTTATCGCCTAGCCCTAAGGGGTGTATTCGACTATATTACACCTGCTCTGGGGTCTATGTTATGATTCGAACATGAAAACTCACCAAAATATTGCGAATATTCATTATGGTCCGCCATTACTACGGCCCGCCGTTATGACGTCACACATTACACGTATTACCAGGGGGTTTGTTCGCAAATATACCCCGGGTGAAATGTTGACTTTGTTTACAGTTTATATGAGGCGTGAATACAGTCATGTTCGAATCAGACTTCATTCCCGTTAATATTGACCTTTGGATATGACCTTCTCATTGTCGTTAATATTGACCTTTGAATTTGACCTTCTCATGTTCGCTAATATTGACCTATGAATATGACCTTCTCATTCCTCTAATATTTACGTTTGAATGTGACCTCATTCCCGTTAATATTGATCTTTGAATATGACTTCCATCCATCGCAGTTCATATTGCCTTTGAATGTAACCTCCATACCTGTTAATGTTAATTACCTCTATGTGACTTCCATCCAAGTTTATATTGACCTCTAAATGTGATCTCAATACTAGATCTTATTGACCTTTAAATGTGACCTCCATCCAAGTTCATATGGACCTTTAAATGTGACCTCCATCCCTGGTCATTTTGACCTTTAAATGTGACCTCCACTCCAGTTCATATTGACCTTTAAATGTGACCTCCATCCAAGTTCATATGGACCTTTAAATGTAACCTCCATCCCAGGTCATATTGACCTTTAAATGTGACCTCCATCCCGGGTCATATTGACCTTTAAATGTGACCTCATCCCAGTTCCTATCCATTGAGCCCCCTTCCACAAGGCTCTTAATAAGGAAAAGTGTTGATGTTAAGTCACATATTGGAGATGGATCAAGAATCCAACTTATCTTTACATCGATGCATCTCAGCTTGTATCGTTTTAGTCCACTGTCACGCTTCAATTGATTCAGACCTTTTTCATTAATTGACTTTATGTTGTGTGGTCATCTTGATTTTTCTTATATGTACGATATGAAATTATTCGACTCTGGATTCCGTCATTTTCGCATCATATTTCTTGATTGCGTCAAGTCTGTACATCGTTACTCTGTAGTAGACTTCTCTTCATGACCTTCATAAACTGTTAACACTGTCGAGTATTACTGTACTCTAGTAAGATTAAACATTAACAAATTACTATCCACATATTTACTAGCTGAGAGAGCAAGGAAGAGCCATGGCAGACAACACCACCAAACCACCGGGTAAGTACAGTTTAAATACATCATACACTAGAGGAAATAGAAGCACAGCAGGCCCGACAAAAGATGACATGTTGGTTAATACCTAGGTCACATTTGCGCCGGCCGATGAGGAGTAGGAATCGGCCGATATCCGATTCCGAGCGCCGGGGACTTTTCTCTGATGTCATTACCGAACGACGCCGGTAAATCAAACGGATATGTAACTGTAAATGTGAAGGATACGTAGGGAGCCCGGCCGTAAGACAATCCTTATCCGTAGCCAGCCTTTACCAAGGGGGTGGGGGGGGGAGGCTTTGACAGTTTTGGCTAAAAAATCATGAGAACGCGTACGTGGTCAGAATGGTGAAAAACTGTCCCAGCTTACTGTACAGTGAAACTTGTAGATACAAACGGCTGGCTAATCCGAACACCGTCCAATCCGAATGGATACTTTTTCAGGTCCCATTTTCCTCCCATTGATTCCCATTTTAAAAAACCTTGAAATCTGACTAAATTCGAACAATGAACACTCATATTTAATGAATTAACTGTTTTGAAAACTTTAAACAAAATATCATATAACAAAATTGCCCAAATAATTTCAAATTAACACTGATTTGTTATGATATCAAAAAGCCATCCAATGGTCTCAATCTTAGGCCTATTGGTCTGTTGCGTATCGATGCCTTCACTAACATTACGGCAAGCATTCTCAGTTCCCCACGGAAAAAAACACGCGAGCAAACACTAACACGGACGAAGACAATAGTCTTTATAATCATACATGAATAATATGATTCTAGTTTGCACATTTACATATTCACATCTGATCTGCAGGTACCGCATCATACTCTTGAGCGTCAGGTGCTTGTGTTTTTTATTAATTTATATGCTTTTTTATTTGTTCGTTTTTTATGCTAGATCGAAACACATGAAGCGTCCTGGATCATATCTATGTTCAAGGCCTGTCTTTGGTATTTTCCATAGGACTTCATTTAAGAGCTATCCAAAGCAAGATCATTAAGAACATTCGTATTTTCTCACATCGTTCAAAGGAAATCATGAACGAATTTGAGTGAGACACGTTTTTTAGCTCCCGCTGTTGATCAGGTGAAGAGCAATAAAACATATACCAATAGTCACACACATTTAAGAATATGCATAATATCTGTAAAATGCATTCATTAGTCAGGGGTTTTAAAGATATCAATTTTGGGTGACCAAAATTAAGCTGAAAACAATGAATCGCATGATATTTCCCTATGCGAACATAACGGTAATAACCCAAATTCATGCTTTTCCTTTCAAGAGTGTCTCAGAAACGCAACACATCGATGCATCTAACATTGAACAAACAGGTGGGGAAAGGGGTGAAAATCAGGACAGCATTTCAAAAAACATGTTGGTGGATTGTTTGCACATTACATATCTCAAAGTCCAAGTTATTTCAACATCTCTACGAGTACTTTTCCTGGAGATGATGGATGCATTGGCCTTTCATATGTATCTGTTTAAATCCTCAGAAAATAGCCACACATATGGCTATCTGAAATCTATTTTGATATATATAACTTCCGTGGTCCTTCAGAAAAATATATTTATTCTGTAAGGTGGTATACTAAAGCTGGGTCTGCCATAGTTTGATATTGATTCTATTTTTGTGATGTCACTCCGTTTGTCTTTCTAGCATTAAAGAGAATCCCTGCTGTACAAAAACCTACTGTCGACCAACTAAAAACCTTGTCAGAGAAACTTGGATTACAGACAACTGACGATGAACTCAAAGAATACTCTGGTAAGGCGGGATCAAGTGAAAATCTAAGTTTACTAGAGTTGACAGAATTGAATCAACCTTTACCAATCAACGTGTAGTATCCATCTAAAATATACCTCATGAAAATCAAGATACTTTATCAAGATACCTTATTTCAACAAACCCGTTCTCATTTAAACTTGTAACGGGTTTGTTGAAATAAGGTATACGTCTCAAGAGGTCCTCAAATTAAAATGTGGCTATCACTAGCAACCAAATACTATATATATGCAAAACAATTTAATGAGGTAAATCCCAACTTGGACGTGACTCAATTTGAAAATACCATGTTTATATATATACCAGAACTTCTGGGTATGACTGCTGCGAATGTCTGAATGAATGGAGGTGGTGTGAAAGTGGTTTAATATTTCATCTTTGCCTTGTTTAATGTATTATTTTATGTTTGATTCAATAAAAAAAAAAAAAAAAATGTATGCAATCTTGAATTTATGAATAATCTTAACTTGATTATATTATTTTTCAGATGTGATGGAAACGTATTGTGAGGTGTATCAAAGTGTCAATGACCTACCAACCCCACATCTTCCAACTAAATACCCACGTACGTATGGCAGGGCACCAACGAAAGAAGAGAACCTATACAATGCATGGTAAGAGGCTCGTTTTGACTTACTAAAATGAAAAAGTGATTTAGTTTGTTACAAGCACATCATAGGTGATTTACAGAACAAAGACATACAGCTATCTAAGATTGCTTCATAACCGAAGTACGGGAAATATAAAAGGACCATGGGATGAGACAAAGATTGCACGTATAATATTGGAAGCAATCGTTCCAAAAATGCCAACTTTGTCGATATGAGCCTTTAACACGCACCATCAACTCGTTTTTACTCGTCTACATCCTTTATTTACTCCCCGGGATTTACTCATGCTGTATGGAATTTTAGGTGTTGGAAGGTAGAGATAAAGGGTGCGCCAGAAGGCATTCTTAAAGGTAAAACCGTGGCTATCAAAGATGAAATCTGCATATCCGGGGTTCCAATGAGAAGTGGCTCACAGATGATCGATCATTTTGTGCCTCCTGAGGATACCACATGTGTAACTAGGGTTTTAGACGCAGGTACTACGGAATTCCTTTGCTACTTTACTTATATTTGCTAGGTTACTCGGCACCTGAGCCTTGGCAATAATTTTGACAAGGGGTTGTTCCCTGGGATTGTTCACTTTTCAATGTTATTTTTCTAATGCTGTTTGTTTGTATCGTAGTGACACTTCAAGTGTTCATATTCGATCAGTTATGTCAGATCTATTTTTCTGATACTTTTGACACATCAATATATGTTTCTTTAAAACGTACTTCATTTTACCTAGATTTTACACACTCTATCCTTTCCTATAGCTTTAAATTTAAATAGTTATTTGATATCAATGCAACAGGCGGTCGCATCATTGGAAAGACAACGCAGGAAGAATATGGTTTAAGTGCTTCCAGTTTCACATCAGCTAGAGGTCCAGTTTCCAATCCCTATGACCCAACAAGAAGCGCAGGTGGATCATCTACCGGCAATGCTGTACTGGTAATGTCATCACAGATTTAGTCCCAAAAATTCCAGAAAAACTTTCAAGTACAATTTCTTCACGGGCACTAACCGGGCCACTAACCAAGCAAAAAATCAAAAAGAAACAATAACTAAAAAGTACCAAAAGTACCAAAGAAGACAAAGGAGGATTGGAAACAAATGTTTTTTTTCTTAATTTTAGTTGGCAAAGAAAGAAGTTGATATCGCCTTGGGTATGGACGCAGGGGGTTCAGTTCGTATTCCCGCGTCACTGTGTGGAGTAGTGTCCATCAAACCATCTTACGGCCTGGTTCCCAATACAGGGCATCACAATGGATGTGATAATTCTATTTGCTACACGGGTCCCATGACACAGACCGTTCGGGATTGTGCCATTGCGCTACAGGTAATCAACAAGGCAATAACATAATAAAATGTCACTACCAGTTATTGGAAATTGTAAGAATTTGTAACAGACGCCGAACCAGGAACGCCGACTGCTGAACTCCGTTTCCAAATGAGATTATAACTATAAAAACTACTGTGAAAGCGCACATGATTTGTAAAAACCATATATTTTCAATAATTGATAATCTACTTTGTAAAAGTTTTATTTTTGTTAATCGGTGAAATGCAGCCAACGAACCAATTGACTTTTATTATACAGAATACTGAACTCGTTATTCTCATCCTATACGTTTCAGGCGATTGCGGGATATGATGGCGGACTAGATCCCACTCAATCACCTTCTCTTCAAGTGCCGGACTATGTCTCTATGGTGAATTTTCTCTATGGCTTATTTTCTAAAGTTTTTTAAATGTTTCTTCAAAGGCCCTTACTATTACATCGACTTTATACAGAAGTGTACATATGATACAGTTACATAATAAGCTACACTATTGAAAGAGGCACTATTTTTAAATAGATTTTTACAATTGCTATGAGCATTTAATCCTTGAGAGCTTTTTCAAATTCTAACAAAGCTTGCATATATCTTAACTTGAAAAATTGAAAAATCTGGAACAATTTTATTTAAATTCTGGGTTCGTTTCCGGTCTGTAGAAAAAATTCCCGTTTTCTTGATACACTTTTAGATACATCTCTAAGTTCGTCTTGCTTTATAAGTATATTTTTGTGTGTGTGTATCTTATAAGTAACACGTGAGCAAATTGCTGATCTCTCAGAAATTGTTTGAGGTATATGATAGGAGGTACGAATGATTAATTGTAAACTCATGGAAAGCTATTTTGATGACCAGACATGAATGGAGAACTAATTTTACGGTCTTTAGAGTGGAATTAATATAGACAGTGGGTGGGGGGGGGGGGGGGCATTAGGAGATTACAAACAGAAAAGTTCCATATGTGCTGAGACTAACATAAATGGTATGCTAGTCTCAGATATGTGTAACTTACTGTTACAAAGGTGAATATATTATGGATTTCGTTGTAGCTTGGTACAGATTTGCAAGATTTTAAGATTGGTATTCTGAAGGAGGGGTTCGTTGGCAGAGATCAAGATGTGGATGATCTTGTCCGTGAAGCAGCGATGAAACTTAAAACAGTTGGTGCGATTGTAGAAGATGTTTCTATACCAATGCACGAGGAAGGTGAAAATATCTGGCTTCCAATGATGTTTGAGTGTGATGGTAAGTATGAAACGCTGAACGGTCCAACAGTGACCCTGTCCATAGAAACTCGAAGTATAAATTAAAAGTGCATGTCTTACAAAATGAAGAACTAAAACAAACGATACTGGTCTCGAAATAAGGATAACTGGATGGGGGTAAGATATTTGAAACACTTCATTACAAAGAAGGTCTAAACTGAAAGTGGAATGCCATCGTAAAGGATGACACTGCAAGCATCCAAGTAGTTTGTTTTTTAATAGATAACCTAGGACACAGGGGGTACTACGCAATAGAAAACAGAGAGACTGTACTGGACGGTTTCCACTCTCGATCCAATACACTTGACACATTCGCCAAAGTCATGATCCTTTGGGCAAACTACCAGAAAACATACTACAGAATGAAATACTACATGAAGTCGAAGAACTGGCAGATCGAGCTGCAACATGCTTACGACAAAGTACTAGAGAAGTATGATGTTTTGGTTATGCCAACTATGCATTACAGACCACCAAAGCTACCTACAGTCGAGTCCTCCGTTGCCGGTGAGTTTTTCTCTTACATCCAGAAAAGTAAATGCTAAATCTACGAGACCTATATTCTTGGCTCAATCGAGTAAGTTATTGTTTGATGAGCTCTGTCATTTTGCTCGACTACGAGTATATGGGGTTCCCGGTTATAATAAAATTCAAATAGACAAGTAAAATATTCATTTTAATTGGTTGATACCCTTTGCATTCGTTCGACTTCACTTCTTAAATAAAGATTCGCCGTAATTTATGACTAGACTATGCGCGCAGGGTAATCGGTTGACTTGTGGTTCGTTCGACTGCCCCAGTTGATCCCGGTGTAAAAGGGTAGGTGGTCCTATCAAATTTTGGTCCTACTCTCTATTGATTTATGTGGTGACCTAAATACAACTCTTTCCCTTATTATCTTAAACACAATCAGGGCCAGTAAAGGGCCTTTAAAAAGGAGGACCATAATCCCCAGGGGACCATAATTTGTTTCACACTGGTACAATTATTCATAAATGTTTCTTCCTAATCATACGAGGGTTGATCATAAAGTTCTCATAATATCTCTCTAATTTCTTTATTTTTCAATATTTTCCTATGAAATTTTCACAGAATGTGCAGCATGGAATGCTTTATTGATCAAGCAGACAATATTTAGAATAACAGAAACATTAAGTAAGAAATGATTGCCATAGTAACTTAAAATCAAGGCACCCGGGGCAAATAAAAAAAACTAGCAAGAATAGCCCCCATTAACCATGTTTAAATACATAATAAGTCGTCAAAAAAGCTATCAAACACATTAAATTGTCAAATAATATAGGCTCTTGACTGTTGTGGACTATTATAATGGTCATGTGAATTGTGTGATCTCATAATGGATGATTGTCATGCTTCATAGAAGTGACTGTTAGACCCCATGAATGTTTTGTCAAATATCCTGAGGAAAATTGATTTTGCCCCTTTAGCTCATTTTTAACATGTACAGACCACACACAGGGTGTAATTTTGTTTTGTAGCAATGTATTTGTTTTAGATCATGTTTAGTCTGACCAAAGGATCTTACAAACTTAACATAACATTTTATCAGTATGAATTTTATTTTTCTGAAGATCTGCATCTATTGCATTCTCTTACTCAGTCATTTCTGATCATTAGCTTTGAGTCTTCGACTCTGGTATCACATCTAATGGAGCAATAAAGCACCTCTTATGACATCACACAATTTACATGATCGATTTATGTAATTCTTAAAGCACTTTACAACATATTCAAGTTAAAATTATAACGTGTTTGGTAATTCATGAGAGTTTATCATGTATGTAAACACGGTTGATTAAGCTCATTCTCTCAATTATTTTTATTTGCCCCGGTTGCCTTGATTTCCTGTTACTATAGCAACCATTTCTTATTTAATATTTCTGTTAAAGTAAATATTCTTTGCTGAATTAATAAGACATTCCATGCTGCACATTCTGAGAAAATTTCATTAGAATATATTGAAAAATAAAGAAATAAGAGAGATATTATGAGAACTTTATGATCAACCCTCGTATTGTAGGAAGAGCATAATTAATGAAACATTTACGTTTGGTTTCCAGAGGTGTGCGAACTTGGTATGATGTGGGGAAATAACTGTTGTGCCTTCAATGTAACAGGTCACCCAGCACTAACCATCAATGTAGGCTTCACCGACGGACTCCCTTGTGGTATGCAGATTGTGGCAAAGATCAACGATGATGCAGCTTGCCTACGAGTTGGACACATTGTTGAGAAGATTCGTGACCAAACCATGGAACGGCATTAACCGATCCAGGGTTCAATAATGGACTTTTGATAAAGGGACCTTTGTTTGACAAAGTCTGTCAAGAGGATTTACCATAGTCATCTTGTAGGTTATGTTGAACAAAAATTTGCATTTCAGTCTTTAAAGGCACCCAGTCACAAACTCAAATAGTAAAATGCATAAAAAACAGAAAAGGCTTTTTAATTTGCCATTGTCATACCGCTTACTGGGTGAACAATCCACTCTTATAGCCTATCGTTTTAGGGTAAGAGTGATAGTGTCAAGTATCCCTAGAAAACTGTACAAAGGGTACTGTATGTGCGATTGGATGTTTGGAACAGGCCACAGATTATCGTCAGTCTTCAATACGGAATTTTGTGAATGAAATCTTCGTCTACTTCAGGGTAATTTGAGTCGCTTATAAAATTTTGGGAGTGGGTTCAACCGCCTCGCACTTGCGTAATATGTTTTCATGGTTTTATGGTTCATGGTTTTATGTATGGGATTGTTTGAACTGATTGTAAAACCCGAGTTTAAAACCATTCTATACTGTGATTTTGTTACCTCACTGGGCGGATGATTGATACATAATGTCAGTTTGAATTTATTCAATAAATATTTTTATGTTTTCCTTTGAACTAAAGAATGCTTATCCATACATTCAATACTTTTCTGCTTAAAAACGGTCCGGAAGATGTGGAAGCACCACATCACAAATGAAATAACCAAACACCTTTTAAAGGGGACCACCACCATGGTAAGATGATCAGTCGTGTGGAGGTAAGCTCCCAGTTGAAATAAAAGCACTGTCCTCCTTTGGTTTATGTGAAAAGTAGCTAATACCCTCATGTATTGGTCAGTTTGTGTGTCACACGACTAATCCACACCATATGCTTCATTCAACATATTTTATGCTATTAAGCTGCATATAAAAACATTACTTTGCAGTAAAAACGTACTACTGGATGAACTAAAGTTAGGGTAATTAAATTAGTTGTTTCTCATTCTTGCCCGCGTGTGGCTCAATCCCCCTCCACCTTTTTTCTGCCATTTCTGAGAAAAAAACACCGTACCTCGCGCGCATCCATGGCGTGTGAAACACTTTTTTTTTACTTTTTATGGATCAGGATAATTGACAATATCGTGGTACTGATATATGATGAAATATACCAGTAAAGTTGGCTAAATTCAACATAAACTCAGTTTATTTCCTTCAAAATTAGTTATTTGTCTTTACAGTTATTCTAAAGAAAAAATCATCCCGTCCCTCATCAGCATTTTAGATAGACAAAAAAGGTAACATAAAAACCGTCATTCCCGTATCAATTTTGAAAAATAGAAGAAAGAGAAACAACTAATTTAATTACCCTGGCCTAACATAAAATACAAAGCCATTAGCTAGCTCATACAGTATACTTACCCCTTGCAAATTGTAATTTATTGAATTCACAGTAAACCCATCAATTTAAAAAAAAGAATATTGTTCTCATGGATCTATTATTCATGTTAAACTAACTATGAAAATATAAATATGAAATAATATGTTAGCTTGAAGTCATATATAAGATAAAAATATATGTTCATGCATTTGCATTTTTCCAAAGGGAATATATTCCCATGTAAGTAAATACAGGTGCAATATATAATTTATATGTATACAGTATCTACAGGTATGTCATCTGTCTATACATGCGCGTATAGTGATACATTTGAACAAGATGGTTCTGGAAAGAAATAAGCGTGGCAGATTTGCTAAAAAGCCACATACACCACAAAAGCAAGACCAATTTGAAGGTAAGTTCATTATTCTCAAGGGTACACTTCAAGTGAAAGCTACATTGCTACAGGGTGGCCAGGGTGGCAAATGTATTATCCAACGATTGTGATTTTCGAAGCTAAAATATGATATCTTGAGCAGATGGAAATACATTCCCACGAGATATGTATATATAGTCAAAAGTGATAACTATTTATTTAGTGTAATGAAACGTATCCTTCGCTAACTGCTTTTGTTTGAGATTATTATCATGAAATATTTTTAAATTAATTTTTATGTGTGTCATTGATCCTAATCCACCCTGTAGTCTGGTGTTTGTAGAGCATTGCACCTCGTACAACTTATTCTCACAAATATCAAACCTCATTTACTAATTATTTTTTTGTGTGAATATGAAGAGTCCAAGCATTGCTTTTTTATGTTTACTGTATAGCTATATTTAGCCTTGATATCCATGATTATTTAAAACAAAATCTCACCGTTAGATTTCGAGCTATTCATGTTTACTCATTTTTCTAATTGGAAAACAATGCAAATCTCATTTTTTCAAAGGAAAAAAAATTGAAATTCTAAGACGGTGAAAAATCATTAAAAAATACACAGATTCAGAATCCGGCAAGCATTTTCCCTTATTCCTCTCCGTTAAGAAGTTTTGTAAGGTGTTGGATCCCTTTAATTTGGGATTTAGTACATACATAAATATAGAAAGTGGCCCATTGGCCTCGCTCAAACAAATGCTTCAAACATTAAAAATATTGTCATATCACAGGAATAGACCATTAATTGTTGTTACACCCCACTACTACAATGGATATTTATTCTTTTTTTGTGGAGTGACCCTCATTTTGATATTTTATTTATATTTTCATTTTGTGCACTGATGATCCCCATCAAGGTTTATACAGTGAACCCCCGGTATAGTTCCTCACAGCCTAGCACCAAGAAAAATTGGTACAGTACCATTAGAAAGGATTCTCTTGGTCAGTGCTGTGTGTTATGATTCTTATGGGGCCTCCTCTTATCCCACGTGTCTTGTATACTAACCTTTAAACTCCTTGCTTTTTACCCCCGGGGGTACTGGTCAAATTTTTGTACAGGGGTGCCGCTGAGACTCAAAATATCTACCCACATCTAGGCATTTTTTCTCTAAAATGGATCCACATCTAGGGTTTTTCTTTGAAAAATAGACCCACCGTTCAAGGTAATTTTAAAAAACAAGACCCACTTCCGCACTGGTGATCCACTCGATTACGCTGGTTACCAAAACGGTTCGTTTTGGTAACAAAATGTCGGAACATCGAAGGTACGATTTTTCTTTTTTCCTTATTTCACACGTTGTAGGCAGAATTCCCAGGACATTTTTAACAGAAACGTGTATCAGTATCATATGCTTAAGAAAATGTACATAATTGCGAACAAATAGTTCAGAAGACAACAGAATCGTCGATTTAATTACTCACTTAAGTTACATAAACGGTTTTTCGAAAAACGGTTAAGATCTGCACTTTTAACCCAAACCGTTTATGTAACTTAAGTGACCAATTAAATCGACGATTCTGTTGTCTTCTGAGCTATTTTTTCGCAAACATGTACATTTTTTATAACATATGATACTAATATACGTTTGTGAGAAAAAACGTCGTGGGGATTCTGCCTACAACGCGTGATATAAGGAAAAAAGAAAAATCATACACTCGACGTTCCGACATTTTGTTACCAAAACGGTTCGTTTTGGTAAACCGTTTTGGTAACCAGCGTAATCGAGTGGATCACCAGTGTTCCGGCGATTTTCCTGAAACAGTACCCAGTTTTAGGATTTTTCAAAAAGACCCATTTCTAGGGTTTTTTCTTCAAAATGGGACCCCCATCTAGAGATTTTTCGGCGAAAAAGTGACCCACTTTAGCCGGGGCACGTCCCCATATAGCAAATAATGGGAATACCCCCCCCCCTGGGTTTTTACCGCCTTCATCCATTGAACAAGGTCCTTGATACAAGACATTCATGCTTAAAACAGTTCACAATATATAGTAGTCAGGGAGGAGGTTACGATGGGTGGGAAGCATCCCACCAATAAAAATAGAACCATTAGATAATTAGATGGGGGGATAAAAGAAGGAAAGATCTTTAAATGCATTTTATTTGAAGCTTCTAACTCAATTTTTGGGCAATCACACCCCTCATCCTGACTGAAAGCTGGCTACACCCATACAGTATGCCTGCATTTATGATAAATATAACTCATGGGTAAGTGGGCGTTGCCCTTACTTAGTCTTTAACGAAATCCCGGGGACGAAGTGTGTCCTGGTGATATGAAAACTTCTCGCTTGTTCCAAGAGGCAAACATGAACCATTCGATCTATTTCGTAATTATTCTTATAAAACAGAGGTTATGACACAACCACACGGGCCTCTATCCCTAGGGAATAGATCTCCATGGTGCAACGGCGCGACTCAATAGTTTTTGCGCAAAATGTGTTCTCGTGTAACATAAATTCAAAATGAGAACTTCCGGCAACACGGAAGTATGTTTATTTTTTCTCATTTTCACGGTAGTTTCGGCTTCACACGTACCCACCTTAAGTAATGTTATACACACATTAGAAAGGATGATTTCATACTACAAAAACAACTACAAAGAGTTCAATCTAGATGGGATATTTGGACTGAGACTCCTTGAAGGTATGGTGATTTATTTCGTTCACAAATCCCAATCACTGTCATTGACAAATCGTTTTCTTAGTATCAGGCACAGTGTGCAGTCATCCCTGGCTTTATATATTTACACTATATGGAGAACTTCATATTATCCATGTTATCAGACTATCATTAGCAATAACATTTCCACAAGATAAGGTACCAAAATTTTCAAAAAGTTTTGTAGCCACTTCAGAAACATCTAGGAGCTAGCAAAGATTTATAGATATTGACATAATTGACATACAAACGGTATAAAGCCTGCAATAAGTAGATATGTGTCTGATTATCCCGTGCCAGGACTTTAGTCCGGGACTGAGCGCAATCTTTTGCCTGTACGATTACAACTTGGGAGAATTATCTAGGCCCATTACAGATACCTACTTCAATAGATTCCTTGGTATTTTAGCATTCTTTTGGTGTAGTTGAATCCACAATTGTCTGGGTTTATCGGCAGAATGAAGAAATTTTCGTTTTTGTCACTTTTTGAACTTATTTCAACCATCAAATTCCTCCATTTATTGGTACTTCCGGACCACTTCCAGGCCAGTCAAACGGGGAATCCCCTTTTAAATCCAACCGCCATCTTGAAAAGTGATGGAATCTCTCTCAATGAAAAATGTTCCCATTCTGCCGATATACATGTACCCAGACAATTGTGGATTCAACTACACGAAAGAATGCTAAAATACCAAGGAATCTATTGAAGTAGGTATCTTAAGTGTAAGGGACGTAGATAATTCTCCCAAGTTGTAATCGTACAGGCAAAAGATTGCGCTCGGTCCAGGACTATAGTCCTGGCACGGGATAAGTGTCTGACATCACCAGAAATGCAACTCTGAAGTGAAAGATTTGGGCCAACCACCAGGTGGTGCTTTTCAAAATGCCTCAAAAATTGGTTTAAATGACATCTTGAGTACATCAAGCAAACCAATGCCAAATAATTCCTTTTAAGTGTTGAAATGAAAATAAATCACTCCATTCATGGCCCCAAGTCCATTTCTTAGCAGCTTATAGGGGGCGCTAAGTTAACGTTTAAATTACATCTCGAGTACATCGAGCAAACCAATGCCAAATGATTCCTTTTTAGTGTTGAAATGAAAATAAATCACTCTTAAGTGCCATTCATGGCCCCAAGTCCATTTCTGAGCAGCCTATAGGGGCCACTACAGGCGTCTTATCAACAAGTCCAATAATGCTAGGAATAAAATTATATTGAAAATGGTCATAAAAAATAATGTTAAAATTTCTGAATTTTATGCTTGAACCTGATCCCCAAAGCGGAAATCCCCCAGATAGTAGAGGTGTCAAGTATTAACCGGTTAACCGGTTAACCGCCGATAATGCCTTGACCGGTCTGAGTTTTTATGGGCGGTTAGTTGACCGTGTATAATTATGTTATTTCCCGCGCTTATTTTGCATGCTAATCCGTTTGGTTTTATGGTGTCAGTTTCACGTAAGCTACTCATACATGTCATAAGTCCCATAACTCCTTACAAACATCCAATCAGCAACTTTAATCCCTGCCACATTGCTTTCCCGCACTTACTTTGCATTTTAATCTGTTTGTTTTTCAAGCGTCAGTTACATGTGAGCTACTCATACATGTGATAGGTCCGATCACTCCTTACAAACATCCAATCAGCAACTTTAATCCCTGCCACATTGCTTTCCCGCACTTACTTTGCATTTTAATCTGTTTGTTTTTCAAGCGTCAGTTACATGTGAGCTACTCATACATGTGATAGTTCCGATCACTCCTTACAAACATCCAATCAGCAACTTTAATCCCTGCCACATTGCTTTCCCGCGCTCACTTACATAGAATAGCGTAAAGCTTGATGAACGTAAAAAATAAACGCCGATATATCATTTTTCAAATTTTTTTCAACTTTCAAGATCGAAGATGAAGATTTCATTTGAAATTATCAGTTCAAATTTCCCGCCGGTTAACCGACTTTAACCGGTAAAAACCCCCGGTTAACCGGTTAATGCTCAAGCGGTTAATTGACACCACTACCAGATAGTGGACAATGAATTCTAACATTAGTTTTGCAAGAATATCTCACTTCGAGTTATGATGTAAAGAAACCCGAATAATTATTTCCTTATAAGATTTTGGCAAGGTTATTTCCTTATTTGCCTCATGCCTGACCAGTGACTATACACTTGGATACAAACTGTATTGCATAAATTACATATAAAATGATCTCTCATCTTGTTTCTAGGTCAAGTGAAGTTATTAATAGAAGACGACAACAAGGGAAAATTCTCCAACATCCCACCACAACCCACTTTCGAGATAACGAAAAAACAGTTATTGTCTAAACTGCAAGAATTTTTACATACTGCAAAGAACATTTCTGACTTATCACTTCCATTTGTTGCTAAGAATAACATTGATTACTTCCACAACATGAAGGAATTGGTGTCCACGCCTTACGGAATGTGGAGGACACCAAGAAGAATTGATCCTGGAAGACGTTGGAGCAAAGATGTAATTGAAAAGAGGGAACTAAGTAAGACACATTTTTTTAGTTTACAGAAAATATATATTTAACAGTATAAACTAGGACAAGTTGGTCTATATCATTACTTCCATCGTCATACTGAGCATCAAAGATTGTATACATGTATTGAGAAACATGCATTATTGGCAAAAACAAAAGATATAAACTAAAAAGCAACAACTTTCCACTTATGGAAGAAATGTTGAGAAAATACCTTTCAATCAAGTTGCACTTTAGAGAGATCTCAATATTTCTGGAAATTCCGGTCTTTTGAGATGGTCATTTTGGACTTAACAAGACAAATCAAAATAGCAATACAATCTACTCTAATCAGTCTACTACAAGTTAGTATGAGTTTTTCATATGCTTTGGATGGAGAGTTATGATCGATGGATAAAGGGCTTCACTTTAATGGGCTTACTAACCATGTCATATGTCATAAATATTGGCATATATTTATATTTAGCAATTGAAAAATTAAATACACTTGATTTGACACTATGAATCCAAATTAATTATTATAAAGTAGAAACATATTTCATTACAGAATGTGAATGTCAGTGAATTATTTCTCTGGATTAAGGCAATTGCCGTTGTCATAGAGATAAGTTTATAAGTATTTTGCTTATAGGATATATGTCAGAGGAGCTTAGTGATGAGTGTATGATGGAGTTGCTAGGCACCGGCAGGATAGACAAAAAGAAATGTATCATTAGTGATAAATGTTTCAAAGTCATGACAACCAAGGTATGTGTTCAGTTAAGCTTATGTTTGTTTAAATATTCCCTTTCGATCCCCTACCCATGTTGTTGGTTTACCTAAATCAGAGGAGATATTTCACCTTGCATTTTTATCCTGCATTAAGCCAGAATCAGAGCTGTAGAAATGGTATCATGGATTTGAATTTTGACATATAAAGATTCCTGGCTCCATATCAAGGATGTTTAAAACAATATGTTATTCCCATGTGCAAATATATGTGTTGAGAATGCAGAGTGCGGGATACGGAAGATCACATAGCACACCTTGTAACATTGTCAATATGAGGGTTATTTCTACTGATATTAAATACATATGTAGATAGAAAAAGCGACTTTGTTTGAGCAATTCCAGTCCAACATAAAGATGAAATGATTTTACAGCATGGTATTCTTAATAGAATTCCTAAGAACTGTCCATGATATCTTTGATATACTCTTTAGTAGTTTGCCCTATGCGCTGACTTCAACATCATTATCAACTAATAACATTTCATTAATTTGCATGTACTTGTGTTATTCATGTAAATCAATGGAAAATCAGCATATACTTAGATGTCATTTCATGTTTTCATTCAAAGTTCATTTTTTACCTCGTGCCAAGGTACTCCATTTATCTATGTGAGGCATGAGGCAGTTGCCTCAGTTGCCTCATGCCTGGCTACGGCCATGACATATTTCAAATTATTGAATAATTTGTTTGTTGAAATTTGCTAGGCCATGGATTTGCCAAGTTGTCCTGGGTTCGAGTTGTCCAGTTACCATTTGCCACTTTTAGATCTGGATCAACATCAATAAATTCTTTTACTTTCAGGGCATGCAAGATTATTCAGTGACTCATCAGTTGCTATGGGTGATGGTTGCCGAGAGAATGGGCTGTAATACTCAGCTTGCAGAATTCTTCAAATCTAAGAACAGTAACATTGATGACCATGTATTAGAGTTTTGCACTAATAATTACTTTGAGATGCAAGAGGTTTTGAGGATCCAAAAGGGCATTATTTTGCCGATTTATCAAGATTTATTTCTTGAAGTTCGTAAGTATTAAATGTCTCTGTTAATTCCAGGGCCTTCTAGGAGCCCGTGTTTATCATAGTAATCTGGACTGTTTTACTAGATTTACGTCAGTTGTCCCAAGGTCCTACCATATTCAATAACTCATGTTTTGAACAAATCATCCTTTTAGCATAGCAAAGGTATTATCTTGTCCTCAGACTGTTAAAAAGATACACAAAATATTTGAATCTGTTTGGTAGGAATCTAGTCTATAAAACAAAACTTTTTTAATTAAAAATTTTTTTCACAAAAAATGCAATTGCTATAAAAATAGATTTAAATTGATAAATGCAACGACTTCTGGGCTGTTCAAATTTCCCCCAAAATTGGTACCTATGTATGTGTCCACATTGTAAGTTGGTTTGATTTCACAATATTTTATTTGTCTTTGCCACTTTCAGAACATGGGTGGCTAAGTAATTTGAGTAATTGTAAATCTTTTACAGAATTCCTGGGTAACGAAATTCACCAAAGTCACAAACAATAATTGTTACATTTATTTATGTGACATTACATTATTAATGTGTATATAGAAATTATATGTACTGTATATCCAGCATTGTATACTTGTCACTTGTCCTTTCTTGTTTTTCATTTGAATTTTATTGGATGATGTGACTTAAATCACAAAAACTAACAAGGCATTAACATGCTAAATGTCACCACCTGTCATTTGTGGTGGTGACATAAAAATGGACTAGTTACTAGTTGTACAATGTATTCTATATAATCTGAACTGTTATATGATTCTGATTTCAGAATTTGTGTGTCCTCTTTTCGGCTTCTACCAGTTCCTAAACATGACATATTTACAACAGATTCTTTCATGGCAATACCCAAATGGTTGCTATGGCAAAATGAACAAGGTCACTGGTGTTGACCCCTTAGCAAAACGACAGGTTGAGAAAAAACTTTTCCGAGAAGATGTTGATGATGATAATGATGAGTATGACTATAATCAAAACAAAGGTCATCAACTTCTAAATAATATGATCTATGATACCAAAGATGATAACAAGGCAAAACCTGCTGATGATTTGAATATACATAAAGCTGCTGAAAACCAAAAAGTGAATATGATGCAGTTAGCCAATCAACAAGACCCAAATGCTAATAAAGCAGCTGATGATAGCTTTGATGATAACTCACATAATTCACCAATTGATTCACCAAATATTGGATTTGTACAAGTTGATAATAAACACATCCAAATGTTTGGAGATCAGGACAATAATGTACTTAATAAACAAAGCGAGAAGGCATATAACCAAGCTGAAACTTTAAACCGAGATACTGCTGATCATGTAAATGCCCAAATGAGGGATTCATTGAACAATAAGGGTAATAACAATGCAGTACATAATGGGAATGTTGACAATAACTGGAATGATCCAAACATGGATGATGCAAAACAAATACAAGATTCTTATCATGTCAAGGACAATCCATTGGTTCAAACCAGACGTCTCCTCGTGGAGCAAACTCTTGAAGGTATGTATTTTTGAGAAATAAAAGGTTTCTATACTTCTCTGTCTAATATTAGAAATGCAACTATTTTAAAAATAGCAGTATGAAATTTATCACCAAAATCAAGATGTTAATCAGTTAGATTATGAACAAGTGGTAGTAGCAATAAGTATCTTTTAATATCAATTGAACATGTATGGATTTCTCTATTAACTGGTATATTGGAATTGATTCATGAATTTGGAATTGTTGTGATGCTTTTAGATGGTTGCTTATCTCACAAGACAGCAGTAGCTTCTGGAGCCCTAATTGTCTATCTGAGGTATATGCTAGAGTTAGGACCATATCTCAATGACACAACACAACTGAGTAAAATTGAACCCATTAAACAAAATGGGGAAAATGATCCTGGGAATGATGATGATAGTGTAAACTTGGATGAAGATAATAATGTTGCAGCTCCAGATAATGGCAATGTACATAGTCATGATGATGATACTGACAATAATGCAGAAGAGGAAGAGGATCAAAATGGTGAAGATGAAGATGAGGACAAAGAACAGAAGAACTACAAAGATGATGAAGATGATAATAACTATGAAGAAGATGAAGAAAATGGTCCCAATCAGAAAGAACAACATAAAAAATTACATGCACATCGTGGTCTACCTCCAATACCTAAAGACATGGTGAATAATGATCTCAATACAGATGACAACAGTCATGAAACTCACGACTATTATAACTCTGAAAAAGAAGACAGCAACACAGCCAATAAAATCCAGGATAACAGTAAACATATCTATATTGATAATAATATACATAAAATACAAGATTCAACGAAACACAAGAATCGTGATTTTCATGTTGATGAAAGTCATATCTACCCTGGGGTGAATAACACTACTCTGCAACCAAGCTCGTTGATGACATATTTAGTGATCCTACCTGGCATAGGTGTCATGTTTGTCATGTATAAATTCATAAAAAGGCGGAGAATTAGAATAAGATACAGATCTGTACTTCATTAGCTGAAATTAGGTTCTACTATTTTATTTAATGTAAACATTGTCCAAGTTAACACAGCTGTGACTACTTAAAAATTGGAGCTCTGTTGATACTGTGAAGTGTATAATTTGGGTTATGTTCCAACATGGGCTTTCTCTATGAATGCTCATGGTGAGAATTTGAAATATGCTTTTCAGTAGCCCTGTTTACACTATACAAAGCATTCCAAGATGTCTTCGCTTAGAGCTCTTACAAAAATGCAGGGGAGTTTACATTACTCTTTTTAAAATATCTTACAAAAATTATTTGAGCAAAAGCTGATGGATGTAAACTTGCCTTGTAAGATATCCTACGCTTTAAGATGTCTTGCTCTGACTAGGGTCCCAAATGCTTTGGCAAGACGTTTTAATCGAGATGTCTTGAGAAACTGTGGATTCATTTTACAATCTTGAGGCATCTTACCCAAGAGCCCTTACAAGTGTAGTGTAAGTCCAACTAATGAGACCTCTGTTCACTTCCAATGCTTTCCTGTTTAGATTTTATTGTGAAGATATTTCTCATTATTTATGTTGATTGATACTTAAATGGCAATTTATAGCCTCAGAATTGAATTTTAACCTAGAATTCCTTATACAATTCCTGAAATAATTCCATCAGTAAACCTTGACAGAAATCCAAATTTAAAGTGCAACTTGTCTCTATTTTAGCTGTATTTATGGAAAATAATTTCTCACATGATTTGGAGAGGTGGTGGTACTTACTGCCATAAATCAAAATTCATCGGGGTCATTGACAAGACAGCAATATTATATTGTTGGTTTCAGATGTGAAATTGTTTTTAGAAGAGGACTTTTTCAAGAAAAGTTCATATTTTAGGTAGTGTTTCAGTGTCTACAATTTACTATTTTTAGTAATTTTGAATCAAATGACAGTGGCACTTCAGATTTCATTTAAAAACATAAAAAAAACATTTTTCAATTTATGCGCTTAATTTATATACATGTACTTATATTTTTAAGAGGAGGCTCTGTAGCATTTGTGCTTCTTATAATTTACAATTTGTATTATATTAGGATTTATTAATTTTTCTGAAAATACCATGAACAAAACTTCAAATATCTTACCAACCTGTACATGTACATAGGCCTTACCAACCTGTACATGTACATAGGCCTTACCAACATGTACATAGGCCTTACCAACCAGTACATAGGCCTTACCAACCTGTACATGTACATAGGCCTTACCAACCAGTACATAGGCCTTACCAACCTGTACATGTACATAGGCCTTACCAACCAGTACATAGGCCTTACCAACCAGTACATGTACATAGGCCTTACCAACCAGTACATAGGCCTTAGGGCTTACATAATTGTTTTGTTTTATCTAGATCAAGGGTAAAATTTTGTCCAAATCTGCTTTAAAATATTGTGCCTGTTAAACCTGAATAATATTTTAAAACAGAATGTTTCAACTTAGACTATTGTACATGTATTACTTTACTTTATTAAAATGATATGATGTACATGTGTTGATATGCTTCCATTATTATTATATTGCTAGTTATTCCAGATTCATGGTAATATTATACCATTATACCACAACCTCGTGCTTCATCAATGAAAGTCCCCCATGGCAAACTATGATTAAAAGACACTGCATTCAGTCTATTTGTCATATGTAATGCTTCATTTTATTTGAAATTGATTATCTAACAAAGTGGTTTATCACATGCAACCAGTACTGGAAGCATAAAAATGGAGCTTAATTATTACTAAGTTGTAGTCATTTACTAGTCATTCTGTATATGTCTTTCCTGTCTCAAGTCTAGTGACATTGTCATCCAAAGTAAACATGTTGAACAATTCAATTTAACAAATACAATAAATTATGCCAGAACTCAATATTTCCAATCCTTTATGACACTAAATGATCTTCCATGACATCACCAGTTATTATCCCACTAGAAGAAGTTCGAGGGGGATATAGGAAAGCCATCTGTTCATCCGTCCGTCCATTCGTCCATCTGTCCGGGCAATAACTCAAATACAGGTTGACGGATTTGATTCAAATTTTAAAGGCTTATGCCTTATGGGGGAAGGACATCTGCTCGAGAAGGAATTTTCAATATGAGCTCTGATTGAGAAGAAATATTCAAGGTGGCTACTATTTATTGAAATCTACGCCATTTTTCATTAAACATGTAATCCTTGATAACTCAAGTACCAGTTGATGGATTTGCATTAAATTTTATTTGCTGATACCTTGGGACATATGAGCTCTGCTAAAGAAGAAATCTAAAGATGACAGCTGAATTTCAAAATGGCAACCATGTATCATAAAAACACAATCTTTGATAATAACTCAAATACCAGTGGATGGATTTGGCTCAAATTTTATATGGCCGCTATTTATCAAAACATGTTTTGTTCGGTGGGATTTGCTACTCCGTGGAGTTACTGTTTTTATTCTAGTTTTTACTACTGTATTATAAATTGAATGTAAGTTATAAACACCTGCTTTCTGCATTTTAAAGGGTTTACATTTTTCAATTATCACCAGTAGCCCTTAAAGGGGAAGTAAAGGATATAGATGAGTTCATAATAACCTGTTGAAAAATTAGCGCAAGATTAAATAGATTATTTTTTGCAAACAGTATTCACTGCCAATGCCATGCATGCTTTCCCAAAATTTCTGACTTTTTATAGAAATACTTTTATTTTAGTGAGATCATAATCTGTTTATATGAAACAAAGATAAATCTAATATTATTGCAGGAGTGCAGCAACATTTTGTATGACCTTGACCTCGGAATTAGTTTTTTCTGGATTCTGTTGATAAAGTCTTTATTCAGTTGAATATATGTTGCATGTGATTAGTATTCTAAGGTACAGTAAATGGGATGGTAATCAATTTACAGCTCAAAAATTTGACTGTAGTTGAGCATATTGAAAGAATATTCAATTTTCTTATTTATGCTTAATCTATTGTATAAACATCCATGCTTATCTATTTTGTAACTTATGTAATAGAATTCTTACAGGGCAATCAATTATGCTTTGATTTAAGCCTATAAATTATTTATAGAAATCGCAATTAATAAATGATAAGAAAATAATATTTCATAGTATTTTATTAATTTATCTCAAGAATGAGAAAAATTCTACAGATTAGTGTACAGAACTAAGAAATCAGATGTTATTATTAACATATGTGTAAGATATTTCGATTCAAATCAACTTCTTTTTTGTTGGTGAAAATGTTGAAAACTAACTCATTCAAGCAATCAGAGTGACAAAAGTATTGCCATAGCAACCTTTTATTTCTTGGGTTACATTATACTATATTAGCCTCATTGAATCGGCCTAGCACTTTAATTCCAGCAATTGTATCTATAACCCATACTAAACATAATTCCATATTTATACACAGTATTGTTGGAAGCTGTGTTAAGTAAATTATCAATTAATTTTGTTTAATAGTTTAGATAACTAGACCAACAGCAATGGGCTTGCAACGAATATTCCTTCATAAAGAAATGCCAAAGCTGTATGGGCATACGAGGGGTTATCATAAAGTTCTAATTTATGTGTATATAGAGTACCGACACATGTAAGCATATATTTGAAGCGGAGTTCACAGATCCATCTTGAACTTTTCCTACACCAGCAAGGTTTAACCTTTTTTCAATGAAAAACATATTTAAAAACTAAACTTATTTCAATCACAGCACTGGATTTTATATTACAGCTGCTGATGGACTAAATTCAAAAATCCTCTAAATGGCATACATACAGTTAAACCTATGTAAAGTGAACATTTTTTGCCGAGAAAAAATATTCAGTACTGGTAGGTCTTCACTTCGGAGAGGGTTATTTATACAGAAGTCAATGGAGTATGCGTGGAGGAAGGATGCCCACTAGAGTGAGAGAGAGAGAGAGCTGTTCACTAGACAGGTTTTACTGTACATGTAAATCTTGAAATAAAATGCCATAACATTGCTTGTGAATAACATTCACAAGCAATGTTATTCCCCGACGGCTTTTTACTTTTGATAAGTGTATAAAATGTTGTCATGTAAGACCCTTAGTACTTAGCAAGCAATCATTAATTTTGGTGCAATTTATTGGGTAATTCTAATTCATTTTTGGGGATTATTAGGGTTAACTTGAATTTCCTCGCTTGGCAAAAACCAACCAGTACATCCATTTGAATTTGGTATGTTGAAGGTGCAGGTTGAAGTGATTTTAGTAGTGGTGTTACTACAATTTTAAATCAAATTTACAACCACATAAATGTTGCTTACATTCACTTATTTTCCATATAAGATAGGATTTCTTAGTTGCATAAAAAGAGGCACAGTATAAACACGGCACAACTTAAATCAGGTAAACAATGTTACATTTTTCTACGCAGTTTGTATTAATTCTTCAGTTGAAAATACAAAAACAAATAATTTAGCGCTTGCTTATATAATTTTCAACCTGAAAATGTATCAAAATTTTTTATATTCAGGCAAAAATAGAGTGCATCACCGAAAATGTTTTGATTCCCTATAATCTATTTATAGTGCACATGACAGTTTTGATCAGATTTTAAACATTCACCAACCACTTCAAAGAGATCTTGACATTTTGGCAAATTGGGCCATGACTTGGAAGATGACTTTTAAGGCACAAAAAAGTGCTGACTTAACCTTTGTATCAGGAAATAGAAGACTATTACAAGAGCCAGTCCCTTTAAAACTAGGAGGAGATGTGATTCCTAGTTGCACCAAACACAAACACCTGGGCTTAGTACTTGATCAAAATCTAAACTTTAATTCACATGTTGACCAACTCATAGAGAGAGTAATCTCTCTCATGAGACCATTGAAAAAGTTAACTAAAATGCTAAACAGTAAATACCTAGAGAATATATATAATTCATTTATACTACCACATTTCGACTACTGTGATACAATATATGATAAGGCATCAACTTCAAAACTATTAACATTGGATAGACTTCATTATCAAGCAGCTTGCCATGTGTCAGGAGCAATACACGGTTCAAACACATCGAAAGTTTTATCATTACTCAACTGGAAAACGTTAGCTTCCAGGAGAGAAGAACATCTTAAAATTTTTGCTTTCAAGGCTAGATACCATTGTTTCCCTCCTTTCATTTGTGATTTAGTTAGTTCATACGAGAATATTCCAAATCGGCCCCTTTCCAATCAGTAATTCGTTCAAAAAGTCAACCATTATCAGGGCTATGACCCTGTGGGATGACATACCATATGAGGACAGGAAAGGCCAACCAATATCTAGATTTAAAAGGTTAGTAAGAGGAAATATGAGCCCTGACTCCAGAGTATCCACTACTAAAATGAATATGACAATGCCAAGGAAAATTGAAATTCTGTTCAATAGATTTAGAGCTGGACTGATTCTAAAAGCACATTTATATTCCCATAACTTTGTGACAGTAAATGACCCTTTCTGCGTATGTGGTGACATACAACAAACAACGCATCACTTTTTATTAAACTGCCCTCTGCTGCAACAAGAAAGATGCACTCTCCTAGCAGGACTAAAAACCTTAGGATTTTTCAATCGTTTCCAAAATTTAAACTCTCATGAAAAAATTCAATTTTTATTATTTGGAGACAGAAATCTCACTGTAACTGATAATGAACAAATTATTCATATAGTTAGCCATTACATCTGCCAGGCTCTTGATATTTTAGATTAACCCCCCCCCTGAAAGCCTCTAACATTCCCTGCCATTAATATTATGTACCTTATCTATTGTATTTTCATTGTTTCCATTTTTATATGTTTTGTATATTGCCGACAATGTTGAAAAACGTAGGCAATAATATTGTAATGTATTTTATGTTATATTTGGAATAAATGAGAAATGAAAAAAAAAAAAAATTCCCTATATCATATGTGTATGGAGGAATTCAGGTATTTGAGAATAATAACATTTATTATTTATATTATTTATATACAGAGATGGATGCCCAGAATTCACAACAAGCTACTTTATACAACTCTCCTGTTAGAGACAGAATAAAGGAATTTAAAGGATGTGGCGCCATTTCTTTGGGCTCATTGCTGATAATATTGGGCATTGGAGCTGCAATAATCGATGGCATGATTTTCCATATTTATTATCCTATTGAGTTGACTTTTCCAGACTTTGACACTCATTATTTTGTTGGAGTTTGGACTGGAGCTGTAAGTATTTAATGTTATTATTATGTTTTTTATGGTGCTATAAAAATCCATAGACTCCGTCTTACTGTAGTTACAATGTACATTAGTTCTTCTCGAAAATCTAATTTTTCATTTCCAACCCAAGTGATTATGTGTAACTGTTTGAGATTTTAGCATTACAGTTAGAAAATCTATCTGTTTCTTTCCATTTCTAATTTGTTTGTTGGGATTTGCTACTTCGGAGTGTTGCCATTTACTTGTTGACCTTTCATGAACTATTACAAGGGCTCTGCAAATAGTCCTGCCTTTTTGTGATGATTTATGACTTTCCTTTTTCATACTTCCTTTACAGTTCTTTGTTCTGACTGGTATTATTGGTATTGCGGCAGGAAAATCTAAAACGCAGTGTATGGTATGTACTCATGATTTGAATTGAGACTTCCACAGTGTACCATGTCACAGTGATTGCCCCTATAAATTCAGAATGTCTTGCTTGAAATAAATGAACATAATAATTCGATCACCATACACGGTTTTAACAAATTAATGATAATCATTGCTCAGAATTTACAAAGTGGAAAAAGAATATGGTCATACCATGGTATGCGATGACCAGGAAATGCATTGAAATACCATTTTTATTCATACTGCATTCATAATTTTATTCATACCGTGGGCATAATTTATACGCACTTATAAATTAACACACTTACACACGGAATTCAATGATTACTTTCACTGTGAAAATAATTCTTTTGGAAGGTGACGTTCCAAAGCTCATAAAAATGTCAAGATCATAGCTTGGTTTTAAAAACAAAATAAAATATTGCCTTGTTTTGTGCATTTTTAAGCATAAAATTCCATTGTCAATTGCAGATTACAACACTCTTGGTACTGAGTGTTAGTGGAATATTCTTTGCCATTGCCTTGCTGAGTTACAGTGCAGTTACAATGCCAGGGGCAGTACAAGGTCAATTTAACATATACAAGGATTCTCCATTAAATATATTAAAATCATTAAATCCGGTAAGTACACGAATGAATCCAATCAATCTATCGAATTATCAATGGTTCTCTGTTCTCCCTATATACTTTAACACGGGTGTTAAAACACGAATATACCATGAGCACATGCTTTGAGGATCCGCGTTGTTTGAACCTACCGCCGAGCACACTTATACATTAAGACACGTTACACCGTCATGATACCGCCGAGCAAGCTCATTGCATCATCGGGTCTGCTTTATCCCCGTGCTTTAAGATAATGAAAATTGATAACAATGCATTTTCCCAGTTTAGCACTCTTGCGATGTTAGCTTGTATTCGGGAAAGCAACTTTCGGCTCTCGGCTACCGGATTAACCTACTGTTTATAGGCAACTCATTTGAATATGAATATGACCTGCCACTATTGCATTCATATTTAAATGAGTTGGTCAAATATTAGGGTAATCTGGTAGCCGACGGTCGTTAGTTGCATTCGCGAATACAAGCTTAGTCGAGACAGGATGATACAACTCTAGTGCACCTAAGATTTTTGCAGATGATTGGGATTTGGGATGTACTAAAATCTTATGAAAGGGGTGTAAGTTAAAAAATGTTGCCACGAGCATAGTGAGGCAGAGTGAGGCAAATTGTAATAGCTGAGGCAAATTTAAGATAAAGAAGATGTAATGCTACTATTTGACATCACATTTAACAGTTTCAGTAAAATCTCATGCCTTGTAATGTACATGGTTGGGCTGTTAAAAAGGGGTACACCCCGGGACAACTGGGTTTCGGACAACTGGGTTTCGGAGAACTGGATTTCGGACTACTGGGTTTCGGAGAACTGGATTTCGGACAACTGGGTTTCGGACAACTGGGTTGACCCCGTTAAAAAGTACACATGCAACACCATTGTCTATCCGGTCACCAGGACACGGATTCCAAACATTTATATGGAGCATACTGAAATCTATTTGATAACTTTAAACAGAATTGATGCAAATATGTTTTCAGTCACCTAGGATCGGTCTTAATGGGGCATTGTTTGCTATTGGAGTTATTTGTGGTATTCTGTGCATTGTTTCCTGTGCATTGGGCTGTGCAGTTGTTTGTTGTGGCAGGAGGAATGTAAGTAGAGATTTACACTTACTTGATTTCCATTTAATTGCTTCTAATTGAGGGCAATGAATAAATAAATGAAGTGGAAACACAATATATGGGGTTTGTTTTTCTTGACTGGTATGCACTTAGAGTTTGCTTTTTCTTGCTAAGTTCCATTACAACTTTTGGTCCTTTCCCTTTTGGCACTAGTATAGTGCTTATTTATATAACCAAGACAACCTTTCAGAAAGAACTGTTTGGGGGGGGGGGGATGGTGGGTGTTTGCACTTTCCCTGTCTCAAACTCTAATTTTTATCATCTCTATGAATACTTCTCCTGGGGATAATGTATGCACCTGTTTAAATCCTCAATAAATAGTCACACTCCAATATATGACTGTCTGATATGTGTTGCGATACCTTCCGTGGTTCTTTGGACCAAATGTGGCAACTAACTGGTATTTGTGATACCAGAAAACTCATAGCTTTCCTCAGACATGGCATTCATTTTGAATTAAGCATTTCTTCTTGACCAGAGTCACATGCCAATAAAAGGCATCGGCAGATACAATCTGGCTATTGGTTTTTGAGTTAGGCCTATAGAAAACTAAATCTTTATGAAATAAGATGGCCATATAAAGTTTGAACCAAATCCGTCAACTCGTATTTTGGTTATCAAAGATTACGGCCATTTTGAATTGAGTGGTCATGGAAATCCTTGAAAAGAGGTCTCATGCCCATTTGGCATTAGCCTAGAAAACATTGACCAAATCCTATAACCGCAGTTAAAGTTACAAAAATTACATTACAGCCGTTATGAATTGAGCGCCAGCCATCTTGAAAATTCCTTCACGAGCAGATTCCTATGTCCATACAGCAGGAGCATGCAAAATTTGAACCAAATTCATCAACTGGTATTTGAGTTATCAAAGATGACTAAAGAGGTGGCCATTTTTTAATAATGCCTCCTTTAAAAGAGTTTTTTTTATCCAAAAGACATTATCAGCAATTACATTTTTATGAAAAATCATGGCCATTTTCAAATTCAGCTGCTATGTCCCCAAAGCATGTGCATGCAAAATTTGAACCAACTTCGTCTACTGGTATCAAAGATGACTTCAAAGGTGGCCATTTTGAAATGAGTGGCCATATTGAAAATGCAATTGCAGTTTTATGAAAAACTATGGCCATTTTGAAATTCAGCTGCAATAATGAAAATTACTTCTTAAACAGAGAGTGTGTCTTTCTTTATGAACTATTACGCAAAAATATAATATACATTTAATATACATGTTTTGCAGGCAAACACTGAGAGGTACTACCCAGGTAAGATTATGACATTATTTGTAAAGGGAACTGTTCGTAAAATACTTTTTTCTGATAATTTTTTTGTGAAATACTGTACATATCAGTCCAGGCGTTGAAAATAACTAATTCATTTATATACAGAGATGATGGGCCAGAATCCACAACAAACTGCCCCAGACAATGCACCAGTGAGAGAGAAGATTAATGAATTTAAAGGTTGTGGCGCAATTTTCTTAGGCTCATTGTTGATGATATTGGGTATTGGAGCTGCAGTAATTGGTGGAATGATTTTCCATTTCAAACCCTTGAACATACTAAGTCCTTGGCTGTTTGCTGGAGTTTGGAGTGGAGCTGTAAGTTTTCATTACATAAGGCCAAAAATAGTGATATGAACTGTTTATCGATGCATATATGCAAGTGAAAAGAGAAGTGCTTTTTTGAGTCGATCATTCTTTAGATTTATCACATTCTTCCTTCAAATCGAGATTTATCTTTATTACTGAGGCCTCTGCTAATTGCTTTCAAATTCTGATTACATCTACGTAATATGATTATTTTCAATTTTCTTTACAGGTGTGTTTGGTGACTGGTTTTATTGGTATAAGGGCAGGAATATCTAAAACGCAATGTATGGTACGTCCGCAGATATTGTTTTACACATGTTTATGTTAGATTAAAACAAATTTTGAGACTTATAAAATCGCTTGTTCGGTTTTTCAAAAAGCATCAAAATTAAGCATTCAATGAGGTCTGCAATGTATAAATATATTTGTTAATCAAACCAAGTCAGAGCTGTACTGAACATGCGAGGCATATCTTAACACGTTCAAAAGTGGCACCATCGGCTGAGCTCATGATCACATGTTGAAAAAACGATTTCTCCATAACGAGGCAACATTTTTAATCACTCCCTTTCCACTCAACTGAATTACGTCCTTAGTCATTATTCTATGCATTTATGTTAAAAATGACCCCAAGAAATAACTGAACGCCAACCGCCAAACAACGTCCACAAAAAGTTGAAGACTAAAACAATTGTGACATAAAAAAAGTTAAAGATTATCAGTAATAATCATTAATATTTTTTTTACATTTTCAAGATTGGCTTTTTGCTGAATTTGTACACAAATAGGGCATGCACAACGAACGCATATGAACGCTGATTGAAAATGTTATAAAGTAAAAAAGTTGTGATTTTTTCAGATTTCGACATATTTGGTACTAAGTGTTCTTGGAATATTCTTTGCCATTTTCATGATAGTAAACCATGCAAGTATGGTATCGTTCTATTCATACTCGTGGTATTATGCGAGAGATCGAAGAGAAATATCTGTTTTGGTAGGTAGGATTTGATGCAGCAATTGATTTAATTAGTTTCCAAGTACAAGTACGAGAGTGTATCCAGACATTCTAGTCAAGGTGTGGCCAATTTCATTCCACTCAGGCGTTTACCCAAGATGCAGCATCGAGTACTAAGTTCACAATTATTTATGTCATTTTATATTCAGTAAAACCTGTGTCTAGTGAACATTTTTGCCACGAAAAACGTTCATTGTTGGTAGGTGTTCACTACAGCAAGGATTTGATTTCTCGGCATTTTGCTGTATTATATAGAGACCAGTTATTAAACAAGGCTAAAGGGGTACCCTGTGTGCAGAGTCTAGTTAAACTACGACGAAGCTCTCTTTTAAGAAGTGAAGTCAAACGAATGCAAAGGGTACTAAAGGGGAGGAGGGAATAATCTTGGCAAAATCAATAGAATTATCCTGTCTCTAGTGAACATTTTTATATTACCTGCCAAAAATAATTAAAAGGGCAATAGACTAGATGCAAGAAGAAATAATCTTGATTTACACGATTAAATATCCAAAATTCAGTCAAAGTGATGTCATTTTTGAAATTCACATGTCACTGTACATCTAGTGTTCACTAGAGACAGGATAATTCTATTAATTTTGCCAAGATTTTGTGTTCACTGTTCACAGTAGGTAGGTGTTCACTACAGGATTGTACTTTAACATGGGGGTCAATGGGTGAAAAGGTTTTGCCGAAAAAAAGTTCACTGTTGATAGGTGTTCACTATATGTGTTCACTAACTCAGGTTTTACTGTATTTCAAGTGATATTTTATTAACTATTTTGCAATGTGTGAAGAGAATTTTAGCCCAAGACGCATTGTGGCTGATTCATTCCATTCAGGCATTCGAACTCCCGTGCAGTGATATATCACTGCGGCGGGCAGGTATCTCACCGTAAGCATGGTAACATCGTAATAAACAACTGACGTGATTGGTTCTAGTCCCATGCTCAGGTCGCGTGATTGTAAAATTCAGACAATTTCATTGGTTGAATTGCGCGTATTAACTAATAAACAACACGTGCGGTAAATTTTATCAACACAACTTTTACTCAGAATTCCTTCCGCGGGGATTTCCTCTTATATTTCATTGATTTTGGAATATTTTGACAAAATAATTTTTGGTGAACATAAAAGAACATATATTTTATAAGTTGTGTGAAAAACAAGTACATCTGTGACAAAAAGGGAGACTATCTTCCCCAAATTTTGGGGATTCCATAATCTGCCCGCCGCAGTGTCTATACCGAGACACTGCATAGGAGTTCGTCAGGCGTTGTTTCTTAAACTTTGCACTTGATGCTATGCATCTTGGGTAGAGTTTGAAACAACACCTCAGAGGAATGGTCAGTCCAAATGCATTGAGTCCAATGGCTATACAACAGCCGAGCAAACTGCCATCAACATGTTTCATTAGCAACCTTAATCAGTTTGTGTCAAGGATAATTCAAGTGAACAATTTTTCAGTCCCTCCGGCTCGGTCTTAATGGGGCATTGGTTGCCATTGGAGTTGTCAGTGGTTTTCTGTGCATTGTATCCTCTATATTGGGCTGTGCAGTTGTTTGTTGTGGCAGAAGGAATGTAAGAAATGTGAGTTTCACATAATTTGATAATTTAAGACTTTAACACATACATGTTTTTGATTATCCAATTTACACTTACCATCTCTCCAATGAACAACATAAGGACACAACAATACATTTACATAACACTTCATCTTTGAACAGCGTAAGGAACAACAATACATCACCACACTGGAATAGCCTGACAACGGTAAAGTCAGATACCGTTGTCACAAATGGCGGACATAACCGTCGCTTCAATTAGATTTTCATAAACTGTATGTTTAATAGAGCACTTAGACTAAATTCCTCTGGAACAACAATCGATCAAAGTGTCTTTATACTCATTGTACAGTTAATAATGTTCTACCATCGAAATAAAGTCTTTAATTCAACCGATCAAAATGAAATACGGGACAACTGACACTGTAATTACAATATGCTGTTGTCTTTCTAAATTACTCAAATTCAGATTTCGTTGTCATTGACGATATTAAAGACGCTATATTGTGGCGATTCACGACCCAATTCGATCGAAAATGGGATTTCATATGATACATTATCACAAGAGCTTAATACATTCACAGAATTAGCGACGATAAAATCCCATGAAATGATTAAACAGTTGAAGCGACGGTTATGTGCGCCATTCGTAACAATGGTATCTGACTTTAATACGTTGTCAGGCTATTCCGGTGTGATCACACTACATGTTAAAACAGCATAAGTGGCATAACAATACATCACACTACATGTTAAAACAGCATAAGGGGCATAACAATACATCACACTATATTATTAAACAGCATAAGGGGCTCAACATCACATATCACACTACTTGTTTCAAAGCGTATGGGACATAACAATACATCAAACTACATGTTTAAAATACAGATAAGGGCACAAACTATACATCACACTACAGCATAAGGGACAACTACATCATACTACATGTTTAAAAAGCACAAGGGACAACAAATATAATCACATATGACAAAACAACACAAAATAACGAGAGTAATAGAAAGGATTCTAAAACAACATTTATGTATCAGAGTGAATTGATATAACATTAATCATGTGACAAAATAAACTTGATTGCTTTATACAATGCGAAAATACAACTTGTATAACAACTTCTATTTTATATTTTGTAGGAAAACCCTTCATGGAACTACCCAGGCAAGATTATGATCCTATTTAATGTTAAATCTCTGATCAAATAGCCTGCTTGTTAAGTGTGTCAAGATCAGTGGAATACAGATGACCATTTGTTATGTACTTTGCATATGATTAAGACCTTCATAAGTATAATGGGGTTTGATAATTGGGTGTGACAACTGTTGCCCGTTGGCAGGATTTGCCATGCAGCCATGGGGGTTCTGAAAAATTCCAGGGGGGGTCACTTTTGACATCTTTGGCCCGAAAGTGGCCAAAATCACTTGAAAATTGCTCAGAATTGTGAAAAATTGCAATTTTTTGGCCAGGAGGGTTCGCTTGAACCCACTGAACCGCCTGGCTACGGGCCTGGTTTATGAATTTCTGAATAAATTATTATGGTGATTTTCACTGTAAGTTGAAAATTCAAACTGACTATTTCTTTATGTCAAAAGTCTGATATTAATCATTGTACTCCATATGAAAATGTTAATTGAATTTATGTGTAAATTACAGGTGCTGATAACTCTGGACATATTCCCTATAGATATGGACGAGAGATGCAACAAAATCCCCATCCTGCCCAGTATCCACAGAAACGAGAACAGTCACGATTCTAATAGGTGTACATCTTGGACTCGGGCTCAATTTATATGCATTTATCTCCATAGAGATGGGTGCAAGAAAATCCTGTACATTTTTTTAAATACAACAGATGAATTAACATGGACATATACAAAGACAAAATGATGTTATGTATATTATGGTCCTGATTCTGTATATTTTGTTTATATCAGAATTCAACTGCAACTCTTTCATTTGGCATTTTGTTGTTACATCTGTATCATAAAAATATAAGTGCCATACTTACAATGACTCATTGAAGTAATAGAATCAATTATAGAAATTGTACATCTTAGTATCCAAGAATGTATATACATAGCACTAACATCTTCACAGATGCAAGAACAATTGCTAACATTTGATTAGATATTGGGGATGCTGAGTAAATTACATGATGACCATTTGGAATTTTAAATTTTTCAATACAGCTTGTCACCAAAATTCGAGCAAAATGCCTAATCGTTCAATTTCAAATTTTTACAGATGCGAGAGTAGACTAGTGCCAACATCTGCTTGGATTTTAGGCATGCTTGGTAAATTACATTGAAGTCATTTTGTATGTATCTTGAAATCAAAATCTCCAGGAAATTGATTATCTCTTCAATTAAAGTTTTTTAGAGCTGCAAGAAAAATGAGTGCCACAATAGATCAGATCATTTGTGCATGCTGGGTAAATAACTTGTGGGTGGGGATTTTAAATCTTAGGATGAATATTGTCACCAAAATATATATCTCTTGTTCATTGAACTTCATTCAACATATGATTAGGTTTTGGATATATTGGTAAATTACATGGTGGCCATTTTGAGTTTTTCAAGAAATCTTTTCATCAGCACTCAACTGCCCAACAGATTCAATTTAAACGTGTAGGTTTAAGATGGTGTCCAAATCTAGACTGAATGCAGCACATTTGTTGATATTTGCGATATAAACTTTATTTTCTTTCAATAACAACACAGCAGGTTATCATCACCATAGTTACTCTTAAATGCTGTATAAGTTTTTTTTAAAACAGCTTGTTAGATGGAATTTTTGATAAAAAATTAGTTTTTGATTTTTTTGGGAGTATATAAAACACAACAACATCCATGAATAGTGTTTTCCAGTTTGTTAATACAATGTATGTATTTGATGAAATAAAAAAAAACTGGTGATGACTACATCAATTTCATTTAATGTACCATAAAGCCATGTCTCTCCTCTTTGCAATGATATGTCATTCATTCACATGTGGTAATGGTTGGGTGAGAAATCCTTCCATTTGCACAGTGGGTCAAAATCGGCTCTGCACCAAGTTTTAGATATTGAAAAAATCAGTGCAAGGGCTAAGTGCCAATGGAAGTTCCCCTGACTTGACTTGTTGTGACTTTTTCTTTTGGAGCTATCTCAGGAGCATCTGTGCTCACAATTCCTCCACCAGATATTGCAAAACCTCGAGAAAAATTTGCTCATGGGCTGCTTTTCTTTGCTTTAACCCACACATGATTCAGGGCTGAACCATGCATGGGGTGGACAGATGAGCGCATCTTAATGTGCAAGGAAGTGGTGGCAATTTGGAGGGGTATAGGACGTATTCTTGCAAGAGTATGAGTATGAACACTTTACTGTCTATGCCATACCTGTCACACCTTCTTCCAATAGCCCCTATGCCCCTTGTACTGACTTTTGCAATGTTTTAAACTTGGGTCCGAGCTGAATTTTGCCCCACTTTGCAAAATTAATGATTATTCGCCCAGAGATGACTCCCTGTGAATGAATGATGTTCCATTGCAAAGAGGACTAATTTGGCTTTTTGGTACATTGAATTAAAAGGATGCAGTCAGCATTGGTTTTATGTTTTCGTTCAATATTGCATCGGGCTCTGTACACTGACTTTTGCAATGTTTATAACTTGGCCCGAAGCTAATTTTGGCCCACTTTGCAAATGAAATGATTACTCGCCCAACCATGACCAAATATCAATGAATGATATATCATTGTAAAGAGGAGACACGTGGCTTTATGGTGCATTGAATGAAATCAATGCTGTTATCACTGGTTTTGTGCTTTTCTAAGATAACAATCTGTTGCGTTTTTTTGATACGCACTGTATTGTAACTTATGTTATGTAGTTCTTACAGGGCAATCCATGATGCTTTGGTTGAAGCCGTGATGAATTATTTACTAATTAAATATAAAAAATTTCCCAGTTTCTATTGTTTATTTATTTATCTCAAATGAGAAATATCCAACAAATAAGAGTACAGAACTGTTTTCTATTTGATGTGTCATTTCATGTCTCTAGTAAACACCTCTGTCTGGTGAACACCTCTCTCTAGTGGACACCCTTCCTCTGCACATACTCTATTGACTTCTGTATAAATTACCCTCTCTGTAGGCCTAGTGAAAGTGAACACCTACCAACACTGAGTCTTTTTAAAAGACTGTTCAAATATACACAGGTTCTATAGTAATTCATTTCATGTTAATCTATACTCAAACTACTTAATAAAACATGACAGTTAAACCTTTAACATTCACACACTTTCAATGAATGAAGTTCCATTGGGATAGAGTAAGGCCATGGTATATGGTATGGACTGGTAATAAGATAAGGTATGGACTGGTAATAAGATAAGGTATGGACTGGTAATAAGATAAGGTATGGACTGGTAATAGGATAAGGTATGGACTGGTAATAAGTTAAGGTATGGACTGATAATAAGATAAGGTATGGACTGGTAATAGGATAAGGTATGGACTGGTAATAAGTTAAGGTATGGACTGGTAATAAGATAAGGTATGGACTGGTAATAGGATAAGGTATGGACTGATAATAAGATAAGGTATGGACTGGTAATAAGATAAGGTATGGACTGGTAATAAGATAAGGTATGGACTGGTAATAGGATAAGGTATGGATTGGTAATAAGATAAGGTATGGACTGGTAATAAGATAAGGTAAGATAAGGTATGGACTGATAATAAGATAAGGTATGGACTGGTAATAAGATAAGGTATGGATGGGTAATAAGATAAGGTATGGACTGGTAATAAGATAAGGTTTGTAAAGGAAAACTGGAACCTACCAGATTGATTTGTCTTTATCAGTCTCCCCTGTTTTTAGGGGATGAAGAAGTTCCCAAATGTATAATGCATAAACACCTCGGATTAGTCATGGACAGTAAACTAAATTTCAATGCACACATCGACCAATTAATTGTAAAGATTAACAACTTAATCAGACCATTGAAAGCTCTATGCAAAAAATTATCAGCCAAGCATCTTGAGACAATTTATAATGCTTACTTTATACCTCACTATGACTATTGTGATATAATTTACAACAAAGCTTCCTTAACCAAACTCCAAGCTCTAGATAAGTTACACTACAGAGCAGCCTGTTTGATATCTGGTGCAATACATGGATCAAGTACTGACAAGGTATTTGCATCCCTAAATTGGAAATCTCTTGCATCTAGAAGAGAAGAACATTTGAAAATATTTATTTTTAAAGCACGGTTTAATTGTTTTCCACCTTTCATATGTGATTTAGTTCGCTCCTATGAAATCACTCATACTAGAAACTTAAGATCCCAGCCAGACTATCGGATTCCAAACCAGATTAGTGTGTCTAGTGAGAAGTCCACATTATTTAAATCCATGACCCTATGGAATAAACTTCCAAATACATCCAGAGTTGGTCAACCTATTTCAAGATTTAAAAAATCAGTAAGAGAGTGCATGAGCCTGGTCTCTGTATCAACTTCGAAAATGAATATTTTTATGCCAAGACATATTGAGATAGTTTTTAATAGGCTTAGAGCTGGCCTCCTCTTGAATAGCCATCTATATTCTCACAACTTTGTCTCAGTAACTGATCCTAAATGTCCATGTGGTTCTAGGTTTCAAACTACAGAGCATTTTCTGGTTAAATGTCCACTGCTTGTGAATGAAAGAGATGTTTTACTTGCAGGGCTAACAGACTTAAATCTTTTAAGTGAATTTGAAAACTTTTCAAACCAAAATAAAACTGATTTTCTCTTGTATGGTGACAATTCTCTAAGTGTTGAAGTCAATGAAAAATTAATTGAGATTTCAGCTCACTTCACTAGTCAAGCTTTTAAAGCTCTTGATCAAGATCTTTTTAATAACTAGGGTAAAGAATTGAGGTAGAGGGTGGGGCAAGCAGAGTAAACACAGTAGTACATTCCATATTATTGCAAATGTTCAGTGTATTTTCCTAATCAATCAATATTTTTTGTCAAAATAGTTACAATTGCCGCTAATGTTATCTAATAACCTTGGCAATTTTTCTTATGTACACATTTGATGATTGATCGAAATAAACTGGAATATTAAAAAAAAAAAAAAAACTGGTAATAAGTTAAGGTATGGACTGCTAATAAGATAAGGTATGGACTGATAATAAGATAAGGTATGGACTGGTAATAAGATAAGGTATGGACTGGTAATAAGATAAGGTATGGACTGGTAATAAGTTAAGGTATGGACTGGTAATAAGATAAGGTATGGACTGGTAATAGGATAAGGTATGGACTAGTAATAGGATAAGGTATGGACTGGTAATAGGATAAGGTATGGATGGGTAATAAGATAAGGTATGGACTGATAATAAGATAAGGTATGGATGGGTAATAAGATAAGGTATGGACTGATAATAAGATAAGGTATGGACTGGTAATAAGATAAGGTATAGACTGGTAATAAGATAAGGTATGGACTGGTAATAAGATAAGGTATGGATTGGTAATAAGATAAGGTATGGACTGGTAATAAGATAAGGTAAGATAAGATATGGACTGGTAATAAGATAAGGTATGGACTGGTAATAAGATAAGATATGGACTGGTAATAAGATAAGGTATGGACTGGTAATAGGATAAGGTATGGACTGATAATAAGATAAGGTATGGACTAGTAATAGGATAAGGTATGGACTGGTAATAGGATAAGGTATGGATGGGTAATAAGATAAGGTATGGACTGATAATAAGATAAGGTATGGACTGGTAATAAGATAAGGTATGGACTGGTAATAAGATAAGATATGGACTGGTAATAAGATAAGGTATGGACTGGTAATAAGATAAGGTTTGTAAAGGAAAACTGGAACCTACCAGATTGATCTGTCTTTAGCAGAAAGGCTGATATATATTTTTCTAAATGGTTCGAAAATTTTGTATGAATCTCAGTATTCCATTTAAAAATAACCTACAGTTCAAAATAATTCACTCTAATTCATTAATTTTGTTTAGTCATCAATGTTTATTTATCATATTTGCAAGAAAAGAACAATTTAAGTACAAATCATTTGAAGTACATGTACATAATATTACCATTATATACAGAAAGGCTTATTATACAAATGTAAACAATGTACATGTTTATTGTTGAAAAGTTGTACTGTGTTCAGAAATTCAATAATTCATGTCTTATTGTACATCCTTCTGTTTTTGAAATTAAACAATTTTTGTAAAAAGACAATCATTTAGATATATTAGAAATTCGAACATGACTGTATTCACTCCTTTAAACTGTTAACAAAGTCAACATTTCACCCAAGGTTTATTTGCGAACAATACCCCTGGTAATACGTGTAATGTGTGATGTCATAACGACAGGCTGTAGTAATGGCGGACCATTATGAATATTCGAAACATTTTAGTGAGTTTTCATGTTCGAATCGTAGTATAGACCTCAGAGCAGGTGTAATATCGTCGAATACACCCTTTAGGGCTAGGCACAAAAGCTTTCGAACTTCTCACTCCCTTTGGTCGTTCAGGGTACAGAAAAGGTTTGTGCCTACCCTTGTGGGGTGTATTCGACAATATTACATGTACCTCTGCTCTTCGGTCTATATTTCTAATTAAAAATATTGTAACTTAAACTATAAAAACTATATGATATGATTCTCAATTTCTGAACACAGTCCAATAACTAGAGAAATGATTCATATCATGTAATTCTATACTCAAATTACTGAATAAAACATTACAGTTAAACTCAAATATCCACACATTTTCAGTTTGCAACATCATAAAACATTACAAACAGTATCCACAGCTTATACTCTCTGAAGAATAGTCCCTCTGCATAGCTAAAATGGAGTCTCATGAATCATAATGTCATGAAAAGTTGACTCAGAATGATTGAGAATGTTGCATCTCAAAGCATTTGATCCAGATGCAGTTATACTCAGGCCATTCAATGTTAATTATGTTGAACATCCTGTTGAGGGGCCAAATCATAGAAGGATGGTGATGTTAAACACAATTTAAACTTTGAATTTTTTTAGGTTTAATGTAATCCACATTTCTTGGGAGCTTATAAACAGGCTTGATCTTCCAACAGAAATAACTGTTTTGAACTAACAAATATCACTTTACAAATTTCTCAATTCAGTTTTGCCAAAGATAAGATTTTCATATAGTAAAATGACTTAAATTTAGTGTAAGTAATAACTTACAACATTTACTATTAAAATTTGGGTTTTATTACTTAAAGCCATTCTGATACTCATAGCATCTTTCTGTTTCACCTGAAACATCTCAAGGCTGAACAGAAATGAGATGTCATGGTTTATCATGTTGACTTAAAGCACATACATACAGTATATCATTGCACATGTCTTTGAACCTAATACTGGATGCTATGTAAAGCCGAGTGCCATATGCATGTGCTCTTATATCATTCTTCATTGCATTCATGTGTCTCACCAAATCTTTATTGATTTAGAATTTCAAAGCATGACTAATTTCATGCGTAATTATGATTATACTTGACAATGTGTCATAGAGCAGTAGTTTCTGATGTTATAGCGTGTCATTGTTTGTAAATTGTGTCATTGTCATCAGATTTATGATGTCATGGTTTATTCACATTAATATCACAGTTTGATGTCATGTTCAGTATGATATCATAACTTGTTGAATTTTGTGTTCTTGCTTCTTGCCTATGTTTATGGTGTCATAGTTTGTTGTGTCATAGTTTGTTGTGTCATAGTTTGTTGACTGGGGTGGCATAGTTTGTTTTGTCATAGTTTGTTGACTGAGGTGTCATAGTTTTTTGATTTTGACCGCGGTGCCGATTGTAGATTGTGGTGTCATAGTTTGTTTATTGCAAACTCTGGAGTACATGATGATGCACTGCTACTAAGACTAACACTGGCCAGTGATGCAGCAGTGCCATCTTTTAAACGTGTTGATCCCACTACTGCTTTATAATCATCTATGAGATGAGATATTTGAGAACCCTGAAAATGTAATAATTCCTATCTTAATATTTAACACAATCATTTGAATAGACATCATCATGAATATGACATGGATATCAAACAAAAGGAATATCACTTTAAATATTAACCATAGACATGTAACCCAACACTGCCGCGAAACCAATTACTGTCATTTTGATCTATATGTGGTATGTATCAATACATGTTATCAAAAACTCATGACAACTCCAAACATAGGCTGGATGCAAAGCATTACATCAATTAATCTAGCCGAATTATAATAGGCAGGGGATAGAATGAGTATACAAGTAGAAGGCTGAGGCTGGCATGTATTAGTTTTACCTGAGATGTCATGAACTCATGTTTTGATTCTTTCTTTGTAGTTTTCACTGTAATACACAGCCCTTGTAAGGAGGCCCTGTGGCTGCTTATAATGCTGTATGGAATGGATTTGTACACTTTCTGGATAACACAAGTCATATTTTTTACAATAATTGGAGAGATAATGTTAAAGCCAGAGAGAATTCTACCTGAAGATGGTAACTCGATCAAAATCAAGAGATAGGATATTTTTTCAAATTCTTGACACAAATCCACAAGTGAACAGATAGAAAATCTGCTGGCTAAATGTACATATATGGTACTATTAAAGATATACTCTTGTATACTAAATAACAAAATAAGACTAAGAGGAAATATAACATTATTTCAGATATTATAATAAAGTGATGGACTTACTGCTCCTTTGATTTCCATTAAATGGAGGCCAGTCTGGTTAACTGCCAGCCAGACATTGTTAGGCACCTTGGAGTAATCTGTCTGCTATATAAACATAGAAACAAACTGGAGGTGCTGCAATATATTTTGGCAACAGTGTAGTTTCATAAAAACATAACTGCTAGTCTCTATCCATAACTATCAATGAAGTCATGAAATCACCATATTTTTTATAAATTGAATTCATTCAGGCATTACACATTCTATTAAAGATTTCTGAATCATATTTTATGTAATGTCACTTGCGAGCTCTTGTTATGGAATGACTTGTTTGTTTTAAGGCCCTATAAGTCTAACAGTTACACAGGGCCTTTAAACCTGTTAAAAAACTCCTACCTTTATCTCAAACACTGCTGCCCCTCTTAATGGCCAGGATTTACTTAACAGGTCAATAAATGACAAAACAGCCTTGCGAGGTTCGGTGCCCTCTAATGACTGATGTATAGCCTCAATTTCAGATGTATCTATGGTTTCTCGGAGACTCCTAGGTAGAATCCGCATCACAGAATAATAATCACATGTATCGCTAAGAGAAATGTCTCCATGCTCTGCCTGAGCACGTAATGCACTGAGTTGAACTGCATCAGACTTTGATAATGGTATCTTCTGCTCAAATATATCTGAGACCAGTTGGTGGTGCACTAAATCACATTCCTTTGGGTCTTGGGTGTTTATAATTGGGTCCACAAACAGTCGCTTCTGCAAGAATTTCAACAAAATGCAACATGAGGAGATACAAATCATATGGTGCAAAACCCAAAGTAGAGTCAACCTTTGGAAAAAAATGTTTTTTCAGAAACCTTTAGCTATGTATGTCCATCAAACTATACAAGTATCTTTAAGAAAATCAATAGTTAATATGTTCTGATAAAAATGGATCTGACAACAATTGCTTACAATGTATATCTTCCATCTTTAACGAAAAATAAAAATATTGAAAAAGTGTTCCATTATGAAGTGATGATCTAGCTCAACTGACTGATATATAATAGCCACAATTTGTTTTCAAATGAATGATTATACCACAATAAAGACACTGAACCAATGGCACATATTGCTCCTTTTGACGATCTATCTTCTTACCTTTAATGTAAATCTCAGTTTCCCTGCTTTCCCATTGTCAGTCCATCGTTCATACTGATACATGGCATCTGCCAGCTTATCATCTGGTCTCATATTACGTTCCACATCAGCACAGACCTCATACACTGAGAAACCATGTGAATCACCTTTCACACCCATCTTTGCTTTCACCTGTTTCAGGATCTACAAATACATGTATAGGGATTTTATCATTATAATATTGGCCAATAAAGAAAATTATGCCACCTAGCCTATATATTGGATTCCAGTGCTGGAAATTTGTTTACAAACTACTGCCTGCAAAGTGTAACATCATAAATCCAATACAAATCTAAATACATCTAGATGCATTATACCAAAACACATTTTGCTACATAAAACTTGAATATGAATATCCTTCCCTTGGTACATGTATTTTGATATTTACCCCAATACCAAATAAAGGAGTTTTTATTAACTTTTCTGATTTTTATTGCAGTTTAAAATGTGATGGTATGAAAGCCACCAATGCAGATTTAACGGTCATACTTATACAACACATGACATCCTATTTTATGCATTGAGAAGTGTTAAAAAAGGTTCAACATAATACTCTTTTGACAATGAACAAAAACCAAATGATGAATTTCTTTAAAAATGTTTTTGTAATTTGGATACTATCTCTACATGCAAATACTGTTGTAGTGCTGATATCCTTTAATCATGCACAAGTTTATTGATTTACTTTAGACTAAACTCATTTAACCCCATTATAAATAAATACAAGAGTTATCCAACTTTTCTTAGTAAATTCTGTGTAGTAGTAAAAACTTGCATATCAGGAATTTAATAATAAGTCATTTTGAAACATTAAAAAAGTTATCTCAACCAAGTTAACCGAGCGTCTCTTAAAAGTTGAAAAGATTTTAAATAATAAAATAATGATAATGTTCGGTTAAATATATTCCTGCTATGATCATAGGTCCTTATTGTAAAAGCCCTGAAAAAACTTACTTCTCCAGAAGTAGTTGCAGAATCAAACTCCATAATTCGTTTCTGGCCATCAATGAAATGTATGGTTTCTTCAATCGGCTTCCGTGCAGTGACAAAGACTATCTCGTGACTACTTGGTGGGTGACGACGGTTGCCCTTGGCAACAATACGGTGAAGACACTGCAAACACATAGCATTAAAGGAGTTTACACATGCAATTAAAATGTTTAGGTTTTTAGAAAGTATTAAGCAATACTTCTGAAATGAACACGCTCGGTCATTTTTAATATTAAATCTTCAATATCTTTTATATGCATTCAGATATCTCAGATCTTTTTTCAGATATTGAATTTGGGATGATAAGGAAAACATAGTCAGGTTTATTGAAATACTTCTTCCAACATTTTACACTCTGGACTCTGCTGTCGACCTTCAGCTCAATCAAACCTGTATTAGAAAATTATAACTAGAAAACGGCAACTCCACGGAGTAGCAAATCCCAACGAACACTATATATAAATCATCAATCTGTACAGTCACAATGTAATATTGACCTTCTACTCTTACCTTCAATAAATATTTTAAATAATTGTAGTATCATGTAACCAGATTTTAAAGATAACTCTAAGTAATGGCGAATTTCTGCTCTAGTCAGCCATTTTGAATTTTCAGAGGCGCAAATCAGAAAAAAACAATGCCACAATTGTGATCTACTCTGACATTCCTTCAATTTGAGTATAATATAGCCATACTTTTAAGAGATCATAAAATAATTGCGAAATCCTGCATTAGGCGGCCATTTTGAATTTTTTGAGGCCCGAATCAGAAAAATGCTACAATATTTGCAATCTACTCTAAATTGCCTTTCATTTGAGTATAATAAAGCTATACTTCAAAAACATCTCAAAATTAATGCAAATTCCTGTTTTCCCAACCCGCCATTTACGGCCCCTGGGGGTCAGGGTGAAAAACCCGGGATATATGTGAAATAGATAGATGTTGTAGTATCAAATAATAATATTTATTATTTTGGTTTAAAATGAAAAACATAAGATTTTTGCGAAAAATTCCCGCCATTTTTAGACTGGCGGCCATCTTGAAAAAAGATTTTTTGCGTAAATTCATTCACCAATATACATCTTTCCACCAAATATGAAGAAAATCTGTCGACTAGTATTCGAGTTATCTTCCGGACAGATGGACGGACTGACTGACTGACTGACGGACTGACTGACTGACTGACGGACGGAGGGCTTCACTATATCCCTACAGAACTTCGTTTGTTGGGATAATTATACACATATTAGGGCCATTCAAACAGTTTTGTTCAGGAGAAGATATTTTACAATTTTCACATCTTGTTTCATCCTTTCTTTAAGCATATATAAAATTACAGGACCATAAGCAACCTTGCTGAGACCAGTGGCATAGTCAGGAAAAAAAAGCAGTGAGGCAACAAATGAATGTAAATTATTTGTCAGAAATATGAACATAAAGAAAGGTAAAACACCGTTAAAGTATTCAAAAGCTTTAAAATGATATATGACACATACTATGGGAACATTGGTGTATGTCTGCCTAGGGGGGGGGGGGGGGGGGGGCATACTTTCGGGACACCCTGTACAGTTATATACTAAGTATAAAAGCCATTAATGGAAATTATCAATTTGCAAACAACATAAAGCCAAAGTAACTGATTTCACATTATAAACAGAACCTTGTGCATATTATGTGCATAAAGATAAAACATTTTGTAGTTCCTTTAAACTTAACAAATTGAACAATAAAAATTTGATGAAATTTCAAGACTTTTTGGACAATCCTTGTATTTCTAACATAAAAGTGGCAAAATAAATGAAGGTCAAAGAAGTACATGTACATGTAAGAATCCAAAGATTCAAAAACATTTTAACTATTTTAGTTAGCGTTAACTCTCTCACCAACAAAGAAACTCATTCAAGCAAATAGACAAAATGACATAAATCTTGCTACAGCAACAAGGAAGGTAACTGTTTTATGTATGATACAACTTTTGAATGCTATTGAGGTTAGCCTGCTTATATGATAAAAGCTAAAGCACAACAACAACGCACTAGGTAAATATCACTACATATATTTAGAGGGTCAAAACAGCATTTTAAAAAATTGCTACTTCATTATCGTACATGACTCTAACAGATTGTAACATTGCAACATGGAGTAGGTCTATCATTTAGAATTATAGGCCATTTTCATTTTCTTTCTAATGAAATGCCATGTACCCTGACAGGGGCTTCCCAAGAGTTGGGTGACATTTGTCACTTTTAAATTTTACTTGTCATATTATATTCATTCATTTTGGTCAATCAAAGCATTTAATGCAATAAATGGTCTGTTAATATGTTCACATGTCATTCATTTTGATTATAGTTTACCTTTACTTGCATTCATAGACATTCGCATTTGCCTTGGAGCCTCCTGATAACATTATGTAATAATTTATTTTATTTATATTCCTGGTGTGTTATAGTAACACTGCAGTGTAGCTTTCAAATCAAATAATATACTGTACTGTATCATCATGATAAACAATGACATCTCAAATCTTCTCAGCCCTGACATGTTTCAGGTGAAACAGAAAGATGCTATGAGTATAAGGATGAATGTATATGGACGCTTATTCATATCAAAACCTATATGTTACTTACATAATAATTCTATTTTTGTATAACAAATAAAGGTAAAATAGATGGTCAATTTTTTTTATTAGCAAGATCATCAAAGTTAAAGACAAAAAATACAAAATAAAAATTGCCAATTTTAATTTCAAACTAATTAACAATATACTTCCTGGTTTTACTGACTTATTTATCTATGGTATAACAAATTATTATCATTGTAGTACAGTAGAACCTGTATATCTGAACACCTGGCTAATCCGAACACCTTCCAATTTGAACACCTTTTTTCGGTCCCATTTTTTCCTCACATTGACTCCCATGTTAAAAAAACCTTGAAATCTGAACACCTCCTAATTTGAACAGTAAACAACCAGATTTGAAAAAGTGACCTGTCTAATCTGAACATTTTTATCAGAAATCAAATGTCTGGACATTTCAATTAAAGCCAGATATTGAGTCAATGTTATAGTTGTTATTTATCTTTACAAATGTAATCAAAGAACCAATTGTCCTAATTAACTTATTTAGTCTCAGTGACATCCCTAATTTGTGGAAAACAACAGGAGGTTTTGGAAAGGTGTGAATACAGGAGTTAATTGGTTTATCCTATTAGAAAAGAACTGAATGTTTTATTTTTGGATTAAGAGAAAGGTGTGAATCAAGAAGATAAATTATTTATCATTATTGGAAATTACCTGGATGTTTTTGATTTGGATTAAGAGAAAGGTGAGAGTCTGGGAGATAATTGGTTTGGATTATGAACAGGTCTTAAAGGGTGACGCATATCGTTTAGCAAATCGAACGCTCGTTTCTGGTGTTGCTCACCGTTTAGTATAAAAGGCCCAATCCCGGAAAAATACTCAAGGGTTCACAGGTTCGATGTCGTTGTGTCAACACCTCTAACTGTTATATAGCATAAGTATATTATAGATCGTCACACATTTATAAAAGGGTGATTTTTATTTTGACAAATAAATTCCAAATTTATGGGTGAAGTTTCAGGATCTTCTATTTGTGTATAATAAGGAAAAATTGGCATCTAAATTTCCCCATAACGTAATAGCACACAGCTTGGCATATGAAATATCCTACAAATGAAACAAAGCAGTTCTAATACAAGGATTTATATTGGCTATTGTAAATGTACTGTTTGAACGCAATCAATCCATGTATAACGTTTTCAAAATCATTATAAACGGATTACTTTATCTCAAAGACAATTTCAATAAACTGGATTTTACAGAACTCCCCTTATTTCTTAAAAATGGACTGATCCAGTTGATTCGCCTGGAGCCGCCATATTGTTTTTATACGGGATGCTTATCGGAACCCTTTAACTGTTTTATATCCCATGGGTCTGTTATGATAGCTAAGATTCAATCAGTAAATGTTTCATAATCACAAAGACAACACAGACGCCATTTGCAGACACGATTATATCACGAGAAGGAGAAAAAATTCAACTTTGTAATATTTGCATACATCTGACATCCTGAATGCCCTTGATATTTTGAAGGATTATACATCATCTCGAATGAACACTCATGAAAAATTATTTTTACTTGAGGATATCTACTCAAATATTGCTAATGCTAAAAGTGCCAAGAAACAAACAACAATGAAGGACTTTTTCAAGCAAAAGTAAAGCAGTGCTATATAACCATAATATGGGATAAGCCATTTGATAAGCATGAGATTTCGTACGAGACTATCATATACTTTTACAGTGTATTACAAAGTTTTTGCCAAAATATAAGAGTTATTTTTACTAAAATGATGAAATTGTTCAAAATATAAATAAAACATAGCATATAGGCTATAGGCCTATTGTAGAATTAACTCATTAACAACATGTATTGTTTTCTGACTTAGTATTTAGTGTTCAATATAGTGCACTGAATAATGAAAATCCCCCCCCTGACCAACAAAATCCTTGAAATTTGAACACCTGCCAATTTGAACGCTTTTGGCTGGTCCCATGGGTGTTCGGATTAGACAGGTTTTACTGTATTTGCAATCACTTATGTGATTTGAAACATATTCTATTTGAATGTTGTTTGTCAAAGGATATATGGAAATTTATATACAACATATGTTGTCTCAATATTTCCTATAGAAAAATAATAATTGTTTATAATGGCCAAGACTCTCAAACTAATTTTTTCAATTATTTTACAAGTATAGTTGCCTACAGCATTTACAAATCTTACATTTTAGAACTAAACAGTAAAAAATAGTACCGTGGGTGCTGGGCTCACATAGTGTTGCTCAAAAGTGAATGATGGCTAAAATGGCAGAAAATAAGAAAAATGGATGTAATTTTTGCAGCTTTTTTTTAACAAAATTATTTCATACAACTACTCTTTACAGTGACATTGCTTTTTACAATGCAGGACACCTGAAATTATTTGTAAAGCTAGGAAATGGGCCACAAGTGAATTTCGCAAGACAAAAATGGCGACCATTTTGCAAATAGGCGAGATTATGACTATTTTCTGACCATGAAGATTAGTTAATTTATCTTGTAGATCCATTCAGTTTCTCAAAAAGTATATATATGTTTTGGTGATATTCAACATACTTTTTCAGTCATTGACCTCGTTTTCACCAAAAAGGAATTGTTCAATGTTTTAATCTAATGCATCAGATCAATTACACAAAGTTCTTGAAATAAAAACTGAATTTCTCTAAAATTATAGTGTTCCGCGTTATTTCCCCATAGATAAAGTTCCTGGAGTAATCTACTTTTCCTTTTAGATCAAACGGGCCACAAGTGAATTTCACAAGACAAAAATGGCGACCATTTTGCATACATTTACATACATTTAGGGCCCACCCTCTAGAGACAACCTCTGGCGTGTTTGAAAGATACCAACTGTCCTTTCATGACAGTTTAGTAAATGAAACATCTTTAAAATTGGGGTGAGTGCACAGACACTATGAGCTGGACAATGATCTCATAACATGCAACTAACAAATAACACTTTATTATTTATATACAGAGATGGAGAGCCAGAATCCACAACAAACTATCTCATACAATACACCAGTGAGACAGAAAATAAAGGAATTTAAAGGATATGGCGCAATTTTCTTAGGCTCATTCCTGCTAAAATTAGGTCTTGGAGCCATAATAATTGGTGGGATGACATACCATTATACATACAAGTCATACGAGTATCCTGAAAAGATGTACCTGAACGTTAATTCTAGATTTTTTGTTGGAGTTTGGACTGGAGTTGTAAGTTATATTACTATAAGGTTTGAATATTTGATAGAAATGGGAAATGGTGTTTCAAAAATCTATAAACCAAATGTTATATTTCCCCATGCATTTTGTAAACAAGACACAGAGTGAACAGTATCGCACCCTTGTCCATTTGACAAGTTTTCGAGACAAAAAAAAACATCCCTGAACATTTCACATGAATCCCTCGAATGATTTGGGTGGAAACCCTGATCACAATATACATGTAGCACCTAAGGGTGCGATAAAAATGGATCCAATTTAGATGTACAGTACATGTATTATCTTGCTTTAAATTCAACATTTTATTTTCATAACTTTTTACAGGGTGAGCCAAAAAAGGTAACCCAAACAAATGTATGTTGATAACTGAGTCATTCAGCTTGGTTTGTGATCAAAGGCACAATTGAATCTTGTTCAATGTTCTTTCCTTCTGTTGAGTTTCTTTGATTCAACTCCAATGGTCACACTTTAATGGCTATTTACAAAACATGATCCAAATGCCAAAATGTGCCACACTCACTGGACATAAATCCCACCAGATTTTATCTGTGGGTCTAATTTCTACACAAACAGCCCTTGAAACATTGAAACAGGAGATAAGAAGAAATAATGAGAGCCACAACACAGGATGTCTGTTTTTGTGTAGAACAACTATGTCCAGTCGCCAGACATGATGTCAGTATTTTATGCTATGTTTTGTAAAATGGTCCCAAAATCTCAACCATTGGACATATAATAGACCAGACAAACTAGGGAGATTGAAGAACATTGAACCAGTTCAATGGTCCAAGATACCAGTCCATTTATGTGAGCCTACTTCAGATTTGACCTTTTATTGACCTTTAATGACCTATTTAGAGATGTTCTTTGCAAATTTAAATTTATTTTCAATTTTATATTTCCTTTTCAGTTTTTTGTACTGACTGGTATTATTGGGATTGTGGCAGGAATATCTAAAAGTCAATGTATGGTATGTACATGTACTGTCAGAAGTTTCACTTATGTTCTCTCTAATATGCCAACTGAACATCTATTTTTCATGGGTCTTTATTTGAAAGCCCTTGAAAAGAAACATGTAATAGTATCGGGAATGTAGACCGTTATATGATTCTGTCATTTGAATGTTTAGTTATATACTGTACCTATGAACTGAAACTGCATTTCAAGTTTTCTCTTATTCTCCGTATGTTAGCCAATTTTGTTACACACATTTTATTCACTTATTCGGTTTGTGTGCTGCCATCAAAAATAGATGTCCCTTTGCACTCAAGGAAAATGCAGCAACATGATTTGCATTATAATCTTACCTTTTTTTAATCATGAATGGCAGTTAAAGCACCGAGTAGATGATAGTTACATTTATTTGTAGGTTATTAATTAATTATTTAAGAATATGTATAATTATTAATGAATACATATCAGTTTCTTGAATGTTTTGCCAACTTGGTGTTTATATACTTATTCAGGCATACCCAGATTTTCAAAAAATCCAGTAAATCAGAAAACCCCCCAATTTTTTTACCTACATTTTTCATTAAAGTCCCCATGTATAGTTGGAAAATATTATTTTATCATTCATTTACTATTTATCATGACTTTATTATTAGTTTTTTAGTTATTTTAGAGATTTTTGAAAAAATATCATTTTTGAAAAAAAGCTGTGAGCATTTCATTTCTCAAATATTCAAATTTCCCGCCATTTTTCAAAAAAAGTTGACATTTTTTAATCATCAAATATTTGTTCATACATTTCAACGATTTTTTTTTAACATATTATTTATTTCCTTCATAATAAAAAATACACAAAATATCTACTACCAATAGCCATAGGCATTCTAGGTAGTTTAAATTACAATAGAGGATTAATTACAGTAATCATAGATGGTTTATTGGTAATGTGAGAGGTTGGGAGGGAGGGGGGGGGGCGGGTTGTCACAAGATACAAATGAGAATAACATTAATTTGATGGAAACTTATAACAGGCCTGTACAAATTGCATCACTGTATCTAACAGGATTTTCTGAGAATCAATAGTGAGTTCATTTTCATAAATTAAGTATTTGACCTGTTCTGTCTTACTAGAAATAAGTTGAGTATCAAACAATAAATTCTATTCACGAAGTGCAGTCATCATTTTATTACGTTCATGGGTATGGCGAGGGCAGGATAGAATGAAATGCTTTGTGTCTTCAGTAGAGCCACAGAGGCATTTGTTGTCAATTATTCCAGTAAAATTATGAGTAAAGAAATGGTCTTTAAGGGCAAAATCAACTCGAAGCCTATTTAGCAGTTTTTCGTTGGTTCTACTTAAATTTAGTTTTGTAGTTGGTATGAAGTTTGAGATAGGGATAAATATCTGTTTAATAGAGCTTTTGAATCTAGAAATGGTTTGAATTTCACGAAAAGTCTGGCTTAGCTGGTTCCAATCATTTATAAGTTTTAAAACTGGTGCTTTTGAGAGTCTCATTGAAATATTTCTTGGGCAGGAAAATGGTAAAGAGTGTCTTAAAATTCTAGTTGCTTGGTTGCGATGTTGGTCAAAAAGACTATGGACATAATAAGGCACTTCCTTTCTTACAATTTTGAACATCAGTCTTAGATTTTTTTCGTGTCTTTTGTCAGTAAGCGATTTCCACTGTAAACATTTTAAAGTTTTTGAGGTGTTAGAGCCATGCAGTACCCCAGCACATATAACAGCAGCTTAGTAGTGGATTTTATCAAGCTTTGACAAGGCCGCCAAGGATGACGATCCGTAAATGGAGCTACAATAGTCAAAATGAGACGCCAAATATGAATTATACATTATTTCAAGATGGTGCGACTGTATTTTGTTTGATATGAGCTTCAAAGGATTTAACAGTTTTTGAACTTTATTAGACAGATAGTTCATATGGTCATTAAAAGTCAAATTCTCATCTAAGATGAAACCCAGGTGCTTGTGTGATTGCTTTTGGGGGATCATTTCACCATCAAAGTAAAGCGGAGACATTTGAATATTTTTTTGTCGGCTTGAGCGAAAAACTAAATGAGCACTTTTAGATGCTTTAAATTTCAATTGCCAGGTTCTAGACCATACACTTAAAAGATTTAGGTCATTTTGGAGTTGGCCAGTTTGATTACCAGAATGGTGAAAGAAAGAGTATAAGGAGGTATCATCTGCATAGATCAAAAAAGATTATATTTTTTAACATCAATGCAAATATTGAACAAAGGACACACTATTTCAATAATAAAATGCCGTATTTAATGGGCCACTTCAATGTTTTAGCATATCAAAAATATTTTGCAACATTAGTGATGTCATTATGATTCACTCAGGTGGCAAAATCTTTTTTCTATGTCAATCTTTTTTAAATATGCTGAACTTCAATAATATACCAATGTTGATTGTATAGCCAGGTTTAAAGGAAGAATATATTATGTTTTAGATATCATTATACCATTGGTTTCTATGAGAACTAAAATTTTGAAATGCATTTTTCTCTGAACCATTTTCATGCACTAATCGCTTATTTATGAACTGATTTTCTTGATTTTTTGGCAAAAAACATGCGAGGATGAATGCTATGCATTGGTATGAATTGTGGCTTCTTAAAAGATATATGTGTGATAACTAAAAGTTAGTTTAAATAATTTCAAGAGTTTTTGAACAAAAAGTCCTTCAAAAAACAATGACAAAGACTTCAATACAAGTCAAAATAGTTTAAACTTTATATGGGGACTTTAAAAATCCCAATTTGTCAAATTATTTTTTGCAAACCCTGATATTTCTCCTGATTTATTTTTGCATTGTCAATTTATTTTTTGTGACCCCCATTTTTATCTGAATGTTTTTAAAAACCCTTATTTTCTCCAGATTTTTTCTAAAAATCCTAATTTTTCAAAAATGAACCCTAGTTTCCACCCTGATTTTTTCCAAACAACCCCAATTTTTTTTGAATAATTGATATAGTTTTTCTCACCCAAATTCTTTTAGAAATCCTGATTTTCTCTCGATTTATTTCACAAATCCCGATTTTCTCCCAATTTTTCTAGAAATTATTTTGAATTTTCCCAAATTTTAGAAAATAATATCCCAATTTTTTACACAATAATGATTATGCTGCATTATGACAACTATGAATATTTATGAAATTTTAAAAGAAATGGATTTTTAATGGAACTCTATATTGTTTGTCTCTGTAAAACAAACATTACTGAAAGAAGTGACCTCTATGCCCTTTATTCAAATATCTTATAATGTTATATGCAAATCAACTAAGTGTTTATGCTATTTACTTTGTTATTACTATTTTCATGAAAATCCAACTTAATTTTCTAAAATGATCTTCCATCACCCTGACTTGCAAAATCCTGGTTCTCAAAATTGTGTTGCAGATTGCAACACTTTTGGTACTGAGTGTTAGTGGAATATTCTTTGCCATTGCCTTGTTGAGTACCTATGCAGTTACATTGCCATTTGTAATGGAAGGTCTAAGAAATGAAGACCAGGAAAACCAACGAGCAGAACTAATAAATTGGGTAAGTTGGATTTCACCAATCTCTCATTTTTAAGGGTGTGCAATATGCTCCCTTTAAATCAATTGGTTAATTATAACAAGAGATATTATGATCTCACAGGGGGTAATCACATGACCTTTTTTTGCTATTGCTCGAGCAGGCAAAAAACAATGAATTCTCATATTTATGCTCAGTTCACAGCGTTGCCTTAAAGACTGGTTGCGGTTGGTGAGCTCAATTCAATTGTTTTTCTCTTCAACTGATTATCAAAAAACATCTAAAAAATGCACATCCTGAATGTTATTGTCATTGAATGACAAGAATTTAATCTAAAAAATATTTACAGGGTGTTTTATAAATGTGTAACTTTCTTAGTGTTGCACCAATACTGATGACATTTGATGAGGTTTAAACCCAAACATATTAACCTTCAATTCATAAATTATTAGCTCTTCCCATTTAATAGGCTAAAGTTAGGGTTGCTATAGTAGCTAAAACAACAAAAAGGTGGGGCAGCTTTGTGATCTGCTTGATTACGCTGGATAACGAAACGAACCGTTTCGGTAACAAAATGTTGGAACCTCAAATGTACAATTTTTTTGTTTCCTTATTCCACCCGTTTTTTTAACAAACATGTGTCAGTACTATATGTCTGAGAAAATGTACATATTTGCGAACAAATAGTTCGGAAGACCACAGAATCATCGATTTAATACCTCACTTAAGTTGCGTGAATGGAACTTCTAAAATGGTTAAGATCTGCATTTCTAACTGATTCCGTTTACGTAACTTAAGTGAGGTATTAAATTGACGATTCTGTTGTCTTCTGAACTATTTGTTCACAAAAATGTAGATTTTCTTAAACATATGAAACTGACACACATTTGTGATAAAAATGTTGTGAGATTCTGCTCACAACACGTGACATAAGGAAAAAAGAAAAATCATACCAGGCTCATAGCCAGGGGGGTTCGCAGGGTTTGGGCGACCCCCCCCTTGCCAAAAATTCTTTCAAAATCATGCAGTTTTTCATCATTTTGAGCACTTCTCAAGTGATTTTAGCCATATTTGGACCAAAATTGTCAAATTTGAACCCCCCCTGGAAATTTTTGAAAACTGAGCCCCCCTTGGCAAATCCTGGCTGCGGGCCTGCGTTATTAGCATTCAATAAATAATACTTCAAATCAAAACAGAGGAATTGAAATAAACATTATTACAGGAACTATGGGCCGGACTTGATGGGGCATTATTTACTATTGGAGTCGTCAGTGGTTTTCTGTGCATTGTATCCTCTATATTGGGCTGTGCAGTTGTTTGTTGTGGCAGGAGGAATGTAAGTAGTGTTTTATATAAATCTGATTAATTACTTGACTTCCATTTGCCATTTTTCTAATTAACAGGGAAGGGGCAGTCAATAAGTTCAAATGATGACTTAAATCTTCTTGATAAAATTAAAAAATATATAATAAAATTACTGTGCCTTTTCTTTTATCTTTTTACACTTTCAATACACATATAAATTCTTGTATATTTAGGAAATAAAGAATCATGTATCATTTTTTATAAATTGAAAAGCATGAGTACTAACCCATGCACATTATAAACAAGGATGGAGTGGTGGAGCCTGCTACAATGTAAGGTTCCGTTAGTACATGCTTTGAAATCCAATAAAGAATGATACAATGATGATACGCTTGAATCCCCAGAACCCCTTGCCCTGGCTACGGACCTGGTTACCTTCCCATAGCAATTCTCCGACAAACTATATATATATGTTGATCCAGTATAACACATATATAACATATTTATCATATAAATTTTACATGTTTTGTAGGCAAACACTGGACACTACCTAGGTAAGAATATGACACTATTTGTCGAACCTCAAAGGGTATCTAAGTGTTTGGCATTTTAAGGCCTTTGGGGGCTGAAGTGACCCTTTGCTACCCTTTATTAGGTGACCTTTAATCAAAGTCAACATTCATGGGTCAAGGTCATCTCAATGCCACAGATCAATATCTAGATATTTGGCCTTTGCTGTCATCCTTGGCGACTCGAGACCTGATGTCTAAGTCAACATTATGGGTCAACTATGGTTAATTATGGTCCATCTCAAGGATTAGTCAAAGTCAAAAACTAGTATTTCAGTGTTTTAAGGCCATCTGGGGCCTGCTCTGACCCTTGGTGATACACTCAAACAGGTAGATTGCTGAAGTTTCTCTAACTTGCAAAGTCATTGATGCAATACATATACATTTCATGCATTAAACACTCCATATATAGTATCAAGAAGATTCCGACATGATTAAAAAAGATGTTCCTGGATTATACTGTTGCTTTTTTGTATAATTCAGACATATATATCAATCAAGGCATTCAAAAATGTTTATATGCTTTTGAATATTATATACAGAGATGGAGAGCCAGAATCCACAACAAACCGTCCCAGACAATGCACCAGTGAGAGAGAAAATTGATGAATTTAAAGGTCGTAGCGCAATTTCCTTCGGCTTATTGTTGATAATATTGGGTATTGGAGCTGCAATAATCGATGGGATGATTTTCAAATTCGACTTTCAACAATATCTTTCTTTATCCACTCCCTTCTGGTTTACTGGAGTTTGTGGTGGAGCTGTAAGTTTTTATTACAATTAGCTGAAAAATAGTGCTATGCACAATAATATTACACCATGCTGATAAAATTAATAATAATATTTCCTAAATTACTCACTGCATGTTCACAAGTTTGAACTGTTACGGTCAATAGCAGAAGATGTAAAAACAACAAATGAAAATCAATTTAAATTTCTAAACTCTAAAAACAAAATAGGCTACATTGTATTTAAATATTATAAAGAAACTAGATAACAGCAACACCAAATCAATGGTAGCTATTTTGTAAATTAGCTTTCAAGCTTCTTCTCCCATAGGGCATATAATACAAAATATGAAAAAATGGGCCAAGGGTATTTGAGTTATTGATTGGACAGACAGACAGATGTACTTATGTGCAGACGGACAGAGAGAGGCGTTCCTATATCCCTCTGAGCTTCGTTGGGTGGGATAATTACAATGATATAAAAGAGGTTAAACTAGACAACAGCGAGGCCAAAGCGTAGCAAATCCCATCGAACAGCCATGGCTGGCATTTTTACAAAGTTAATAGCAAAAATGGCGGCCATTTTTCAAAATGGCCACCTTTTGCCAAAAGTGTCATTAGACAGTGTGCCATGCTTATAGTATTCACATACCAAATATGAACAAAATCGCTCCACTACATTTTTCATTACTGTAAAATCGGCACTAAAATGGCCGCCATTTTTGAATGAGCGGATATTACAAAAATCGGCTTTCGAGCAGAACTTCTACCCCATAGGATATAAGTGTACAAAATATGAACAAAATTGGGCCAACGGTATTTGAGTTATTGCCAGAATGGACGGATGGATGGCAGACATACAGCAACAGACGGAGGTGTTCCCTATATCCCTCCCAACTTCGTTCGATGGGATAATCAAAAAAAAGTTTTGATGAAACGATTCATGCTGACATTGATTGCCAGAATCATTATCCGTACCTAGATGAGAATATGGGCTACGAATACCCAGATTTCAATATCTGAGGGTATCTCTAACAATATTTCTGAATCACTTTTCACATTGAAGTCAACCTCAGGGAAGCATTTATACGTTAAATGTCATGTTCATCATGTTCAATCCTTCAATGATCTATTACAATGAACTCTGTTCTGCCTCTGTCTAGCTATGTTTGTTTAATGTGATTTTCCTTTGTTTTCAATTTTGTTAACAGGTGTTTGTTCTGACTGGTATTATTGGTATTGTGGCAGGAACGTCTAAAACGCAATGTATGGTATGTAAACATATTATTTTGAGACCCTATTAATGTTGAAGTCAAACAATTTTTAGACTACCAATTTCTATCCTACATAGCCTACAGGATTGTGAATTCACTCATTCAGGTGTCTTATGCAATAATGTATAAGAAATACATTTGTTTGACCAGCTAAGTCTAAGTTTCAAAGTCTTTGTTGATAATGTCATGTGAGCTATGTCTAAATAATTAAAATATTGCACTATTTGCTGGGCTCACATGGTGAAAAAATGATTTCTCCAAAACAGGTCATACTTTAATGTTCACATTCCATACAGTCAATAGTTTTACTTGGAAAATTCAAAGAACTTGTATGTATTTAGAAGCATCACATAATCAAACCGCATGTCAAGTTGAAAAATAGGCTCAATCGTAAAAGCAGGTCAAATTACAAAATATTGCATATAAGTACGACCCATATGTCAAGAAAACACAAAACTAGTTCTCAATACATTCTAGCAGTGTTTGCTGAATTATGGCAGGGCTTATATTCAATATCTATATATATTTATATATATGACAATATCTATATCTGTAATACTGTGTGCACTCATTGGACATGAGATGTTTTTATGAAATTCAAAATGAGATTGAACTGCCATACTTCAATCCATCCAATGTCATTGTCCAGTATGGAATCAACTGCAGTATGTGTGCATTGGGTGTTTAAAGCAGTTGAACACCATTATGTGATTACAATTACAAGCACCTACATCAGAGTACAGGGTGTCTGGAAAGTAAAGATACAATTGCTCTAATTTCAATAGATCTACCTGTTGTGAGATGAAATTGCTACAGATTATAGAATGACATTTTAATAATTTAATAATCTATCCTGCAACTGTCATGACAAATTGTTTCAAAATGAAAATGTTATGGTTGCCATGGTAACAGGAGTCACAGGTATGTGGAGCAGCGTCACAATTGTGTTTTACAATTCTTTTTCCTGCTCATATCATCTTGACCAGTATTATGTATTTCCCAACATTATCTAAACACATGTGGTGCATCTTGACTGGAGATTCAAAGACCTGACAAAACCACTGCTGTCCATCTCTCAGATTGCTGATAACATTGGCTTCAAGCAGAGTTTCATTTTTATGTTCAACTTTAAGATATTCACTAGTAGAAGTCCAATGGGAAATATCAGGGAAATATGGCCAAATGTACAGAAAAGTTTAAGGTCAAGACATTTAATTTTAAGATTTTTTTCTTTGCTTTGTGAATTGGAGCATCATAGAGGTGAACTATTAACTTTCCTATTAATCCAGGGAGCTTTTTTCTAAGCACTTATATAATTTTTCGCTGATTAACCAATTGCAAAATATATTATCTGATTTAATAACAGTTTAATTTACAGACTTGCATTTCATGAAAATGTGATATTTTGAACAAAAAATCCCTCAAAATGAGGCAAAAAAGTTGGGACCAATGTTGTGAATTATCAGTATTCAGTTCAGAAAATAACTACAGGGACTTTTCATTTTCCAAAAACTGGTTCTGTAATTTTCAACGTAACTGAATTACTATCAAAAATCAATTGCCTAAGATTGTATAATATAAAATGGTTGTTTAAAATTTTTCAGATTGCAACACATTTGGTTCTTAGTGTTCTTGGAATATTCTTCGCCATTTCCTTGATAATATACTATAGCTTTATGGTATCATATGTAGGATGGTCATTGGAATCTGTCACGGTAGGTACACGATTTGAAGCAGTCAAACTTTTTAGTTTTCAAGGACCCAACCCTGTTTACTCACTGTGTGCATGTATTTATAAAATAAACCAATCGATAAAAAAGGTTTTCAAGGACTAATAAAATGTCTTTAACAAGCTCAGTTTTATATGAACATCACTGACAGCATGTATTCCATCGAGGCTTCATCATTGAGCATGTTCGAGTCCAAATTGAGCCAATCAAACTGCTGAGTTCTATACCACTGATATCTTACATATCTATGCCATGATTAAGAAAAATTCCTTTGTTGGATTGAAGAATGATTAAAAAAATTTCAGTTACTCGACCTAAGTGTGATATCGATTGCCATTGGAGTTATCTGTGGTATTCTGTGCATTGTATCCTCTATATTTGGCTGTGCAGTTGTTTGTTGTGGCAGAAGGAATGTGAGTTCCACATAATTTGATAATTTAAGACCTTTATATTTGATCAACTGATTACCATTTACCCTCCCTCTAATGAATGATATAAGGACACAACAACACATGTAAATGTACAGCTTTTGGCACTACATCTTTAAACAGCATAGAGGCACAATGATATATCACACTACATGTTCAATAATTACATCACACTACATGTTTAAAAAGCAGAAGGGACACAACATACATTACACTACATGTTTAAACAGCATAAGGCTTATAAGGGACATTACAATACATCACACTACATGTTTAAACAACATATGGGACATCAAGAGCATAGAGGACACAGCTATATAACCATAATACTATAAGTTATTGAATGATTTAAAGTGCAATACAGGATATATTCTGTTCGAGAAATTACGTATTGGAACGAGACAAAGTCGAGTGCCAATACAGAATATCGAGCAGAATATATCCTGTATTGCACTTCAAATAACGTTTTATCGTGTATCCTCTGTAATCCTACTGAGATTGTCTCCTCCGTACCAATATTTTCTGTATTGTGAGGGAGATGATCAACGGGGACAATCTCAGTAGCAATACAGATTGGTACAGCACAAAAACTGACCAATCAGAGGACTTCATTTTACAGATCATACGATAATATAAGTAATTGAATGATTTGAAGTGCAATACAGGATATATTCTGTTCGAGAAATTACATATTGGAACGAGACAAAGTCGAGTGCCAATACAGAATATCGAGCAGAATATATCCTGTATTGCACTTCAAATCATTCAATAACGTTTTATCGTGTCATCCTCTGTATTGCTACTGAGATTGTTCCCTCCGTACCAATATTTTCTGTGTTGCGACGGAGACAATCTAAGAAGCAATACAGATTGACCAATCAGAGAGCTTCATTTTACAGATCATACTATAAATGTTTAAACAACACAAAATATGAGTATCATAAAAGATGAGTGTGAATAAGAGTGACTTAATAGAACCAAGAAATGGGTCTATAAATAAATAACAGCATATAAATGTGGTTCCATTTATAAATGACCCTTATAGGCATTTATGTGACAAAATAAAGTTGATTCATTTATTCCTAGAAATGCCATATGATAATATAACAACATCTATTTTACATGTTTTGTAGGAAATCCCTTCATGGAACTACCCAGGTAAGAATATGAGACTATTTGTTAAATCTCTGATTGCATAGCCTGCTTGTAAATTGTGTCAAGATCAGTGGGACATCCTTCCTCAAAGGACTTCATTTATGCTTAAATTGTACTTGTAAAATACCCTTGCAGCAAGGATGCAGTGGGATACAGATGATCCTTTGTTATGTACTTGGCATATGATTAAGACTTTCATACGTATAATGGGGTTTGATCGAGTCCTGAATGTTATTGGGTTTGACAACTGTTTATGATATACCCCTTTGACCAATTTATCAAGAATTAAATAGTATTTTTTCACTTTAAATTCAAACTGTCCTTTTCTTCTATCCCAGTGAAATGCTGATATTAATCATTCTACTCAATATCAAAAATGTGATTTTTTATATAAATTACAGGTGCTGATAATTCTGGACATATTCCCTATAGATATGGACAAGAGATGCAACAAAATCCCATTCATGCGCAGCATCCACAGAAAGAAGAACAGTTAAGGTTCTAATACATCTTGGACTCTGCACATATTCCCCAAAATCACCTTAGAAATATGTCCATGACTGATTATTTAAGACATCTGATTCCAATATATATTTGGGCAAAACTAAAATCATAGTAAAATTTAACATTATACCCTTCAGTAAAAATGGCAATAATTCCAAGACTGAAAAACTTTACCGTAATAATTTCAAAACCATCTAGGAATGATATATTACAATTATACTTAACATATACATGTAAATACCCTTATAAAAAATTCAACCTTGAAAGTCCGAATTTAAACCGTTGCACAATCATTGTACAATCATTGATCTGATCATTTATGCAACCATGCCAACCGTTACGATGCAACCATTACAATTTTGGTTGTAAACTCATTGAAATGTTTCAATCATATGTAACCATTGTAAACGCTTGACAATTTTGGTTGCATTTCTTGCAACCGTTTCAATCGAATGCAACCCTTTAAAACTATGGCAATTTTATCTCAATACAACATAAAATAATTATCTTGCTCTTTAAAAATATATTTCAAATGTGTGTATTTCATGCATACTGTACATGTCAGAATTTAAATGGTTTGATCAAAAAGATATTTAAAGTATTGAAATAGTTAAGTAAACTTGTCTTGTGAATGAAAATATATTGAACCAATTTTTATCTAACTTTGAAGGATGGTGATTGTCTAACTCACATGTATATTATCTAGATAACAGCAATGCTTAGGCATAGCAAATCCCCCTCGCTGTCATGACTATCATTTTTACAAAATCACTTCACTACTTTTTAAGTTATTGCAAAATCATTTGAAAAAAATGTTGATTGGGTCAAGTCTTGGATTTTACACTTCACCTTGCAATCATCGCAATTATAAAGGAAGGAAGATGTGTCTGGAAGGAAGAAATCCTTCAATGGGAAAATAATCTGTTTTGATTTGATATTTTTGATTTGATAGAGAAAATGCAATCAGACATTACAGGATGTGTTTTAAATAATTAAGTCGATAAGCATAACTTAAAAAACTCTGATTACAGTTAGACTCAGTCTATCTAGTTTGATTAGAGTCTGATTTGAAGGATGTGTCTGAAGAAACTTTATTAATCCATTAATCCATAAACAAAACAAAAATAATTCGGCAAGGCAAAACAAACCTTATTATATCAGTTTGATTAGAGTCTGCTATAAAGGAAGCATCCTATGTAATTTAAATTATTCCATACACAGAACTTGATAAATAATTTGCCAAAGAAAATCTCCCATATTTTCCTCCAGATTTTTCCAAGTTTAGAGTTTTGAAAAATAAGCCCTGTTTTTGGTTTTTATTTTTTAATCATCAACACATATCATTTAAACTGAAAACACTTCAGTACAAATGCTCTGCCCTAGTGAATAAATTAAAACCATGGACTTTCAATCTATTGAATGCCTATGGTAAAACAAACTAAATAAAAATGAAATAAAAAATTCTGAAAATATTATTTGCAGTTTCATATACTTGCTATTTGAGATTTCTCAGCACTTATTGAAGTAATTGAATAAAGAAATAAACCCTCAAAAATCTGAAAACACTTTTTAAATTTTAACTCCCCCCCTCTGCATGAAATAGATAATTAAAATAAATATATAGTATAACACAAGATGAAAATAGATATAACAGAAACTAGGACTATGAACCCTTTTTCTGGTCAAGCATTTTAATTAGCCGTTCAACCGTTTTAATTAGCTGTTCAACCGTTTTAATTAGCTTTTCAACCGTTTTAATTGGCTGTTCAAGCATTTTGATTTTCTTAAACCCATGAGAATATCAATATGTAGTAGGTATTGTTGTGTTGAGCATTGTTATAAAAAATATTTGCCAAGAAAGAACATGGTAATTAAATCTGTTGTGAATAATGTGTTTCACACATAATATACAGTCAATATCAAAATAGTCCTCTTGTTTGTATTTTTTAAATTTAAGTGAGTCATACTCTTGATATTTGGTGTTAACTACACATGGATACATTTGAAGAACCATTTTGCTGGGGGGGGGGGGCTGACTACTGGCCTGTTCATTGTATATAAACTTTTGCGGGGGTCCTGAGCTAAACCCTCCGATATCAATATGTACCCAAACCAATCTATTTGTATATCATGGGTATAGCAATAATCCATCTACCTTGACAAAATTTTACTGAAATTATTAATTCAGATGTTTTCCATTGAAACTGTGAAAATTAAGTCTTTGGTGCCTGAATGCATTATTATTATAAAAACATTTTCACTAAATAAAGCAATCAACTTGTGATTACATGTTTGTATTATTTTGTACATCATACCCTGCTTCTTTTGATCATACATGTATATCAGTCTAATCATGAACAAAAACAATGGTGTCTCATCTTGTGATTTTGTTAAGTTTAAAGGAAATCTTAAGATTTTCCTTGGTCAATTTCTTAACCAAATTGGAATTTTGCTCAATTCTTTTCATAATTAATATTAAAAATACATTATTTTGGCAATATCAGATAACGGGAAATAAACACTAGATATGGTACTTCTAATTGTGTAAATAATGTAAATGACAGAGAACATAAATTATCATATGCCATTGAGTGGAAAACTAGTCTGGTATCGCATTCCTAAATCCGTACTGGAGAAAGAAACATATGAACATGAATTTAGTAATTTACTATAATAAACATGCATGTATGCTTGCAGAAAAAATATCCTAATATACTGTTGTTGAATAGAGGTAGATTCAAATCCTTACTTAAAGATAATTTTAATTCAAGTAAAATGATTACTTTTTTGGAACGATACCAATTCAGGATGGTTCAATTCAGGATGGTTGCAGGGCTTGAACTATGTAATCATTGAACAAAACGTATTGCAACCATTTACATTTCAATGTGAAATGGTTGCAGTTTACAATGGTTGCAGATTACAATGATTGTATAGAAATGGTTGCGCAGTCATTGAAAAAGAGTTGACTTTGTTTGGTTGAACGCAATGGTTGCACAATGATTGCTTATCACCGTACAATGGTTTTTCCTTTGATCTTAGTAGTTGAAACAATCAGTATTCAATGATTGATGGAAACGGTTTAAATTCGGACTTTCAAGGTTGAATTTTTTATAAGGGTAGATGACTGAAATTACTTTATATACTTGTATATGAAATATAAAGTGGTAAATATACCCTTAACTCCATATATAATGCAATGACTTATTTTAACATAGCTATTAATTTAGCTATATTTTAAAGTTCTGTATAATATACTTATTCCAGAAACCAAAAAATTATTAGTAAAAAAAATATACATGTACATTCATTTTTGATGATTAAAAAATCCATAGAATTTAGAGATTTCGATATATTTAGTTTTCATCGAATTAAACTACTTTATAGTTGACCAAATGCTTTGATATTTGAACTAAATCCGACTTATAAGACATGGAAACTCTGGGGTTTGATCATTTGTTCATATATTATGCGTGGGCGCCACAGTTTAACAATATCTTCCACCGCTCAAGGGAAGGTAACTGGAAATGTAAGATACAGTAAGGGTCATATTAGTTTTCAATACACGGTAACTGTACATCTTAGCTCTCCATTATAAACTCTCATAACATTACCAAATCACCGCATATCAAATATTAACAACATGCATCTATTTTACATAGTTTTATATTCTGTGACTTGTTTAACATAGCAGAGATATAATTCTGATGGTAACTTCAAGAGACATCAATATTTGTATAATACACAACCATAGTATAGTTTTTTGTATATGAGAAAATGAAATATATAGGTATTATGTATGATTAAAAGCCTTGTTAAATTGATATATCTTAGTGTTAGGCTTGTATCAATATGTTGTGTTTTGACACACAATTAACCCCTTTAAAGGAATGATTCTTTGGGGGGCTCTAAAGATATCCATTATGGGTGACCAAAATTAGCTGAAAGCAATGGATCACATGAATTTTCCCTATGGGAAAATAACATGGGAAATATTGTTTTCCACTTTATTTAAAAGGAATCACTTATTCCTTTAAAGGGGTTAATTGTGTGTCAAAACACAATATATTAATGCAAGAAAAATTAGAAAAGTAGGAAGGGGTTGAAAATCAGGAAAACATTTCAGAAAAAACAGGTGGGTGGGTTGTTTGCATCTTCAATGTCTCAAAGTCAAAAAATTATTTTATCATCTTTAGGAGTGCTTTTCCTGGAGGTAATGCATTGGTCTAACATATGCACCTGTTTAAATCCTCAGAAAATAGACAAAATCCAACATATGACTGTATAAAATCTGTTGCGATACTTTCCCTCCTCCTTTTACAATTTTAAGATGCTATTTTTTGCTTTCTGGACACTTTCAAAATGTAGGAGTCAATATATGACCAGAACAAAAGGAAAATTTCTGAAACAACAGAACAAAGAGGACATTTCTGAAAAAAACAAGAAAGCCTACCTGGAGGCAGTAGGCTGCATATTTGCCATCAGTGCAGTTTGTGTCTGTAGCTGTGAGACGGAGATGAAGCCGCAAGTATGTGAGGATGTCCTTGTTGGCAGGAACCATGACACACGTCAAGAGGCACAACATCTGCCAGTAGTTAGCACTTACTGCACCAACGGGCTCTATAGTAAATAAACAACAAGCACAAGTGCATAAACCAAGACATTTGTTTACATTATAGCAGGCCCGTAGCCAGGATTTGCCAAGGGTGGTTCAGTTTTTGAAAAATTCCAGGGGGTTCACTTTTGACAATTTCGGTTCAAAAATGGCCAAAATCACATAAAAAATGCTCAGAATGATGCAAAAATGCATGATTTTGAAAGAATTCGCTCGAACCCATCGAACCCCCCTGGTTACAGGCCTGTATAGAAATTGTTTAATTCTCATATTATGAATATTATTATTCAATGAAATAAGATGGGATCATGTAAATGGTTACAAACTAATATAATAAAATATCAAATATTGCAATGAATGAAACAGGCTATTGGGCATCAAGCTAAAATATACTTTCACTCTTGAGGAATAAAACATTGTAATTCAATCCTGTCTCAACCTATTGTCACAACAAAAATAGTCATCTTTCTTATGCATTACCTGGTTGGGCTGTAGTTTGTTTGATAAGCTGAAGAAAGAATTCATTGCAGAGCTGACTATTTTCCAGGCATTTACTTATCAGTGTTTGTATGACAACAGCATGGTCTTTACTTTCCAAACCTAACAAGAAAAATTGGTCTTTGTAAAACAACACAATAAAATTATCCAAAAGTGACAATCTGGTAAAATGAAATTAAATGTATAAGTGGAACACTAGATCTGCTCTAATGAAATCTAATGAAACTGTCTTGCATATTTCTTAATGAAAGAGCATTCTTTAATATTACTTTTGATATTACTTTTGAATATAGCATCCCACAAACATACTTTTACATATATAATTCTGCACTGGCAGAGTAAAACAACAATATGAAAAATCAACAAAACTACAAACATTCAGTACCTCCAGTTTCAATGCCTGCATAAATCAAGGAAGAATTAAACATCTTCACTGCAACATCCTCTAGCTCCTGGCTCTCAAATAGCATCAACGATTGTCGCATTTCTGTTTTTGAACTTGACCAAAATGGAGGCTTGAAATGACTGAGGCGCACATTACTGGCTCCTGGCATAGATATTTTGTCAAACTGGGTTCTGTGAAACCTATAAAGGAAATATTAGTTTTTATTACACAAAACACGAAAACCAATTGGGAAATTTTGTAGTAGGAATAGAGTATGTAACTATATGGTGTAGTCAGGGCTGTTAGTTCGTTTGTTGAAGGATGTTGTATTCTTTTGAACCAAATCTGCATTCCTTAATATTACCCTAATGTGAAAGCAGGTTGGGGGTCTGGGGGGGGGAGCATGATCATGCAGACAGGCCTAGGTAATGGAACTTTTAATGTGAAGGTATCATGTTTAGTTCTGCAATTTTTCACAAGGGAGAACTATTGCAAATTCAGTGACATCCTTCTCTATATAGGGGTAGGGGTAACATGAAAGAAAATCTTTAGCATAATGAATAGGGGCAAGATGCAGTGGTATTGACAGTTGGCACAAGCATGTATGTGGGCATAGCAAAATACCAGTATGTGGATAATAGAATAGTATTATGGGCATGGCATATGTAGACTATGGTTTATCTGACCCAGACAGAGCAAACTTGACTTCTCATCTCCAAGCAGACATTACAAAATTCACGAATATACAAATAAAGGAACAGTGCATATTAAACAATTTGAAAAGGGTTACGATGGCCAGAAAGGTTTAAACTTTTGTCCTACTGCAGCTGTACCTCCCCAAGTGCATGGAGATCCCATAAAGCTATCATTCAGTGTCAAACAAGTTTTATATTCAAGTTTGCTCTCCCTTAGCTGGTTCGTTTAAGGTAGGCTAAATAGAATGAATAATCAGGCTAATTAACCTGAACATTTAACACATATGGTTTCAAAAGTTATCCCACATGGCCCACCTTAAATGCTAAATACATGTAACTTTCTATGGTAGTGAAAAGCTTTACTTTATCATTCATGTATACTCAGAGCAATTAAACTACATGTACAATGGTTTATAAATCAACCAGGCTGTTAGTATAATATTACTCTAGTTATTTTGATTAATCATTTTCTATTGTTATTTAAAAATGACTATTTTTGACATGCTGTTCTGTTAAAGCAATGTAATCTAATGCAAGAGAAACCACTTCCATGGATTTTGTATGTTAATATTCAATATTATTAATATTTGGGGCAACGGTGGGTGCCCAATGGGTTAAACCATTAAGTGAGTTGAGGGACTCATTTATTAGTTACTACTAATTGAGAGCGCCATTTTGATCCCAACTAATCGTATACAGGAAGTGAGATCTAGTCTGCTCTATACAACTTGGTTTAAAACTAAAACTAATAAAAATGCATATTTAGTAAAGTTATGCCTAAAATGAGTGAAGTATTTGTGCCGTATTAAACTACATGTAATAACACCTGTAGCCTTGCAATTCAGGTTCAGTTAAGGTAAGCAGAGAAGAATGAGTTGTTTGGTGATAAAGAGACAAGAAAGGATAGAAAAAAATCTAGAGAAACTTATTGAAAAATTGTCACAGTTTTACAATATTTTTTGCTCATAGCATTCCCTTAGTCTACCTGTCAACCCTAATCTCTTAGAAGTCTAAGAGGATTTTTTGGCAATATCCCTGAAAAAGTGTCGACCCAGCATTTTGATATTTGTACATCTTAATCTTCAGTTCCATTCAGCCTTGATCAGACATCTTAAATTTATTTTCAAATACAAAAATTGGAATTGATAAAGCAAGAATAGCATTTTTATTGAAAGACTGTGTATATCATTTTACATTTTCTATCCTTTGCTGCCACTTTAACATCTTATTAACTTCCCACTGGGCCCACCTTAACTATAAAAAATGATATTTTAAAAATGCACACCCTGAAACTCTCATGTCTACCATTAAAACAGATATGCCAATGCATCTACATGTGTGATTCTATATATATATGTATAGTCCTGTGCACAATTCCCAAAATGGCTCAATTTGAGTCTCTGCTCTCATCATTCACTTTTGGGCAAATTATTGAACTAGTTTTGATTTATTAGTCTTGCATTTAGTCCATGTGAACATAGCCAGCCCTTTAATTCGAAGATGGCGGATGGCAACCACTTGTGAATCAAAATTCAACATTAGTACATAAACTTAACCCGTGTCTAATACCAATGAAAGGGTCGAAGCTCCCTCCCTTTCGAAAGCCCTCAAACATAGTCTAGTTGGGGATATTGAACAATAGGGAAGAGGAGGGAGATGGAAGCAGAGATTTGATGCGAGATTATGATTACAGGAACTCTGCACTGGACTGTACAACTAGCACTCTGTATCTAGACATCAATATATCTAATAAGGTTGTATGAACTTATTTGTATTATAACTATTATATACATGTGTTGTCATTTAATGACACTAGCAAGAATCTAATTGGAACACACATAGTGCATTATTGCTTCAAATAAAGAAATTACAATGCTAAGATGACTATTAATGGATCAAATAATTGGTGATAATGTAACTCCTGAAACCATAGGGATTACCCCACAGTGACATACTCTGATATTATCCAATGAAAAGCATGATCATTTTTGACATCATCCTGAAAAATGAGGATTTTTGGTGTCACTGATAGAATGTGAATTTTATCAATCATCAAATTGAAATTTTAACAGCACTCTCTATGGAGTGATCCCATATGGTTCTTGATTCCCTATATCATTGTAAAATTGTTCATTTATAACTCAAATCATATTATAGCATTGTAACTTTCATATCCAAGGGTGACCCAAACTAATTGCATCCATATTGGATTTTTCTTCCTCATGTATCAAGTCATACGAAAATATCAACATCTGGTGCACTATTTCTGGATCACCCTATTGTGAACTCCCAGAGTATAAGTATACAATATGGAGCCCAATCTGTAAGTTGGAGGCTGCTACTACTAGAACAGCCTAGTGCACTGACCAAAGACAACATCGCAAAATCGAGATTTACTTGTGCCATGTCTAGGGTCTGTGCAATAGGCCAAGTAAAATATTGACCTGTATCAAGTTTAAACATTCCATATATGGTCATCATCTCTCTTACTATATCCCTGCCCATTTTTGGGAATTATTTTGTGAAATAAATAGATGGTATAACCGATACGCATAACAGAAAGAATCAAATAAGCATTGTCACAGTGAGTGTACAGAGGTCTGAATATGGCTGAAATAGGCCCATTTGGTATAATTCAAAAATATTATTAAAAAATAAAATGTTATAATTTGTTTAACAGACACGCTTTAACTATAGTGACGAGGGTGTTAACAAAACCTGCAACATTAAATAGCAGCAAACTTAAGTGTGATAGTATTTGGTAAATAAATAAGAAAATAATGACCAACGTGAATATCAACCATATCGGTTCGTTAGGTACAGGGTAACTCAAGAATATGTGCAATTATATGTAATATAAAAATGCAATGTGGACATTAAATTTGGCAAAGGTGGAAACTTTTTGTTACTTCTGTACACAACCTGGTCAATAACAGGAATTTCAAAATATTTCTAATTTCAATCTTTATACTTCATCTTTTGGATATCTCAATAATGGTATAATTATAGTTGTTTATACATGAATGAATCATCCTGACTTGGAAATAAAAATATTTAAGAATTTGGGATACATTGGCCAGGAATTGTTCAGAAGTATCAATTCACAGCAGTCACTCAGCTTTCTAGTATTAGTGGCTCACACTTTACCTTGGATCAGGCACTGTCCATCTTAATACCAAAACAAATATCATTGAAATTAATTTTAAGTTATCTTTATATTAATACATATTACAAGGTGTCTAGATCTAATATGTTATGAACAACCTGTCATTTTGGAACAAGATCTCCAAAAAATTATGATGAGTATTTTGGCCAGATAGTATTCAAATGAATTAAAATCCAAACATATTTTGAGAATAATTTTAACATGAAACAAACACATCATGCAGCGGATTATCAAATATAACTGACCTTTTCAGGGTAGACCTAATAAAACCTAGATCTTCTTCATAAGGTTTTTGTAGGATTTTTGAGCGGATCAAAACTTTGCGTATCTCCTCTATATCATCAGAGAGTTGGAACCTATCTTCCGACAGCTTCTGAGTTATTAAAAGAAAAAGTCATTTTAATTACAGGTATAATTCCAGGTATATGTTTAACACAGGCATGAAAACTTTTATTTTGAGTGCAGAATAAGTCAATAAAAAATAAATCCCTGCAACAATCATGGAGTTGTCTTTACAGTATTTCATATACAGGGTGGTCCAAAAAAAGTGAACCCCTGCAACAGGCTATATTTTTCTTAATACATGCATGAATTGGCTCATATTATCACATGTTGTAGAGAAAGGTCTAAAATTTTGGTTGATGCCATAATTTATTCTCAGTCTTAAATTTTGAAGAAATTACAAGCGTTTAACAAACATGCCTGGAAATTAGATATTGTACAAAATTTTACAAATGTGATTCAAGGAAATTGTTGAAACATAGTGGATGATCTTAAACAGCTTTCAGTTAGAGATACAAATTTAAAACCCTACCATATGACAAAAGGGACACTGTTCAAGCAGAAAACACATTTCACACTTTCATTGATCATTTTGAAGCATTTTTAACTGTTCAACAGTTTCAGGGGTATGTTACCTACACCAACAGTTAGAGGGGGCCTCTTATGGAAGGGAGTTGCCCCCTGTGACCAGGAATCTGATAACCCCTTTATCAAATATCTTTAAAAAATCAAAAGAAAATCCAATATCCAATGTTTTGAGCCATAAATCATTAGAATTGGTCCATGATTTATGAAGATATTGACATTTCAAGATCATATAGGGGTATGTTCATGATTTCACTGGAAAATGTTTTCGTCTGTGGAAGCTTAGCACATCTCTTTGGATCACAATAACTTTGCAACTAACAAATGTAGGATGCTAGTTTTAAGCCATAATGTGCAGGATTTAAAATTGAACAAAGTCAGAAAATATTAGTTCTTTAAGACTGCAGCTTAAAAAATTCTCAGGGGGAAAGGTGTTAAAGGGTTGAAGAATCGCGGATATTGAAAATCACAATTTGTCCATTTTCAGTAATGTTTGGTTAGGGCTTATAATTTCTGCAAATTTCAAGACTAAGAAAAATGTATGGCCCCAACATAAATTTTAGACCTTCCTCTACAACATGTGAAAATAAAAAAGAATTCCTGCAAGTAATAAGGGAAATATGGCCACTTGCAGGGGTTCACTTTTTTTTGGACCACCCTGTACATTACCAGTACATGTACTTCAATATCACACCCATGAGTGTTGTGGTCAATATCATAATAGTTACTTTTGGGAGTTCTATTCTCATCTATGTGTTTTCATCTTAGTATTTTGGATCCAACAAAGCCAATTTCAGAAATAATCATGGACCAATGTTGAAAGAACTCCATGAACAAATTAATCCCATGCTGATTTTGTTTGATATTATATTCCCTACCGCAGATGAGTCAACCCATTTTAATAATGACATTAAGCATCCAATAACAGAAAAGGCAAACCTCTTAAGTGATATTTTTTTAAATATTTTAAATGATCAACTTACAACTGGGTGAATTGATCTCCATGATATGTGTTGTGGAGAATAAGCAGCAATGAGATCTTTGAAATCATCTTTTGCATCAATCTCAAACATGTAACATTTTTGGCACGTCTCAATTTCTGACCTACAATCAATACATCCAATTAAAAAATATTTAGTTAAGTGTCGTTTCATTCTAGGTTGTTTTCATCTTATATATTGATTAGCTTATATTATGTCAGCTCTATATTTTGCCCAATTCATTCAAATACATCTACACTACTCAATGAAAACTTATATAACTGAAAGGGAAAATACTATAAATATCCTGTAAAACACATGTGGATCTAAAAGTCATTAGATATAGTAGTCATTGATAATCTTACTTTTCATAATCTTTGACCCTTCTTAAATGAACACCTTCTTACTGTTGGACCATTTTGTATTTTGTCATTCTTGAAAAACCCTTTGGACTGCCCAGCATTTTTTCACTCTTGGACCACCTTTATTTCCTCACTCCAAGATAACCCTTTAGTATACTACAACTACTACTTTTGGACCACCCTTATTTCGTTTCACTTTGGATAACCCTATATTTTCTTACACTGAGGCCACTCTGCATTTTCCCGATCCTGGACCACCCTTATTTTGTTTAACCCTATATTTCCTTACACAATTGGACCACCCTGTATTTTCTTACTCTTGGACCACCTTGCATTTTCTCACTTTTAGGCTTATGTGCAAATTCTTACTTGATCTCAATTGTAAGAATCTCCTTCAAGTCATCTATCACAATCTTCTCAATCTCATCATAGGAGTACACATGAATGAGGGAACGGTCTTGTATACTAACAAAGCGTATACTGTCAATGCTAATTGCAATGAATGTCTCTCGGCCATAGGCCCACTCTCCTTTGTAATTCACCAGGAACATGGTGCTTCCATATAAGGGAAACTGGTCCATTAATTGAAGGTAATCTGTCTGGGCATCTAGCTTACTCTTACCAGCTGCAAGCCACTAGAACAGAAATTAAAACACAGTTTGACATTTTCTCTATATAAAGAATTGATGCATTCTCAGGTGACATTTGGTAATTGGTATTACGATATAGTTCTTATTTTGTAAAATTTCTTCGTGCATGAATTGTTCATGAAATTGATAAAATGCCATTTCAGCTTAAAACTTTAAAAACTTCTAAGGTACAGATATACATGTAGTATAGTATAGTATAGTATGGGATGGTATAGTATAGTATAGTATGGTATAGTATGGTATGGTATGGTATGGTATGGTATGGTATGGTACATTGTATAGTAAAGTATAGTATAGTAATGTTTTAGGAACAAATTGAAATGAAATATTATAAAAATCATAAAAACGTAGATCACAGCAGATTACATGTGTTTTACCTTATGTGATCTCTCTATATCTCTGCTGAGGTTACGGTGTTTTCCACAGGACACAAGTCTAGGGCAGAGATATTGTTCTACATCATCATACCTACAATATAGACTACTTTTGATATACACATGTACTGTACACAATCATGATTATAAGATTAAATTATTCCTTCACATAAAGAACGGCATGTATTGTCATTTTTGACAAATCTTTATATTTTACGGTCATAACATTTGCTCATTTCAATTCCCTGACTTATCTCAGAATTCAAAAACTTTGGCCATTGGAAAAGCATGGTGGTTTTCCTTTACCATATTTGTTTATCATTTTTCAAAAAAAGCAAAACAAATAGAATGTCTATCCTCATAACTTAATTAATAAAATCAGGGGGGGGGGTGGCTAGAACAACATTGGGATCAGTAGAATACCTGAAAGATTTATCTTCCTCATATGGTCCCAGAGTGACTTGAGCTTGAAGCCCTGCTAAACGCAAAGCAAGATCCTCTGAGGCTTGGTACGCATCAAGCTGTAATGATAAATAATATAATAATATATAATAATAGTAATAATGATGAATAAATGATTTCACATTGTGTACAAGATGAATGCTGACAATCAAAGTGATCATAAAACCATATTGCATCGATATGCATCATTGATATGCATCATTGACTCCAGATTGCACCAATGAATGTGTTAATCCAAGTCTAAAACCTGGTTTGCTACACAAAAAAATGAAATGAAATCCCACCTTGACAACATTATAGACTGCCTGGGCATACATCAAGTTCACCTCTAAAGGGTCCTCCAGGGTGACACCGAGGGGTTGAAATATCCTTTTACAGAAAACAAACTTGGCCTCTTCAAATCCAAAGCTCTTACTAGGGCTGTCTGTCACATGTACAGAGTGGTGCTTACATGTGTGGCTTGTACTGAAACCTTCCCTGTAATGGAGGATTAATTATAGTTTATACAGCTTATATTAAGTGCCTGATATTTTTCTTGCATGAATGCACATTGTCCCTTCCCTTCATTCTTTGACTCCTCACCATATAATAGCAAGGCAGATGTGAACATGTTCCTTTTACTTGTAAAAGATACAGATATGGAATTGATAGGTGAAAACACATTGTCGATTTTTATATCACTTCTCTGATCATCAATTGATTTTTCAACATAAAATAAAAATTAGACATGTTTATATCTACATGAATATTATATTTAATTCATGTTTATATCTACTGCAATGTACATGTACCTGAACTGACTGAAGCAAGAAAGTGCTACCATAATTATGAGCATTTACCAAATAACATGCTTAAAATAGCAAAAGCTGTCTCCGTTTGGCAAAGAAGCAGAGTGGTGCTACCTGAGTATGTCTCATTCAAAAGTATGCCATAGTGGTACTACCCAAACATGTCATTCAAAAGCATGTCTTAGTGGTACTACCCAAACATGTTATTCAAAAGCATGTCATAGTGGTGCTACCCAAGCATGTCATTCAAAAGCATGTCATAGTGGTGCTACCCAAGAATGTCATCCAAAAGCATGTCATAGTGGTGCTACCCAAGCATGTCATTCAAAAGCATGTCATAGTGGTGCTACCCAAGCATGTCATTCAAAAGCATGCCATAGTGGTACTACCCAAACTTGTTATTCAAAACCATGTCAAAGTGGTGCTACCCAAGCATGTCATTCAAAAGCATGCCATAGTGGTACTGCCCAAACATGTTATTCAAAAGCATGTCATAGTGGTGCTACCCAAGAATGTCATCCAAAAGCATGTCATAGTGGTGCTACCCAAGCATGTCATTCAAAAACATGTCATAGTGGTACTACCCAAACATGTTATTCAAAAGCATGCCATAGTGGTCCTACCCAAGCATGTCATTCAAAAGCATGTCACATTGGTGCTACCCAAGCATGGCATTCAAAAACATTTCATAGTGGTACTACCCAAACATGTTATTCAAAAGCATGTCATAGTGGTGCTACCCAAACATGTCATTCAAAAGCATGTCATAGTGGTGCTACCCAAGCATGTCATTGAGAAGCATGTCACATTGGTGCTACCCAAGCATGTCATTAAAAAACATGTCATAGTGGTACTACCCAAACATGTCATTCAAAAGCATGTCATAGTGGTGCTACCAAAGCATGTCATTGAAAAGCATGTCACATTGGTGCTACCCAAGCATGTCATTGAGAAGCATGTCACATTGGTGCTACCCAAGCATGGCATTCAAAAGCGTGTCATAGTGGTGCTACCCATAACCCAAGCATGTAATTTAAAAGCATGTCATAGTGGTGCTACCCAAGCATGTCACTCAAAAGCATATCATACTCGTTGATGTTATTGTAGGGTGGCACTACACTACATAATAGGCCAGGTTGGCAGCAAGCTTCTGATATCACTGATGCATAAATACATTTTTTGTCAGATGCATAAATAAGGTTCTTTGCCAGGTGCATAAATAAGGTTCTTTGTCAGGTGCATAAATAAGGTTCTTTGTCTATTCAAATATTTAAATGATATGGTGAATGTTTCATTCATTTTAAGGACCTAGCTATAAATGCGAGCATGGGAAAAGATGAAGGGGGAACACTATTTGAATTGCATGCAAAAAATATTATATGGTCAACTGAAATTATAATTCAAATTAATGGCAGTCACAAGACATTAAAGATGAAAAATGTTGAGATAAAGTTTTGATCGATGGACCCTATCTATTTCAAGAAAATAGAACAAACTGATATGAATATCTCTTTGTGATGTAACCCAAATCTTCTAGAAAAGTTACATAGATTGCTAATTAAATCAGTGTTTGTTTATCATTCAATGAGAAATATCATCTTGCAATTGATTATGTACATATTAAAGGTTAGCAACACATTGATTGCAATGTGAGAATGGTCATGGCAGGTTTTCTATTTTGAAAGTATTATAGCAACAAACACAATACTCAATACACACACTGTATAAACAATTGTTTTCACTATTAGCTAAGAAACATCCACCATTCAATAAGCTAAGAACATCTATGGAACAATAGTTGACTATAGAATAATAGTTGATATGTTGCAAGTATTTAAAGAGTCGAAAGAACATCAAGAGGATCAATCGATTGAACTAGGTAAATAAAAAGATTTTTTTTGAAAATTGAGGAAATTGATAATTTTTGGAAAAAAAATATTAAAGAGAAAAATCTTAATCTTACAAGAAATTACTTAAAATCAAATAATTGGAATTTCTAGATTTCGTTGATTAATCATATTGACATGTTAATATTTGAGGTCCATAATATGAGGTCAACATATGACACTGTCTTGCCCACTGTGAAAGAGAGAAGGGATAACTTACTGTTCCCATTGTGATACTATATCAGCTAGGTGCTCATTGGATTGGATGTGGCGCATATGTTTGGGGGTGCTCTGCAAATACACAAGCAACATGCCACATACAGTACAGTCACAGATATACACATACAACATGGGGCAACTGCCTCAACAAAATGTCACAGGGAAAATCTTTCAGACTTTTTGTCCAAGAGTGAATATCATCTTAGATTTGCCTTGCCTTTTTAGGTTTGCTCCACCTATTTTTGAATCCTGGCTACCACTGTACTTGTACAGCAAGAAACACATGATATTCATGTGGTGAGGCCAAGTCTCAAGTGTGCTGTGCATGTGCCCACTGGCGTGGGCCCTTGGGTGGGCCCAGAAAAAAAATTGGGCCCAAAGCAGATTTTGGGCCAAAAAGGCCTTAAGGTCCCAAAAAGTGGGCCTTTTTGGTAATTACTGGACCTTTTAAGGCCTTATTTGTTAATTTCAGGCCTCATTTTGAAGAAACATGATGGTGAAATTTGAAAGGAATGGGCCTCAAAATTTCAAAATTTGGGCCCACTTTTGAGTTTTAGGGGCCCAAAATGTTTTTCCACTCAAGCGCGCAACTTTTTTTCTCTGACCTGAAATTTGGGCCCCCCCTTGTTGGTTCCCAGATCTGCCTCTGGTGCCCAACATGTCTGGTGAACTGGGAGGACCTCCCTACCTCCCCACTATCCACTGAGTGGTTTTGGATTTAAGGTTTATCCCTAGATATATTTTTATATTGTAGGGTAAGAGGGCAGACATAGGTTATTACCCAAGGGATAAACACTACCTCCAAAATCAACCATACAAAACTGGTATATCTTATACTTTAAGACAGCTAGAGATTTAAATTCCTGGGAGCAGGTCAGATATATCATATTGTACTCATTTGAATGGAAGTAATACAATATTTTGGACCCACTTCATAGATATGACATATATTCCTGGTATTATTTGCTTAAACCCATCTAAGTCTAAACGCAATAGAGTAGAAGGAGCATTTTAAGGTGGAGAGCAGGATTACAAAGAAATAGTCTCCTTCCTTTAAGGTAGTCTGAGTAGAATGAATAATCATCTCGTATTCAGGTATAAACTGGCAAAAGACATCCTACGAGGCCAACCTTAAGGTGGGAGATACTATGACATTTTATACAAATAGAGAAAGCTGCCAATGACATATACACATTGGTGATGCTGTAGACACTGCAGACACTGGAAAAGACAAGACTAAATCAAATATCAAACATGCTGCATAGAAAGTTTGCAAGAAATAACATGCATTGATTATTCAACATATATATTATGGTCACCATAATGTCCCCAATTATCTACTAATATACAGGGTGGGGAAATATGTTTGTATCATTGCTCCATAAATATGTTTTCCCAAATATATCTAACATGGCACTCCCATCACCAGGATTGTTATCAAAAATTACAATATTTAGTAACTTTACAAAATTTAGTGATCAACATATTCAATAGACCGTTCTGTAAATCAAACCATATGGACATTCATTTACCCAATCGAATTTGAGTTCAAAATTCTAAGAAGCCAGTGAGTCAAAATATCTATATTTCATCTAAAATAATTCACTGGTGCAGAGCCTATCTTTGTTTCTTTAGAGCTTATGTATTGAAATATGCTGTCCATATTAATTTCTCTATCTCACCCTCCCTCGTTATCTTCCTGGAGGTACATACTTCTGGTGGTGTATGACAGTATTTCCTCTGTTACAATAAGGCCAAAGTAAATAAATTCTCTGTTCAGCACTATTTAGTTTTTGAATGATGGGATGTATCTTTTTCTTATCCTGTATATCATTTAACTAATCAATAACTGACCAATAGAAACCCTGTCTGTAAGGAACACTTTTCAGTGAGAAACAACCCTCTATTACAGGAACAGTCATGTCATTAACATACATTCCTGTGAGGAACACCTGTCGACAAAGAATACTTTTGGTCAGAAGGGAAGGGTGTTCCACAGACACAGATTTTATTGTCTGTAAACATATTTTTGTCTGTCTGGACGTTAAAATAGATACTTTGTGTATATGCTAAGCATTGTATTTATTTACTTTAGCCTATGATTTGAGAGAAAAACGTTCTGAGACTACATTGACAAATATATGTAGTGATTCCAGTGGGTGCTTCACCTATAAGGCTAGGAAAAAATCTTGCTTAATTTCCACCTGCCTACCAGACATGCTTTTCCTTTCTTTTAAGTATTTAAAAAATTACACTCTTTGAAAGAACAAAAACTGTACCGAAATTGTGAATATCTAAATCAATATTTCTGCAACCTGCTAAGTGACAAAAACGAGACTTTTTCCTGGTCTATAATTTGCCTGTAAAGATGTGAAACACACAAACTGCCAGCACTTTACATTATAATCACTTACAACTCCCACTGGTACAAGATGTCAGCCACATATTCATGCCTGTGGATATGGCGAAGATAATTTGGTGTTCTCTAAAATAAAATGTATATATTGTTAGTACCATAGTCAATATACTTGATTATGATAGGTTAAGGTGTGGTCAATAGTTTTTACAGTTGACCATGCAGCGCATTTCTGGTTTACAGTATATTGGAATTTTATGTCAATTCTGCCTTTGCACATTAATTGCAATCCTGACTGCCCGAAAATAATAATTGCGTCTCAAAATAAAAACCTTGTACATGTATTTGGTTCATATTCATTTCAAAAATCCATATAGGCCTACAGCATACTTACACTGGTAACTTCACTCAAGTAACATAAATAACAGAATTACATGTATATCATATTGAATCCCAGGTTCTTGATTGGAGATGACATAGTACCATATGACCAAAATACCACAACATATCGGACACCTTCTCAGTTTTGGGTTGATTAATGGCAACCTTGTCTAACTTTGACATATTGATCAGCATATCGCCTGCACATGGATTCTGTTGATAATAATGCCTAGTTGCATGATATGTTCAGGCAATATATTTGCTGTACCTTCGATGATTTTTGCACGATTGCTCTCCAAATAATGAAAGGATTGCTTTACATGAACAACATACAAATCAACTTGTGTACTTACATCATACAGCTCCCAGCCATAACTGGTCTTCAGTCCAATCTTCTTGGCAACTTTTAGCACCATATCACCAGCAGTATCAGAAGGGTCGATGCTCAGAGCTTTTGTCTTGTCATCCAAGAAATATACTCTGCATACTATAGGATTTCTTGATTTCACAGCCTGAAATAAGTCAAAATCTTCATGAAATATGATTTCTTCCTTTAATCAATTTTCTGATTTAATATTTAACAGATACTGATGCCAAATGCATTGCGAGTGCCAGTAACAATAACATAAAAAACTAAGAATATGTCACTACTTCTTGATGCTGGATGAATAATGAGCATATGTCATGATGTGGGGGTTTTCAATGTTTAATGGCCCAAAAACATTTCCTCGAGTATTATTTTTGAATATTTAATGGCCAAATAACATTTCATTGAATTGTATTACTATGTAATATGGTAAAAGGTATGCCATGTTAATGTGGCTCCTTCAATAGGGTAGCAAATAGGTCCAAACCAAGTAATACACAAACAAACAATCAAACAACAGATATTAATACTTACCTCAATTTCTGCAGTGGATGGGGGCATCTTGCGTTGATTGTGGACAGTGAGTTTCAAGTGCTCCAGACAATAGGTGGCGTAGTGTCCAATTTGTCCCTGGTTCTGCATGTGTGCCTTAATGTGACACACCACATACTGAAATATATGACAAACCACATATGAAGCTGTACAGGCAATAAAAATGTCCCTTGTACTGTGAAACCCGAAAAGTGGAACACCTTTAGAGGTAGAACACCTCTGTTAGTGGAGCACTTTTCAGAGTCCTAAGACCAACTGACATAATGTTAAATGAACCTCCATATGTGGAACACCTCCCAAGTGGAACACTTTAGAGAGGTACCAAAGGTGTTCCACTTGGACAGGTCTTAGGGGAGGCATCAAAAGTTCGATGTCGGATCGGAAACTAAATAAATCTAGTTTTGACTCAGACCCCCCCCCCTCCCCCCAAAAACTAAATACCGTGAAAGTTGATCGCTTACTTCCGGTTTGAAAATTTGAAAAATTATTGCTAAACACGATCTAGTTTTTGTTAATTCCTATCGTAATTTGCGGCTTTTAACAACTATTGATAGAATAGATTCCATTGGAATGATCTTGATGAAGAAAGCATCAGGTAAAATCTTTATTTTTAAACCATTCCAAGGCATTCTGAGTTGAAATTGCCCAAAATTTGAAATGTTGAATTTTGTCGGATAGCAAACTGAAATGGGTTTGAACCCCCTCCCCCCCTAACTAGATTTATTTAGTTTTCTATCCGACATCGAACTTTTGATGCCTCCCCTTACTGTACTATGGTGCATGAAATACTATCTGGAGTGTCATTCATGTTCATATACTATCAAACTAGTTAATTATACTTTTTAAGTGGTCTCCAATGGCTGTAAAAGTTTGTTTTATGTTTTGTTTTCTGTAATTAACTAATTGTATGAGAGTTATATGTTATTCAGAACCTCAAAACCTCCTTTATCATTCATTATTTATTTTTGTGTCAGATTTGGGGAAACAATACTCAATCATCTCAAGGATCTTGTTATAACAAACACTGATCGCCTACACTAAATGCCAAATGACAGTCTCAAAAATACCTGTCCTTGTTATACCAATTAACAGTTTTAATAAGGATACTCACATTTGGAAAACAAATTTCTCCACTTCTAACAAAATGTTTACTTATGTAATGGTAATTAATATACAACAGAAAGCACATCGATCCCATATATTATATATTATTTATGTGTTTGTCAGAAAGCAAGGAAAAGAGGATTAATCAGTAATATTAATCTTATGATTAGGGATTTGTTTCAAAATAAGGAGGTCCAGTGGGACTTGCATGTTATTTAGATATTGTATTAAATAATGAAATTACTACATAATGTTATCTCCAGAAATTTAATGTAATTATGTCAGGCAACTGTCCCCTGCCCCAATATGAAAAAGGGGACCAGAACTTATAGTGTGGGAATTACAGCTTCAACAAAAGACAAAAGAGAGAGGAGAAATTGTTGCTCTGACAACACTACATGCTCTAACTACATTTTGACCGAGTTTTTCATTTTTATTATGTACACAAATTTGCTCAGATGAAACACAAAAGCTGCAGGTTGGAACTCCAGGTCTCTTATCTATGTATCCTCTTAAAGTGATCACATGGAGGAGATAAATTATTCATACTGTTTATATACAAAATAATGGAAATTACTATAATAAAATGCTATCAACTAATGAACTGTTGCATGTATTATTATATCATAATTATAACATGTACGGGTGGTTATCAATGCAATAACTGCCAACTTATTTTACTCTCTCACTGATGAAAATAAAATCTGAAATTGGAGAGTGTTAGACAGAATTTTGAATTTACGTGCATCCCAAAAATTCATACCTTCAATAAGGTCCGGCTTGGTACAAAGGATACCACCGATAACGCCATCAGAAACCACAAGCGATGTTTCCCGCCTTTATCTGGCATATCAGTGGTGAACCTCAGTAGCTGACAGTAGATCTCATCCCTCAGCTCTACCCTGTTTATTCCTTGGCCGATGATGTGCTTAAGTGTACATATTGTATGTTCTGACTTCAGATCACTTTTTAGAATTTTATGAAGGTCCTAAAAAAAAAAATAATTTTACTTGTATAATTTTGTACAAATACAGTTGAACATGTGTATCTGAATGCCCATCTTAAAAAATGTGGCCATGAGGAATGAGGAAAATCAGGTATTTTAATTCTTTTTTTCTAAAGATTGCTTCCAACATTTAACACTCTTTAGTCTTTGCTGGCATAGATTCTAAATCATCCTTGTTTTTTAAGAGGAAAGTAAACTTATTATGTACAAAACATATTTATGTCAGAAGTAAATCAAATATTCAAGAATTCTAGTCAGTAGTCCAGCCATGAGTTTTATTTATTATACACTAAATAAGATGCAAGAGGATATTCTAAACAATTATCAACCCTAGCTTAATTATCCTCTTAGGAGTTCCTGCAAACAAAAAGGAAATTCAATATATACAAATGAAATTATTTGACCAGATCATTCCGGAACATCACATAGGAAATGAATGAATGTTTCTTTCACCCTATTAAGTTAATAGCCCTTTAAGGTTGAAACATTTCACAAAAGGTCTTAGGATGACTTCAGAATGTCAAATTGACCCACCAACAGGAGACAATACTTGCCGGGGAAGGCAATATCTACAATATGCAGTAAAACCTTTCAAGTGAATGTGTGTTGAGAACTGCGAATGTTTTTTAACGTCAAATTTTTGAGAATATTACATAATATGGAACTCTCATAATGGTAAGCAAATAAGCTAATGCAAACACCTTTCAATGTAATCATTAGATGACCAATCAATTCAAGACTTAAAGGAACATTCCTTGCCAGACTATTTCTCTCCTGATATGGTAGCTACAATCATATATATACTTTACATATTTAGCAAAACACGGGGAAATGTTTTCATATGGTCAATATTGATCATTTAAAAATGTAGTACTCATTCCCAGTAAGCTGCCATCTTTTCAGATTTCTTTCAGGAAGTGATGTCATCGACTCTCACCTGTCTCACCTGTCTCACCTGTCTCACCTGTCTCAACCTTGTCTATTACAGTATAGGAAAGAAGTACAAAATCACTTCTAAACAAGAAGCCCTTATCTTCTGTGTAAAAATATTTTCAGGAGTTGTCAACTCATAACTAAAGAAGAGATCATCAAAAGGATTTTAATCATAGACCAAATTGAAAACAAGACACACAGTGATAAATATCGCACTTTGAAGAGCAAACTGGCCACCATGCAATTTACCCAGCATGGCCAAAACCTAATCAGACCTTGGCACTAGTCTGCTCTTGCATCTGTAAACATTTCAAGTTGACAAGATTAGCGGTTTTCCTGCAATTTTGATGACAAGAATTTATTTGTAGTCTTGAACTTTGGGAAAATTTAGATAACATTGTTTGTGACCTAATTTGATGACCTTGAAAATTTCACTTTTTCAGACCTCAGTAGGTGTTTAGTAATTAAGCTGACCTAAATTTAAATCCAAAATATCAATTTAGAAAATCAAATTTTTGACCTTTTCAAGGTCACTGAAGGTCAACGAAAGGTCAAATCTGAAATCTAAGGTCAGATTTGAACTTCTGAGAACTTGTAGATGTTTTTAAAAAAAAAATTTGGTCAATTTGGAGCAAGTTGAAAAATTCAAGATGGCTGCCAAATTTGAAAATTCAAAATGGCCACCATGTAATTCAGCCAGCATACCCAAAACCTAATCAGATCTTGGCAATAGTCTGCTCTTGCATCTGTAAAAATTTCAAGTTGAACGGATAAGTGGTTTTCCTGAAATTTTGATGACAAGATTTGTTGATAAATTCAAAATGGCCGCCAAGTAGTTTAGCCAGCATGCCCTAAACCTAATCAGATCTTGGCACTAGTCTGCTATTGCATGTGTAAAAATTTCAAGTTGAACAGGTTAGCGGTTTTCTTGGAATTTTGATGACAAGAACTGATTTGTAGCCTCAAACTTTGAGAAACTTGGATAACATCATTTGTGACCTAGTTTAATGACCTTGACCTTCGATCTTGAAAATTTCACTTTTTCAGACCTCAGTAGGTGTTTAGTAATTAAGCTGACCTAAATTTAAATCCAAAATATCAATTTAGAAAATCAACTTTTTTGACCTTTTCAAGGTCACTGAAGGTGAATGAAAGGTGAAATCTGAAATCTAAGGTCAGATTTGAACTTCTGAGAACTTGTAGATGTTTTTAAAAAAAAAATTTGGTCAATTTGGAGCAAGTTGAAAAATTCAAAATGGCCGCCAAATTGAAAAATTCAAAATGGCCACCATGTAATTCAGCCAGCATACCCAAAACCTAATCAGATCTCGGCAATAGTCTGCTCTTGCATCTGTAAAAATTTCAAGTTGAACGGATAAGTGGTTTTCCTGGAATTTTGATGACAAGATTTGTTGAAAAATTCAAAATGGCCGCCACATAGTTTACCCAGCATGCCCTTAACCTAATCAGATCTTGGTACTAGTCTGCTCTTGCATCTGTAAAAATTTCAAGTTGAACAGGTAAGCAGTTATCCTGGAAATTTGATGACAAGATTTGGTTTATGTGCCGCCCGCACGCCCGCACATCCGCACGCCCGCCCAACAGCACAAGACGACGACAATATAGCACTTTTTCAAAGTGCGATAAAAATATTCAGCTGGTTTAGTAATATTCTAATAGCTTCTTACCTAATGTTATATGCAAAGTTGAGAGTCGATGACATCACTTCCTGAGTGAAATTTTAAAAGATGGCAGCCTACTGGAATTGAGCACTACATTTTTTAGTGATCAAAATTGACCATTTCAAAACATTTTTCTGTTTTTTGATAAACTTGCAAAGTATGTATATGGTTATAGCTACCATATTAGGAGAGAGATAGTCTGGCAAGGAATACCCCTTTAAGACAATTTTTATTAATCCAAGGTATTTTTTCAGATGCTTGATGATGACTTCATTATATATAGTCAATGCTGTTGCATCCTACTAAACAGGTGTCCAGAATCAGTACTTCCTTCTTCCCCCCCTGCTATAACCAATTTGGAAGTGAACAATTAAACTCAATCAAGTGATCTAATAATGCGATGATGATGTATACATGTGTTATCAATGATTTCATTTATGACAAGAACACAAATGTGTACAAAATGTTCCCACCTATTGGTGATCCCGCCAAATAGTTATCCTAAAAATGAGTAGACAAGACTTTACCGACACAATTTGAGGACGGAAAATCCAAAATGGCCACCTTAAAATTTACCCAGAATGCCAAAGAATTAGTCAGTTCTAGATTTTCATACTAAGAACCACCCCTGAAAATTTGAAATTGATCCGTCACACAGTTAACCAGAAAACATGTAAACAAGACTTTACAGACAAGAATTGAGGACAGAAAATCCAAAAAAGGCTGCCTTGACATCTATTATGCAGAATGCCAAAAAACTAATCTGTTCTAGATTTTCATACTAAGAATCATCCCTGAAAATTTGAAATTGAAACTGATCTACCAAACGGTTCACCTGGAAATGCGTAGACAAGACTTTATGGGCAAGGTTTTAGGACAGAAAATCCAAAATGGCTGCCTTGACATTTACCCAGAATGCCAAAAAACTTATCAGATCTAGATTTTCATACTAAGAATCATCCCTGAAAATTTACCCAGAATGCCAAAAAACTAAAACTTTCATACTAAGAATCATCACTGAAAATTTGAAATTGATCTACCAAACGGTTCCCCTAAAAAACGCGTAGACAAGACTTTACGGACAAGATTTTAAGACGGAAAATCCAAAATGGCTGCCTTGACATTTATCCAGAATGCCAAAAAACTAATCAGATTTAGATTTTCATACCAAGAATCATCCCTGAAAATTTCAAATTGTTTTACCAAACGGTTCACCTGGAAATGCGTAGACAAGACTTTACAGACAAGATTTTAGGACGGAAAATCCAAAATGGCTGCCTTGACATCTACCCAGAATGGCCAAAAACTAATCAGATCTAGATTTTCATACTAAGAATCATCCCTGAAAATTTGAAATTGATCTACCAAACGGTTCACCTGGAAATGCGTAGACAAGACTTTACAGACAAGATTTTAGGACGGAAAATCCAAAATGGCTGCCTTAACATTTTTCCAGAATGCCCAAAAACTAACCAGATCTAGATTTTCATACTAAGAATCAAGACTTTACAGACAAGATTTTAGGACGGAATAATCCAAAATGGCCGACAATAAAAAAGTGATTATGAGTTTTTGCTGATTTCCTTTTACAAAACTATCACATATAACTACTGTTAACAATAACTAGAGCTGAACAAGATGTTAAAGTTTTAAAAGCATCTGTGAAGCCGTTTTTCTTAAAGTTTGCAGACAAGGATTTTAGCATTTGACTTCAAAATGGCCGACAGGAAGTAGGAATCATATTGCTTTTCCTTGAAATAATTACTCATTGAAAATAAGGTCAACAATTTTGAAGTGGCGCATGAATTTCATGTGCATGTAATTTATACTGATAGTGTATTTTAATTGCTAAAATAATGAGCATATATACCTTATAAATAAAAACAAACCACTCCAAATACCCATGTGTCCTCAATCATGTACATGTACGATTGGAATGTTTTTGAGACAGCTTTTAAAGAATTTAATTCAAATTGTTGTAACATTAAAGCACGCCTGAGCAGGAAGGTATGTAAGAGATAATTTGATTGGCTGTCACAGTGTTGCGACAGCGAATCAGCTTGCGAGTTCTTAATTGGGGAAATGCTAACTGCGGGAAAGAGAAAGAAGATATTCTAGATCTTGAAGCTCTGTGATCGGAGGATGATGCTGTTGTAAAGTAAAATAAATTTGAGATCGGGAAAACAAGTTAATCCAGGTCAACAAAGAGGAAGCAAGAACAAACTGCATGATACTGTCCATATATTGAGGTCTCACTGTAGTCTGTGAGGATGAGGTTACAAGTTAGTGGGGAAGAGCCTCCATGCTCAATAAGTGAATTACTCTATTTATTATTCATTGTTTCAATTCTGATCGATACAGCTCTCGTAATAAGTGCCACTTTGTCTTTTATATTGGAATACACTTGATTTTGATGTGCTGCATGTAATGTATAAATGCTTAGAAAATTGCTTATCAAAAACATATGTAACTGTTTTACTGCATACTATAGTATTTGAATTTTAGGCTACTTTATCTATAGCTATGGTACAGTATCTTAAAAATTAATGTGAAATTTCAATGACTACAGGCAATACCCAAAAATTTAATTAAACATTTTGCAATTTGTGCTGAAATGTTTTAAATACAACTTTTTAAAAAAATGATAAAAATGTTTATCCTATACGTATTGTGTTATCTCCATGAGTCGTGTATCCTGAATGCTAAATCATTCTCTCTAGTTTATTAGAGTTTTAAAATATATTCAAGGAAACCACTTTTACAAACAATAATCCAATACAATGCCAAATGATCACTCCGGTTTATAATTATTACTACTTATTCATGTAATTTGATCACTATAAGCCAAGTCATTGTTTTAGTACCTTAGGGTATTCACTTTTAGAAATGTTGCTTTGCTATGCAATTACTGAATTACTACTATGCATTGAGTGAAATACTACATTCTTGCCCTTGTAATTACACAAGTTTTAAAAAAACAAAATTCCCCAACTTTTCCCCCGATTTAAAGCAATGTCATTCCTCAACCAAATGCAATGTTTTATCAACAAAAATACAAGAGATAAATTACAGGTTCACAGACTGCATATACTTGTACATGATTTAAGTAGTTTTCAATAAGTTTTGTTTCCATTCTATGAATTTTTCGAAGTCAAAGCTCAATTTTTGCCTCACTTGGTTGGTTACACAGGATTCTTTTTTTTCAATTCAATTTATTTATTTCATAATTCTTATATAATATACACTATAAAAACAAGCCGCTAAAATTCTAAAATGACAATTTTAGCTATTTTTGAGGAAATTCTATAAAATTCTGCTATCATCTTTAAGAATATTGCAAAATGTAGCCATTTTGAAAACTTTTAGATAAATCTTATTTCTCTAGAGTCGGGATCAGAAATCAGATGGATACAGTAATCGGCTCATGCGTCTTCCTTTGACATCTCATAATCCCAATGTGGCTGTTGGGACCTATAATAAATTGTTTTGGGATTTGTCTAATTTCATTAAGTGTAAAGTCTCAGAGTTAACATATGATGCCAACAACAAATTGGAACCTTGCATCTTTTTTCTTTTAAATAATTATAGTTTTTATTATTAAAAGTGATTAATTATATGATAAAAGGTTGTTAGTACAGGGTGTCCGAAAAGTAAAGATACAAATACACTTATTTTAAGAAATTTGAGTTTTTTGAAATGAAATTGCTACAGATTGTAGAGGAACAATATTACAATATATCTACCAACTTTCATCACATATAGTCTAAATGTGTTCAAGTTACGGTTGTCATGGTTACGGATGTGAGAGGTATGCGGAGCAGTTCCAGAACAACGCTAAAAAGTGAAAAATTGCTAGTAGGAAAGCCAATATTGCATCTCCACAATGCACCAATTTATGAAGTAAGAAACAAATCTTGCAATGGAGTGTCTTGACATTAAACCTTTCTATACAATGCCCCATATTCACCTGATAAAGCCTCTTTAGACTTCTACCTTAATGACCATTTGAAAGCAATATTTGTAAAAAACATACAAATGAGACTCAGCTGGAAGCCAAATGTTATCAGCAATCTGAGAGATGGACAGCAGCGGTTTTGTCAGGTCTTTGAATCGCCGGTCAAGATGCACCAAGAATGTATAGATAATGGGGAAAATACTGAATATTCAATGATAGTAGTAATATGAAATGATAAAATAATGTTACATTACTAATCCCTATGCTGTTGTGGTACATAATTTGATATAGTATACGAATAGATGGTGGAATGCCAAGATCATATGAGCAGGAAAGAGATTTGTAGAACACAGTTGTGACGTTGCTCCACTTACCCTCGACTCTCGTTACCATAACAACCATAACTTTTTCATTTTCAAACTGAAAGTCATGACAGTTGCAGGATATATTGTTATAATGTCATTCTACATTCTGGAGCAATTTCATCTCACAACAGGAAAATCTATTATAATTAGAGCATTTGTATCTTTACTTTCCGGACACCCTGTATCTACATAAATCATTTTGAAATTTCTTAAATTTCATTACGCCTGAAGGTAAAGGATGTACCGTATTATTTCTCATGAGCGCTCACCTTTTATATATACTGTATTTGCCGTAGTTGGCGCTCATGTTCCTATTAGCGCCCCCCAGACTTTTAGAGGCCCGAGAGTGAGTCCCTGGTTGAAGAATCAATGATCATTGTGGTCAAACGTAAGAAGTCAAGTGGGCTATAATAGGTCCCGACTTGTAATTCCAAAACGAGACTGAGAAAAAATTCATTTTTCGATTCAGCAGGTATAAGTCCGTTTTCCTATAGATTTATCGAGTAAAATACTGATGTAAGTAAATATTTTATATTCCATTAGTGTAGCAAAAAGAGTGGGATAGGTATGAACCCCACGGTTCATGCAAACGTGGCGAATTTCACGAACCAAAATTTTCTTCCAATTTTTTTCAAAACTGAAAATGAGACTCCGGCATCTTTTCTCAGGCGAGACTCATATGGGCGCTAATAAGGACAACTTTTTGAACTGTTTTGACTTACTTTAAGCGCCCGGGCGCCTACTACGGCAAATACAGTATGTATATATATGTTAAGCATATGGTCTCAAGAAAACACACAGTTAAATGCATCAGTTTTGATAATCTACACAACAAGATATCGATTGATTTGACTATTTAACGTTTAATATTTAATTCATTCAATGCAGAGAAAGAAATAAGGAGCTCTACAGTCCCTAGACCTTAAGTGATAAAAACTAAAAAGATTATTGGAGATTTTTCTACATTTTTGTATGTGCACACACTCATTAGAATCTCTCAATACCTTTCCCTTTAGATTTTAATTTGGGAATCGCCCTGTACACTTATCAGAGAGAATATGGTCAAAGAGCTTAGAAAATGACTTCTTGAGGAGTATCATCAATTGGATTCATTTTCATTTACTAAATGCAACATATGTTAATAATAAACACTCCTATTCAGTCAATATTCTATCAATTTCTGTTTTCTTTACATGGAATGAAAGTTGAGTATCAATTTCAAGTGGGTAAGTAAATATCAGTAATACACAGCAGTAATAAGGCTTTAAAAAGGATTGAAAACACTTTCATCTTGATATACAGTACGTTAAAGTACCAATCTTTTGTGAAGCAAATATGACTGAGGCTTTAACCTATTACCTTACACTGTGCCCCTATCCTTTTACAATTCAAGAACAAAAACTAATTAAAAAATTAATCTAGCCTAGACTCCATAAGAAACATTGTGAGCTACCTGCCCTGTACCTTGAAAATAGAGATGGCGCTACTGATGCTGTCGGGGTAGTGTAATGGAACATGGGACGTCGGGATGATGTGTGATGTCATATATCTTGTCATCTCATCATAGGATAACTCCTGCTAAAATCATAGGATAAACAGAGGTTACTTACTGGGAGGAATTAAATATGGCCAATATGTTGAGGGCTAATGATATATGATATCATATCATATTTACAGAGGTATAAAACATGTAATCAATTCCAAAACAGGACATAAGCATTTTATATATAGATTATTTCATGCTTGATTTCAATATGAATTTTATTCCAGGGTAATATGATTTTGACCGAGGGAAATATGATATTGACCGAACGAGCGTCAATGTCATATTTCCCGCGCCGTGGAATAAAATTCATATTGAAAATCAACTATAAAATGACCTTTTTATTCCATCATCTAATTTTTGAGAAAATTTTTTTTTTGAAAAAATGAAAATTTTTGAAATAAATGAAAATCTTTGAAAATTTTTTGAAAAAATGAAAATTTCTGAAGAAAAAATTATTTTTTTTGAAAATTGGAAAAATGAAAAATTGGAAAAACTGATTTTTTGAAAAAATGAACTTTTTTTGAAAAAAATATGATTTTTCGAGTATATATGATTTTTTTCCAGGGACAATATGATTTTTCGAGAATATATGATTTAAGAGTGATAATATGATTTTATTTCCAAGGGAAAACAGTAGTATTATGGAATAAATCCTGCTATAATGAAACAATAAATAAATAACATTATTATACAACTGCCATATTCCCCACTCTCTGATAGGTCCATGTCCTACAGTACACATGACTTGGGAATTATAAGCCATATTTCCTGGTCAAGAATATGACCCTATAAAGATCATATCCAGGTTTATTCCATAGTTAGCATGATATTCATAGGATAACATGTGAAAATAAAAACGGTATTTTTGTAATCAGTGGTAAAATATGATATTTTTGACAAATTTTCACTTAACCATAGCATACGGTTTTTTAGCCATGACATACGACGTCGTATGCGATGGTTTATGGATTTTTGCTACTTCAGACTCAAAAACGAGGCTAAGTGTCAACATCGCCGGATCGTTTGGAAAATTCGAATTAAATGACTTAATTTCCGACGATTCTGATGATGACTTTAACTATGGAATAAAAAGAACATCCTATGATTTACTCGTGATATGAATTTAATCCACTCATGGTTATTGATATCTGCACTCTCTCGCTACGCTCACTCGTGCAGATATCATATCCATTCGTGGATAAAAATCATATCACGAGTAAATCATAGGATATCCTTTATTTATACCATTTGGGTTTTCAACAGAAATTAATAGCATATTGCCAGGCTGGTATTTCTTTCAGTGTAAATTATCACATATCTCCAAGGTTTTATTTCTTTTAAATGTTTAAAGGATACACTGTATTCAGAAGCTGTACTCAAACACATGTCTATTTTTATATACAGGTAGCTTTCTGTAGCCAGTGCTGTCCCAGTCAGAGAGCGGAATATAACAGTGAATAATATTTTGGTGAATATCTGTACTAAATATTCCCATAGGTGCTCATTCAGGCTTCAGTGTATGTTACTTGTGAAAGATGCAAAGGTATTCCTCTCAATAGAATGAAATAGACTATTGGTATAATAAAACCATGTTGTAATATACAGCAACAAATTGGCTAAGAAAACAATTAAGTGAATCTTCTGATAAAAAGTAGCAGATCATAAAATAGTTTATAAAAAGCATTTAAAGACCCATGAGCAAGAGCTCAAAGCATTTATAAGTAGAAATAAGTATATAAAATTTCAAGCTCATTACACAAACATTATTTCCAGCTAGATTATTTTCAAATGTCAATGTTCCTTCACAGTAGAACATGCTTTAAACATGAGCCAACTCTGCCAAAGGCAACATGAGTCATGTGAGAAAGGGGAAGGTAAAGCATATGTAGAAAGGTAAACATTAAAAGGATTGGTATCGATATAGTGAACTGAATTCAACAATGTTATTCTCTTAAACCAATTATTGAAAACATTCTGTAAAAAAACACGGTCCTTTATGTAATGTTGACTGATTGACAACAATTTAATGCGAAAATTATTTATATATATTTTATATAACTGCTTTTGTTAACATTTTGAATTGATTTTTGTTCCTTTCTACCAATTCTTGAGAATGAAATAAAATATCTTTCGGAACCTTGTTGGAACAAAATAGCATATACATTTTATTAGACCTCTCAATATTATAGTTATACAGAGAAAAGTTCGGTTGATTTAAGAAAAAATATTCAAAAAATTCAAACAAAAACATCCCAAATAGACAAAACTAAGATTAACAAGATACTTTTTTCAAATCAACCAAACTTTCCTTTGTACAATTACAATATTGAGAGACCTAAACATGTTGTGTTTATGACATTTTGTTTCAATGAGGTTCAGATAGATGTTTCATTTCATTAAACATATGATACCAAGAACAAAAGAAGTGTTTTCTAAAACAATATAGAGAAAAATATATATATATTTTTCAAATTATATTGTTACCATTCAAAAGATGACCATTAAATTGATGATGTGTAAAATTTTCAGAATTTTTTGATGACTGGTTTAACAGAAACGTGTGTTCAAAAAGTTCACCATATCGATACCAATCCTTTGGCAATATTTCATTCTTTTTTCTTGATTTGGAATTTTGCTTTGTGATTAATCATAACTGACATGCAGGTGAAGGGTGAACTTATACAAAAAAATTAATTGTGAAAATTGCGTGATAGCATTTTTAATATTCTTCGTATCACGCTACATTATATTGATGCAGCAAACAATTAATTGGTGGCTTTTGGTATTATCAGACATACTCAATAATCCTTATAAATCAGCATAATTTTTTCGAAGTAACATGTACAGTACTTAAAAATAACTACATACAAAATCATGGTCCATGATATAATATTGTTTCATTTCTTTCTATTTCACTAATTTAAGTTAATTTCTCTAAATAGCTTGGATGATGTTATCCTGTAAACAGTTTAACATTGACATATAAATCAATGCTCTTAGCCCAATATGCTATTTCTGTTATGTTATTAACTTCTGAATGATAATTGAGAAGAATTGGTTGCTTTGGCTTAAGGTCAGATCTATTTGTTGAACTGAAATATCAGAGTGATGGGGAAGCCACAGAAAGGTATTTTCTCACTTTTTCTAGGGTTTGTGGTTATACTCCAAAGAAAAATACTTGAAATTAAGAATAATTTCTCAAGAGAATTATGTAATCAGGCCAAGCAAAAATAAATTTCACTCACCGGTGCCTGCAAGCAATCACATAGAGACAAAATTGTCTAATTAACCATTGAGGAAATCCATAATTCTAATTTAGCAGTTTATAGTATTACTTCATGGTCAAAACAGAAAATGGCATTTGGCATATTCATATTCAAATACCATTACTCCATTAAGCATCAGATTTGTGTAAGTAAATATGATATCTAAAAGTATAATCCATCAAATGAATATGCCATTTCTCAGTCGCATATATGGAGTTTGGGATATAATCCTTTAAAAATTTGTGAGTTTCATTAAATTAAAGAGATGAAATAAATGAATGTATATCTTACCCCACTTTGACGTCTCTTATAAAGCGTCTTGAGGACCGAGTTACCAGTATCCCGGATATGTGAATTGAAATACTCCTTGGCAAAGTTGATAAATTTTAATCCATTTGAGTCCAAAATCTCTTCAATAATATGTAAATCTTGGCTGTTGTCACTGGACTGCATATTGTCGTCTGTTATGTCTGATGCATTATGGGTAACTTGACTATTTGGGGAACAATTCCTGGAAGCCTCATCTTGATACGTTATATCCTTATCTCCATAGTGACACAGTAATCTTGCTTTTATAATTCCATCTTCTTCCAGGCTATTTACATTATCCTGACTTGTACATGTAGGTTTTGTTTGTGTTGTTTCGTTATTTATATCTTCGCCTGTGGTGTGTATATCATGTTTGCTATCAGCTGTTGCTGTTGAAGCTACACTTTCAAGGTCATCTGTACTTCCCTCTGGCACAGGTGTGAGGCTTTTCTGCCTATGTTGTAGCCTACTAATTGCAATATTACATGGTGGATTTACTTTATTGCTCTTTGCATCTGCTTGGCACATATCTAGTGCACATTTTAATTGTTCTTCGATGTTTTCATTTTCGTTTAAATCAGCTATGATATTGTCAATACTGTTATCGGTATATGTACAATCACGTATCGTAGTGTCCTTGTTTTGAGCTAATGGATCTAAGCCTCTTTTACTCCCCCGGAAATCCTTACAGATATTTTCTTTTTCTAAAGTTGTATCTACATCCTGAGAAGCTCTTGCTAAACTACCGGAATCAATACTACGATCTGGTGATGCAAATGTATTGATGCTACTATCTGATACTCCTGAATGCAAGGGATTTTCATATAAATCGATACAAATTGAATCAGTTTCACTTCCATCAACTTGCTTTGGATCAGCAGTGTAGTCATTTTCATGGTCAACAGAGTCTGGAATTGTTTCATTGTTTTCACGATTATCTATTGTAGTGTCAATGCCGGAGCAGTCTCTGTTTTCCAAACTGTTTTTGGAGGTGCAATTATTACTCTGAGGGGAAACAAAGATCACTGTATCAACAGAAAACTCTGATCCATTTAAACTGTCAGTTGTTGAAGCAGAATTAACAGAATCATTGGTTGATCCTACATTTAATGAATCAATTGTCACCACAGATGCTAAATTGATTGAATCACTGGTTGAAGCTGATTTAATTGAGTCTCTTGTAGATATATTGAAACTTTCAGATGATAGTGGTAAAGTGATGTCACTAGATGCCATACTGACATCATGTGATGTCACACTGACATTGTTTGATGTCATATTTACATCTTGTGTTAATACTGTGTTATCGTTACATAGAGAGGAAGCATGGTTGTCACTATTGCATTGTTCTAAGTTTTCAAGTCCATCCTCCATCGTTGATACATGAGATACAGAATCATTAGTTTTACAATTCATTATTTTCTCCTCCGTGTTGGCACTATTTGGATTACATTGAATAATACTTTTGCTAATATTAGATGTTTCTTTTATATTTACATTAGATAATCCGAGATGTATAACATCTTCTTGATTATTTACTGCATCAATGGTTACAACTTGAATGTCATTCCTATCCGATGTCAACTTGTCAATAATGGGTCTATTAATATGTTGTTGAGATACATGTATTGCTTCAAGTGAAGTAACATTATTAGAAGTGTCAATATTTTCCCCCAATATTAGGTTATCAGATTTTTCCTTGCAGAACTGGTCTATGTTAGTTGACATTAGAAGAGCACTATTTGTTTTATTGATGTTTTCTCTAATTGAGTTTTTCTGGGGAGATATATCATAGAACGTAGTAGATTGTAACAATATGTTAGAATCATTAAACTTGTCACTGAGTCCACATCTCTCGAGTTGATTTACAATACAATCAGGTGTTGAATTGATTAGAAACCCATGGGGATTTTCTCCATGAATGATTTTCTCAGATTGGACTTCACTATTATTGACAGGGGAGTTAGGGTATTGACATGATGACGGCTGTTGGTCAGCTAATTTTCCTGAGGTCTCCGTGGATGAAATCCTAACACTGTTTGTGGGGGAGATACTTAGATTTTCTGTTTTCCTGGAAGTAGAGTTAGAATATATGACTGCCTTCTCTGTTGACTGAGCCTGATTGGTTAAACAAGTTGAAATAACACAATCTGATTGCGCCAAGCTTTGCGATTGGTTTGTCAACAGAGTTAGCACTGTATCATCTTTTGCTTCTACAGCACTGTCTGAAGGTATAACAGCACTGGCTGATTGTGCTGGCAAAAGATTTGAGCTTGTTGAGTATGAAGTGTGAGAAGCACAAGCATTAGATTGTGCTGTAATTGAGTCTGATTGTGCTGATGATTGCACTTTAGTATTGTTTGAGTGTGCTTGAACAGTGATGTCTGACTGTGCTATAGCACTGTCTAATTGTATAAGGATAGTACCATCACTATTATTTTTAGAACATAAAGCGTCAATGGTAGATTCAAACTCTGTTGCGCTTACCAAGGATGTACCCGCTGCCCCTGTGATCACATCTGGCTTCCTATCGTTCATTGACGTTAATGGGCCCTCGACTGGAACATCTACGCATGTCTTCTCATTGCTTGAGACTCTAGAGTTTTCTATTTGATTGCTTCCTGAACTTAAATGAACTTGAGTCTTTTCGGCAGTATAATTAACAGAACTTTCACTTTGATCTTGAGTGTTAACATCAATTGTTTGCCTTTCTGAAATAGCATCATTTCCTTTACCATCAGAAATGATTGATTGTGTGTTGATTTCAATTTTACCGTGATCTGTAACAATAGGTGAAGTCGAACTGGCTTCACTGCTCTCTGAGCCTTTTCTCAGGTCAATTGTTCCATCGTCTAACTGTGCTAAAGTCTCAAGGACCTCTCTAGTGAATTCTCCCTCCTTGAATGTAATAATATCATCTATGTTAATAATATCCCCTTCAATGTCATTAAGATTAAATCCTATGTTATCTTTGCATAAATCCTCATCAAGTTGGTTGAAATCAAATTGGTTTTTAGTGTCTACACTTTCTGAGAGGTTATTCAGAGGTTTCGTGTTATCCAACCTTATATCATCTGAATTTTCACTAGAGTATCCAGCTAAATCCTCAGGTGGTCTATTTATTATTCCACGGTTGCATGATGGGATATGACCATAGGGGTGCTCCGAATATTGCCAGTCAGTGTATTTTGATACGTTAACATCATCTATATTACATAAACTACTTCCAGTTGATGGTTCTTCATTAGGTGAATCTATATTGACATAAGAATCAAGACATGTGATTTTCTTTAAAGTTACTTCCGCTGGTTTTGATTTGTTTGAAGATGCATTGTAATTTGGTGAGTTAGTATTGATTTGCAAGCTTTTGTTATTTGGCTCAAATAATCCGTCTGTGGCGTGTATCATAAAATGTAAATTACCACGTTGATCTAATTGCGCTCTTTCTGCTGATGCTGTACTGTCTGGATTACCCAGGGAATGTATCTGTTCTGCTAATGAATAGTCTCCCAAAATGAAGCCTGTTGATTGAGTATCATGTATAACTGAAGAACAATTGTTGTGTTGCATAGGCCTATGTCTGTCTATTGAATGATGTGCTATAGAACCTGAGTCCCTAAGGTTGCCATGTAAAAGTGACTTATTAACTTTATCAACTTGCGCTTGCTTTATATATTGCTCCCTGTCATTGCTTATGTCACTCTGTACTTTATCACAGATGTTTGTCTCAAGATGTTTTATTCTAGTCGCGCGATGATCCTTTTGCATAAGTTCATTATTTCTCTCTGAATCATGGCTCAGTAGCGCTTCATTATGTAAAATGTCACTGTAGAGTGAGCACTCAGAATTGCTATTATTTCTAGAACTATCACAGCTAAAGGCAGTGGACTGCGTTATTTGCTGGGCTGTTAATGCAATAGACACACTATCTACACAGTCACTGGCACGTCGTATAAACGCCTCATATTGACGATCTTCAATGTCATAGTAATCCTGCTTTTTCCTCTGGCCAGATATCTTAATCGGGGCACTGCGGTTGCGTCTATATGTCTCGGCTGAGTGTGGTCTTTGGGGGCGTCTGTAGTTGGGGCTCTGGGGAGTAACTGTTAGATCCCCGGGATCTGAATGGAGACTAGAGCCACTGTTATACCGAGATAAGCCAGGGAGGATGTTAGAACTGCTATAGCTATTGCTTCGTGGCCGTTGATGGTAAGTATGTGATCGTATTTCCCCATGCGTTGGTGTCACTGGCAATGACTGGGCTGTTTCTACCAGAAATGATGCTTCTACCATCCGTGCAATGGAGTCCAATTCTATACTAGAGGCCCTGGAGATACAGCAAAAAAGCACTTTCATTAGCGACTCACATCTCACATATTACATTGTGTTCTCTATACCAATATCGGCAATTGTTTTGCCATTTTTCAGAATTTGCATATGAATGATTTAAGAGACCCTCTGTAGCTGCCACTTTTACAATGAACCATAATCAGCAGTTAATCTGCCATACATTTTCAGATTTTTTATGAGGAACATATGAATGATTTAACATGCACATTATCACCCTGGCAATTATACAATAATAAAAACAGAACATTTATTAGCAAACAGTGAACCATGATGTGACTAATGAAAAACCTCTTATATATTAATAGCAAGCTATAGTTCTCATGTCATGCTACTAGACTCAGGTATCTGTTATTTATTTAATCATTCCGTGTACAATGTCGGGAAAGTTAGCGTGTAAATGAAACATCATGGCGGAACAGTGATAAACTTCACAACATTAATGCCATTATCTTCATTAACGTAACAGTTTCGTTGAAATTTACATGGCTATTACAGCTAACTGAATATCTGAAAGGTCTCTTTGCACTTGGAGGTCTTAATTTATAACTATTCCAGCAAAGGTAATTAATAAAAATTGAGACTGTCTGCATGTTAATTAGATTGAAGAGGGGGCAATTCCAACGTACTGTAATGTTATTAATGTAAAGGGTGACCTAGGATACAATGACATTTTTGTTTATATTATTTATCCTTTACATGGAATGAAATATCAGAGACCTCTTCATGTTTGGCAAAGCATTTGTCAACAATTCACAGAAGGGACAATTCCAATGACATTTCTGTTCATCTCATCCAGAAGATGTACTGGAAATTGAGAAGAGGGACCTTAAAATGATTTTTGAAATTCTTTATAGACACTTTTTCAAAATTTTGTCCAACCTGTCCAAGATGAAAGCTCATTTTTCAAACAGGCCAATTTTCTAGCAAAATGAGGTACACGAGCCTAAAACATTTTGGAAGGTTCACCAAAAAGGGTGGGTCAGCCCTTGGATCATATCTCCATTTCTACCAGTGTAAACCATTCCTGAACATCATTCTGTTCATCTTTCCAATAAACACATTAACACAATGACATGGTCAAAAGATGGAAACGACATTTTATATCAGCACTAACATATGATTTGTCCTTCAAAACAAAAACAAAGTAATCTTTAGTTAAAGCTTCTTAATTAAGTGAAACTAATAGCTTCAAAGAGATATTCTGTTTGACTGTTGATTTGAGCCTTCATTGTCTTCAAACTAAGACAGTTCAATTAAATAAGTGATATGAAGACCAAAATCCTATGATTAATGGCCTGTTAAATGACTAATGAGTTTTCCAGATAATTTTTTTAAGATGCTCAGTGGACACAGTTTGAATATTTGCCTAATTTGTGTTCAGGGTGTAAAAGACTGAAATTACAAAGCAATTGATATCTTTGGCAGTGACCACATTTAGCATTTATTGGAGAATTGCGATTGTTGATTCAATTTTAATGAGGAACAAACACATCTTAGACTTTCTATTTCATAAGATATACAAAACCTCAATTTTACATAGATAAAACAATAATAGATAACAATAACAGATAAAAGCAATCCTAATAGAAGAAACAAACAAACAAGCCAGGTTAATTTAAATAAGATAAGTCTTAATAAGTCATATACACTACCAATATTTTTGATGTTATGTCTTGTGAAAAAAATTAAAAAATTGGTGAACAAATCGATTAGAAATAAGTATGATATGGGCAGAACAGGAAATTAACAAGATAGAGGAGGTTAAATGTTTGAATTCAGAAGTTCTTTCCCATGGCAAACTTTGGGCCTTTTGAAAATTTTGCCCATTAAAAAGGGACCAATAAGCTCTACCTCACTCCCCAAAAAACTATTGGCTAATCTTGGGGGATTGTCAGATCAATTTCACAGGGGTGCCCAGTGTTTTGTTCTTTGCAAATAGGAACACTTTCAACAAACTATCTGCATGAACATCCTCTTATTTCAAACAATATTGATTAAATTAAGTAAGGCTGATATCCGTGATGATCCATAATTTACCAAAGTGGACTTTTAACAATATCCGTCTTTGGCTTCTTTTGTCATTTCTATATGGCTAAAAGAAACCAATCAATGCATGGCATATCTGCTGGAGACACTTACTGAAAAGTAATAGATCTGGGGCCAACCACCAGGGCCGTCAGATGGGGGGGGGGGGGGGGGTGCGGTGGGTGCGACCGCACCCCCCTTTGTCACCCCCCAAAAAAAATTTGAAAAAAAAAATTTGAAAAATATTTTTTTTGTAATTTTTTTTTCATTGACTCATACACTTTGAAAGTACCCAGAAAGCACCAAATAGCATCTTAAAATTGTAAAATTTTCTAGGGGTATTGGCCACCCCTCACACTCCCCACAAAACAATGGAAAAGTTCTAAATTTGTTTTGTATTGTCTCAGACACTTTTAAATTGCCCAGACATCATCAAATAGCTCCTTGATAAAGTTAATGATTCTGGAACACTAACACTTACTCGCCCTCTGGCATCTCCACTCCCCCTCCCCCTCTGGCAGCCCCCCTCCCTTAACAACCCCCCCCCAAAAAACATTGAGATTTTTCAAATTTTTTTATTGACTCATACCCTTTGAAAGTGCCTAGAAAGCACCAAATAGCATCTTAAAATTGTAAAATTAAAGTGCCCAAATATCTGATATAGTTAGTGTTTCTGGGGGACTTACTCCCCCTCTTGCATCGTGCACTTGCATAACCCCCCCTCTTGCGCCCCCCCCTTGAACCCCCCCCCCAAAAAAAATTGTGATTTTCTCAAATTCTTTAATTGACTCATACACTTTGAAAGTGCCCAGAAAGCACCAAATAGCGTCGTAAAATTGTAAAATTTTCTAGGGGGAGTGGGCCACCCCTCACACCCCAAACAAAACAATGGAAAAGTTCTGAATTTGTTTTATGTATTGTCTCAGACACTTTTAAATTGCCCAGACATCATCAAATAGCTCCTTGATAAAGTTAATGATTCTGGAACACTAACACTTACTCGCCCTCTGGCATCCCCACTCCCCCTCCCCCTCTGGCAGCCCCCCTCCCTTAACAACCCCCCCCCAAAAAACATTGAGATTTTTCAAATTTTTTTATTGACTCATACCCTTTGAAAGTGCCTAGAAAGCACCAAATAGCATCTTAAAATTGTAAAATTTTCTTGGGAAATAGGCACTTTTAGGCACAGACACTTTTAAAGTGCCCAAACTTCATCGAATAGCACCTTGATATTGTAAATTTTGATATGGGGGACAAACACTTGCTCCCCCTCTGGCACCCCAGCCCCACCTCCCCCTGTGGCACCCCTCCCCCCCTTTGACACCCCCAAAATTTGAAAAAAATGTGATTGTTTTTCAATGTTTTTATTGACTAATACACTTTAAAAGTGCCCAGAAGCACCAAATATCATCTTTAAATTGTAAAATTTTCTAGGAGAGTTAGCCACCCCTCACATCCCCCACACAACAAAAGAAAATATTCTGAATTTCATGTATTGTCTCAGACATTTTTTAAGTGCCCAGACATCATCAAATAGCACCTTGATATGGTCAATGTTTCTGGAGGACAACCCCTTGCTCCCCTCCTGGCACCCCACCCCACTTCACCTTCTCATCCTCTTTGACACCCCCAAAAGAATTTGAAAAAATTCACATTTTTCTTATTGACTCATAACGCACAGGCATACCAGATGGTTGCAAATTCGCTCCAAATACAACCAAATTTCAAAATTTTCCTGGGGGAGCCCAGACCCCCCTGAATGCTCGGTTTTTTATTCACTCAACTCTTATTCCCGTGGTGGTGGCGTACTACTTAGAAACTTACACTTTGAAAGTGCCCAGAAAGCATCAAATAGCATCTCAAAACTGTAAAATTTTCTAGGGGGAGTGGACCACTCCTCACACCCCCCACAAAACAATTGGAACATTTGGAAGTTGCATTTGTTAATTCCAAACCAATATAGGGAGTAACTGACCCCCCCCCCTGTCTTACGCGATTTGATTTATGCGGCAAAAAAATGACAATTTTATATTCTCTTTAGTAAGCTTAAAACAGCACCCCCCTTGGAGAAAAGTGTCTTACGGGCCTGACCACTGAAACTTGGACAGGCTGAACCAACGAGCCAATTTAATTAATCAGAGATCAGGAGTCTGGAAAACCTTTCTACTTGTGTGTGTGTGGAGGGGGGGGGGGTCCATTCTTATCAAAACCCAAAATATCCAGAATGTAATTCTCAACAAAGAACTAGCTAAAAGTTAAAACTGTTTTCTTTTACCCAAGCCCAAATACATAACAGTTAAGAGTGTTTATAAGTTTTGAAAATGTTTTCTAATCAGCAAATAAGGTATCATTCACATTGGGCTTTCATATGTTTAAGGTTGGATCTATCTTCCAATGTTACCTCTTTTTCATTGATATAATTGAGAACAAGTATTGGGTTTGTCTAACATGTTTACTCAATGTAATTAGCCCACCATATTGGAATCTAATTCTAAGCATAAACGCCTCTTCTATTAATGTCACACATGGCAAAAACTCAATTTTGACTCATAGGAAAACTTAAAGCAAATTAGGTTACTGCAGACATGAAATAGTCATAGACAAGGTGAAGAAAAATAAAAGGAGACAAAGTTGAGATATGAAATGGTCCAGTCTAATGCAGCAGACATGGAGGACACAACGAGATGTTAAACAAGGCATTAACATGCAAAATTTTACCACCTGCCATTTGTTACAGATGCCGAACACCAAATACTGTCCACAAAATAGTTTGAGACAATAACAATATGTCACCACTTATGTTGGTTACATGATTATAAGATCTCCTTTAGAAGACTGGGGGGGGGGGTGGTATAAACTACATTGATATGGCTACTTTATTGTACCATAACATTGGCCTCACAAAGAAACATCAACACAGAACAAAAGACTTCAGTCTGAGACAGACTGCAT